GGCCGACTTAAGTGTGTCCCCAGTCTGTCCGACATGTGTGTCCCCGGTCTATCTGACATAAGTGTGTTCCAGTCTATGTGACATAAGTGTGTCCCCGGTCTGTCTGACATAAGTGTGTCCCCGGTCTATCTGACATAAGCGTGTCCCCAGTCTGTCCGACTTAAGTGTGACCCCAGTCTGTCTGACATAAGTGTGTCCCCGGTCTATCTGACATAAGTGTGTCCCCGGCCTGTCTGACATAAGTGTGTCCCCGGTCTATCTGACATAAGCGTGTCCCCAGTCTGTCTGACATAAGTGTGTCCCCAGTCTATCTGACATAAGTGTGTCCCCGGTCTATCTGACATAAGTGTGTCCCCGGCCTGTCTGACATAAGTGTGTCCCCAGTCTGTCTGACATAAGTGTGTCCCCAGTCTGTCCGACTTAAGTGTGTCCCCAGTCTGTCCGACATGTGTGTCCCCGGTCTATCTGACATAAGTGTGTTCCAGTCTATGTGACATAAGTGTGTCCCCGGTCTGTCTGACATAAGTGTGTCCCCGGTCTATCTGACATAAGTGTGTCCCCAGTCTGTCCGACTTAAGTGTGACCCCAGTCTGTCTGACATAAGTGTGTGCCCAGTCTGTCCGACATAAGTGTGTCCCCGGTCTATCTGACATAAGTGTGTTCCCGGTCTATCTGACATAAGTGTGTTCCCGGTCTATCTGACATAAGTGTGTCCCCAGTCTGTCTGACATAAGTGTGTCACCGGTCTATCTGACATAAGTGTGTCCCCGGTCTATCTGACATAAGTGTGTTCCTGTCTATGTGACACAAGTGTGTCCCCGGTCTATCTGACATAAGTGTGTTCCAGTCTATCTGACATAAGTGTGTCCCCAGTCTGTCCAACATGTGTGTCCCCGGTCTATCTGACATAAGTGTGTCCCCGGTCTATCTGACATAAGTGTGTCCCCAGTCTGTCTGACAAAAGTGTGTCCCCAGTCTGTCCGACATGTGTGTCCCCAGTTTATCTGACATAAGTGTGTCCCCGGTCTATCTGACGTAAGTGTGTCCCCGGTCTATCTGACATAAGTGTGTCCCCAGTCTGTCTGACTTAAGTGTGTCCCCAGTCTGTCCGACATGTGTGTCCCCGTTTTATCTGACATAAGTGTGTCCCCGGTCTATCTGACATAAGTGTGTCCCCAGTCTATCTGACATAAGTGTGTTCCAGTCTGTCTGACATAAGTGTGTCCCCGGTCTATCTGACATAAGTGTGTCCCCGGTCTATCTGACATAAGTGTGTCCCCGGTCTAACTGACATAAGTGTGTTCCCGGTCTATCTGACATAAGTGTGTTCCTGTCTATGTGACACAAGTGTGTCCCCGGTCTATCTGACCTAAGTGTGTCCCCGGTCTATCTGACCTAAGTGTGTTCCAGTCTATGTGACATAAGTGTGTCCCCAGTCTATCTGACATAAGTGTGTCCCCAGTCTGTCCGACTTAAGTGTGTCCGAAGTCTGTCCGACGTGTGTGTCCCCGGTCTATCTGACATAAGTGTGTCCCCGGTCTATCTGACATAAGTGTGTCCCCAGTATGTCTGACATAAGTGTGTCCCCGGTCTATCTGACATAAGTGTGTCCCTAGTCTGCCTGACTTAAGTGTGTCCCCAGTCTGTCCGACATGTGTGTCCCCGGTCTATCTGACATAAGTGTGTCCCCGGTCTATCTGACATAAGTGCGTCCCCGGTCAATCTGACATAAGTGTGTCCCCGGTCTATCTGACATAAGTGTGTTCCAGTCTGTCTGACATAAGTGTGTCCCCGGTCTATCTGACATAAGTGTGTCCCCAGTCTGTCCGACTAAAGTGTGTCCCCAGTCTGTCCGACATGTGTGTCCCCGGTCTATCTGACATAAGTGTGTCCCCGGTCTATCTGACATAAGTGTGTCCCCGGCCTGTCTGACATAAGTGTGTCCCCAGTCTATCTGACATAAGTGTGTCCCCAGTCTGTCCGACTTAAGTGGGTCCCCAGTCTGTCCGACATGTGTGTCCCCGGTCTATCTGACATAAGTGTGTTCCAATCTATGTGACATAAGTGTGTCCCCGGTCTGTCTGACATAAGTGTGTCACCGGTCTATCTGACATAAGCGTGTCCCCAGTCTGTCCGACTTAAGTGTGACCCCAGTCTGTCTGACATAAGTGTGTACCCAGTCTGTCCGACATAAGTGTGTCCCCGGTCTATCTGACATAAGTGTGTCACCGGTCTATCTGACATAAGTGTGTTCCCGGTCTATCTGACATAAGTGTGTCCCCAGTCTGTCTGACATAAGTGTGTCCCCGGTCTATCTGACATAAGTGTGTCCCCGGTCTATCTGACATAAGTGTGTTCCAGTCTATCTGACATAAGTGTGTCCCCAGTCTGTCCGACATGTGTGTCCCCGGTCTATCTGACATAAGTGTGTCCCCGGTCTATCTGACATAAGTGTGTCCCCAGTCTGTCTGACAAAAGTGTGTCCCCAGTCTGTCCGACATGTGTGTCCCCCGTTTATCTGACATAAGTGTGTCCCCGGTCTATCTGACGTAAGTGTGTCCCCGGTCTATCTGACATAAGTGTGTAACCAGTCTGTCCGACTTAAGTGTGTCCCCAGTCTGTCTGCCATACCTGTGACCCCAGTCTGTCTGACATAAGTGTGTCCCCAGTATGTCCGACATGTGTGATTCCAGTCTGTCTGACATAAGTGTGTCCCCAGTCTGTCTGACATAAGTGTGTCCCCAGTCTGTCTGACATAAGTGTGTCCCGCAGCTGTCTGCCATAAGTGTGTCCCGAGTCTGTCCGACATAAATATGCCCCAGTCTATCTGACATAAGTGTGTCCCCAGTCTGTCCGACTTAAGTGTGTCCCCAGTCTGTCCGACATGTGTGTCCCCGGTCTATCTGACATAAGTGTGTCCCCGGTCTATCTGACATAAGTGTGTCCCCAGTCTATCTGACATAAGTGTGTTCCAGTCTATCTGACATAAATGTGTCCCCGGTCTATCTGACATAAGTGTGTTCCAGTCTGTCTGACATAAATGTGTCTCCGGTCTATCTGACATAAGTGTGTCCCCGGTCTATCTGACATAAGTGTGTCCCCGGTCTATCTGACATAAGTGTGTTCCCGGTCTATCTGACATAAGTGTGTTCCTGTCTATGTGACACAAGTGTGTCCCCGGTCTATCTGACCTAAGTGTGTCCCCGGTCTATCTGACCTAAGTGTGTTCCAGTCTATGTGACATAAGTGTGTCCCCAGTCTATCTGACATAAGTGTGTCCCCAGTCTGTCCGACATAAGTGTGTCCCCGGTCTATCTGACATAAGTGTGTCCCAAGTCTGTCCGACATGTGTGTCCCCGGTCTATCTGACATAAGTGTGTCCCCGGTCTATCTGACATAAGTGTGTCCCCAGTATGTCTGACATAAGTGTGTTCCCGGTCTATCTGACATAAGTGTGTCCCCAGTCTGTCCGACTTAAGTGTGTCCCCAGTCTGTCCGACATGTGTGTCCCCGGTCTATCTGACATAAGTGTGTCCCCGGTCTATCTGACATAAGTGTGTCCCCGGTCTATCTGACAAAAGTGTGTCCCCAGTCTGTCCGACATGTGTGTCCCCGGTCTATCTGACATAAGTGTGTCCCCGGTCTATCTTACGTAAGTGTGTCCCCGGTCTATCTGACATAATTGTGTTCCAGTCTATTTAACATAAGTGTGTCCCCGGTCTATCTGACATAAGTTTGTACCCAGTCTTTCCGACTTAAGTGTGTCCCCAGTCTGTCTGACATACGTGTGTCCCCAGTCTGTCCGACTTAAGTGTGACCCCAGTCTGTCTGACATAAGTGTGTACCCAGTCTGTCCGACATAAGTGTGTCCCCGGTCTATCTGACATAATTGTGTTCCAGTCTATTTAACATAAGTGTGTCCCCGGTCTATCTGACATAAGTTTGTACCCAGTCTTTCCGACTTAAGTGTGACCCCAGTCTGTCTGACATAAGTGTGTACCCAGTCTGTCCGACTTAAGTGTGCCCCCAGTCTGTCTGACATACCTGTGACCCCAGTCTGTCTGACATAAGTGTGTCCCCAGTATGTCCGACATGTGTGATTCCAGTCTGTCTGACATAAGTGTGTCCCCAGTCTGTCTGCCATAAGTGTGTCCCCAGTCTGTCTGACATAAGTGTGTCCCCAGTTGGGAACTTCTCCAAACCTATTATACAGAATCGAGCAGCATATTTAGTACGGATCATCTTATGTCAGACAGCACGTTAACTCGAGATGAATGTCACGTCTATTACAACCTAGACAAAGCAAGATCTCACATGTGAAGACAGACTTCTCTGCTTCCGGTGACAATTTGGTGAAGGCCAAGGCCACAGATAAGAATGAAAGCAAGTTGAAGGTCTCTTCCAGTGTTAGATCCATTCTGAAAGACACCAAGAGAGAACAAATATTAAACCAGAAACTCAACAGTGAATATGTGATGACAAATGTTGACTGTGAACAACTTACTGACATATATTTGAACGCTATGGATTTGTTTTGAATCAATAACACAAACAATATGAGAAAAGACACGGATATAATATTTTTACGACGGATCACAGGCTTGCTCTGGTATTCAGTGGAGAGTGCACCCAAACAAAAGGGACACAACTCCGCAATGACTTATTTCAGTCCAGTGTAACCCTGCAGTCATGATGTAATTTCTGGATGATAGCGATTCTTTTCCGAGTGTTTTGTTCACTTTTGATCTTAAATGTTCCACCTCGAGTATCGAACCGTGAACTATACTAATATAAAATATGGACGCGTGTAAGATGTGAATGGAGCACTAGGTTTTCAAAATTCAAACTAATCATGGAATTAAAGATGCATCCTGACGTCTTTGACTGCTTTGACAGGAGAATAAATTAATTTGGTTCCTGACTCTCTGTGCGTCTTCAACACTCGCATGTTTATGTGTCGTGAAGAGACGGAGCCCAGCTAACATAAAGCTGTACCGTGCATGGCGAATACTGTCAGTGACGTCATAGACAGAAACAGTGGAAATGACGTCACAGAATGGTTCCATGACGACGTTGATGGTTCCCACTCAGTCGCCGACACAACTTGGTGGTGTTCAGACGTACATCTGTTGCTGCTGCAAAACTTCACATTTGTTACTGGTCTGTGTCTACTTGCACAAGTCTACACCTCATCTCAGTGTCAGGTAAGCCATGCCAGTTTAACTCCTACAGTTGGTTTACTTTTACTGAGAGCCTTTGTTTGCTAACCCTCGTTCACATCTATATTTCACGGCTCTGAAATTCTTTATCAGTAAATTACCTTTGTATTAATTGACACTCATTCTCCAATGTAATTACGGAGCTCAAATGATTCTGTCTTTTTCTGATAGATTTTGAGGCACAGCTGGAACGTTTAGATTTAATCATTTTGCCTGTTTGTCTGATGTTTTAGTTATTGTTTCATCCATAAACTAGTTTGTTTGGATGAAATCTCAGTCTGCAATGTCAATACTCAAATTCCTAAATTCAAATGTGATTATGTTTTGTCCCACAGATGAAGATGTATCCACAAGAACGACTGAAGAGTAGGAAACTACTCTCCCCCATACTCGAGGCGAACGAGCGTCAGTCTAACCCTCGAAGTCCAAGAACGCCAGAACTGCATCAAGAATTACTTGGTAGGAAATCATAGTTTTATAATACAAAACTAATTAAATGCAAGACATCATCACTTCATGTGTTTGTTTGAAGCAATAACAGTTACATTCCAAGTATGTTTTGGTCTTTATATAACAGTGGAATCGAGTCGGGTGTTTGTACTTTTGTTTTTGGTTTCGTTTCCAGTTCAGTACATGGACCTGAAATCTCAAGTCGGAGATTTGGAGGAAAGGTAGGCGCAGTCTCGTTTAATATTCATGAACGTTCGTCTAAAATATACACTAATTAAAAATAAGAAATGTACATCTCATTCAAGTATTATAGATAAAATGACTTTGAGAAATGATATCTTCTAAACTATCGACATATCTTTTTTCAGTCTTCTCGATCACCTTTTCAATGAAAACCAGAAGCTGAGAGAGGAGAACGAGCGACAGGCCCGACAACTCCGGGAGGAGAACGCCTTAAGGCTGAAAGTTGAGTCGGAGAGACAGGACTATAGGTTGGAGTATTTCAACTATCGCCTCAGTTACACAATGGCGCAGGCTGAGGTCCAGGAACTGAAGCAGACGCTAGAGGGACTGGCGGGGGACTGGGAGAAGGAGAAGCAGACAGAGATGGAGCAGAGGAAGAAGCTGGAGGAAGAGCTGGCAGCTCTCCAGCGCCAGACTGCCCCTCTGACCTGTCACACTCCTGCCAATAAGCGGACCAGTTCCTCCAGCGTCGGTCCTCCAGTTCAACCAAGGAAGGCTCGAAGACCTTACACAGGAAAGTCAAAGGACAAGGTTCCAAGCAAGATCTCACATGTGAAGACAGACTTCTCTGCTTCCGGTGACAATTTGGTGAAGGCCAAGGCCACAGATAAGAATGAAAGCAAGTTGAAGGTCTCTTCCAGTGTTAGATCCATTCTGAAAGACACCAAGAGAGAACAGGATGCTGAAAGGAAACCAACCAGATCCTCCAGGAACCTTTCTGTGAGATTCACAAAGGAAATGCCAGTTGGAAAGACCCGTTACGAAATGTAATTACGACCCTCGCCACAAGGAACAAACTTCATAAACTGTTTAATTGTTGGTTCTTTAAATTATATTGATTTCACATTCTTTAAAATTCGTGTGTAAAATAATCGCTGATTATGTTGTGCATGTGTCATTGTTTCTCTGTTAACATCCTAGTAATATATCACGTTACTGAAGAAACTGCTTTGTGTTTGTATTTACAACCTCATCAATTATGTGGGAAGTCAATGATTACCTCTCAACTCTGACTGGGATGATGCATGTCCGCCATGCCCCAAAGTCGTGGGTCGATGCTCACACTTTCTACCACTGGTTTGCCTGCTCCCGTGCACACACTGTCACGCTTCGCGGGAATAGATCACGACAGATGAAAGTTGATGAAGAAAACAAATACTTTCATATTTACCTTTAGGTTTATATCGAACACTGAAGCTAAAAGGTCATTCATATTTCTTCTTACCGAGTAATTAGCTTCAGGACGCAATTCGTTACATGTTCAATGAGTGAGTATACACCCTGACACAAGGTAGACAACTCTGTTCCCCTTATTTCGTGGAGGGACATGAAATGTTGGAAACATGATTTCGTTCCCCAAATTTCTTCTTTCTTTTCCTTCAAAATAGCCTGACATTCCCTCGGATTAACATTTGTTCGGCGGAAACATTGAACCAGGTTGTTTTCTACATAAGTAGAAAATAATATATGAGATATTATACACTGTGTCGTAATAACTATATCAATGGTCATGAAATCATTTTGAAGGGAATTAATAAGTCCCCATTTAGTTACTGACATGGGTGAATGGAGTGAAGATAACCGAGTCCGTCATTGATCCTTTGAACCTTCACCCACCTTTGTGACCGATGTTTGTTAACCGGTTTTCATACATGCGCATATGGCATGCATATCTACGTTATAGATATCTTTGCAAATGTAGCGTATATGAGTAATTTTACAAGGATATGTCCAGTGCAGCTATATCTCAAGACACGCGAGTGTGCCGCCACTCTGTCTGAGGTAATGTGCCACTGTACTGTGCCTCCAATCTGTATAAATATAGTGTGCCCCCACCTGTCTATAGTAATTGTGCCCCCACTTTGTCTGACGTAAAGTCCAATTTTTCTATATGACCATTTTGAAGGAATATTTACGCTTCGCATATCGGTTCAAATGCAGCGTGAAAACGTATTTTTTCATTTATCTGTCGTATATAAACATATCTCAAGAAACACCAGGGTGTTATAATTCTGTCTGACGTAATGTGCCGCCAGCATCTCTAAATTAAATGCGCCCGACAGTCTGTCTGCCATAAGCGTATCCCCAGTCTGTCTGGCATAAGTGTGTACCCAGTCTGTCTGACATAAGTGTGTCCCCAGTCTGTCTGACATAAGCGTATTCCCAGTCTGTCTGGCATAAGTGTGTCCCCAGTCTGTCTGACATAAGGGTGTCCCCAGTTGGGAACTTCTCCGAACCTATTCTAGAGAATCGAGCAGCATATTTAGTGCGGATCATCTGATGTCAGACAGCACGTTAACTCGAGATGAATGTCACGTCTATTACAACCTGGAGTGTTAGGTGAAAAGTTAACGCACTAGAAGAGCATCCTGTCAACTATTATACCAGAAACTCAACAGTGAATATTTGATGACAAATGTTGACTGTGAACAACTTACTGACATATATTTGAACGCTATGGATTTGTTTTGAATCAATAACACAAACAAAATGAGAAAAGACACGGATATAATATTTTTACGACGGATCACAGGCTTGCTCTGGTATTCAGTGGAGAGTGCACCCAAACAAAAGGGACACAACTCCGCAGTGACTAATTTCAGTCCAGTGTAACCCTGCAGTCATGATGGAATTTCTGGATGATTGCGATTCTTTTTCCAAGTGAGTAAGTGAGTGAGTGAGTATGGTTTTACGCAGCCTTTAGCAATATTCCAGCAATATCACGGCGGGGGACACCAGAAAAGAGCTTCACACATTGTACCCATGTGGGGCATAGAACCCTGGCCTTCGGAGTGACGAGCGAACGCTTTAACCACCAGGCTACCCAACCGCCCCATTTTCCAAGTGTTGTGTTCACTTGTGATCTTAACTGTTCCTCCTCGAGTTTCAAACTGTGAAATATACTATTATGAAAAAATATCGATGCGTGTTAGGTGTAAGTGAAGCGCTTGGTTTTCTTAATGTAAAGTAATCATGGAATTAAAGATGCACCCTGACGTCTTTTACAGCTTTGACAGGAGACTTAATCTTCAACATGCATAATTTGTTATGTGTCGTGTAGAGACGGAACCCAGCTTACATAAAGCCGTATCGTGCATGGTGAACACTGTCAGTGACGTCATAGACAGAAACAGTGGAAATGACGTCACAGAATGGTTCCATGACGACGTTGATGGTTCCCAATCAGTCGCCGACACAACTTGGTGGTGTTCAGACGTACATGTGTTGCTGCTGCAAAACCTCACATTTGTTGCTGGTCTGTGTCTACTTGCACAAGTCTACACCTCATCTCAGTATTAGGTAAGTCATGCCAGTTTAAGTCCTGCAGTTGGTTTACTTTTACTGATATAGTTTGTTTCCTAACCCTCGTTCACATCTATATTTCACGGCTCTGAAATTATTTATCAATAAATTACCTTTGTATTAATTGACACTCAGTCTCCAATGTAATTACGGAACTCAAATAATTCCTAAATTCAAATATGATTATGTTTTGTCCCACAGATGAAGATGTATCCACAAGAACGACTGAAGAGTAGGAAACTACTCTCCCCCATACTCGAGGCGAACGAGCGTCAGTCTAACCCTCGTAGTCCAAGAACGCCAGCACTGCATCAAGAATTACTTGGTAGGAGATCCTGAATTTATAATACAAAACTAATTAAATGCAAGACATCATCACTTGATGTGTTTCTTTGAAGCAATTACAGTTACATTCCAAATATGTTTTGGTCTTTATATAACAGTGGAATCGAGTCGGGTGTTTGTACTTTTGTTTTTGTTTTCGTTTCCAGTTCAGTATATGGACCTGAAATCTCAAGTCGGAGATTTGGAGGAAAGGTAGGCACAGTCTCGTTTAATATTCCTGAACGTGACAGGTCATATAAACGACCATTTTAATTTAATCCAGAACCGACACAATCTTATTCTCTGTCAGCCATGAGACTAAATCGTAGCACGATTTACCGTTAGATTGTAGACCACGTGATGCCCATCCCTGATGCACACTGCCATGCAGGTGCAATGTGTCTTATGTTGGCGTACAAAATACAAAATAGAAAAATAAGAAATGTACATCTCATTTAAATATTATTCACAAAATGACTTTGAGAAACGAAATCTTCTAAACTATCGACATGTCTTTTTCAGTCTTCTCGATCATCTTTTCAATGAGAACCAGAAGCTGAGAGAGGAGAACGAGCGACAGGCCCGACAACTCCGGGAGAAAAACACGTTAAGGCTTAAAGCTGAGTCGGAGAGACAGGACTATAGGCTGGAGTATTTCAACTATCGTCTCAGTTACACAATGGCGCAGGCTGAGCTCCAGGAACTGAAGCAGACGCTAGAGGAACTGGCGGGGGACTGGGAGAAGGAGAAGCAGACAGAGATGGAGCAGAGGAAGAAGCTGGAGGAAGAGCTGGCAGCTCTCCAGCGCCAGACTGCCCCTCTGACCTGTCACACTCCTGCCAATAAGCGGACCAGTTCCTCCAGCGTCGGTCCTCCAGTTCAACCAAGGAAGGCTCGAAGACCTTACACAGGAAAGTCAAAGGACAAGGTTCCAAGCCGGATCTCACATGTCAAGACAGACTTCTCTGCTTCCGGTGACAACTTTGTGAAGGCCAAGGCCACAGATAAGAATGAAACCAAGTTGAAGGTCACTTCCAGTGTAAGATCCATTCTGAAAGACACCAAGAGAGAACAGGGTGCTGAAAGGAAACCAACCAGATCCTCCAGGAACCTTTCTGTGAGATTCTCAAAGGAAATGCCAGTTGGAAAGATCCGTCGCGAAATGTAATTACGACCCTCGCCACAAGGAACAAACTTTATAAACTGTTTAATTGTTGGTTCTTTAATTAATATTGATTTCACATTCTTTTAATTCCGTGTGTAAAATAATCGCTGATTATGTTATGCATGTGTCATTGTTTCTCTGTTAACATCTGAGTAATATATTACGTTACTGAAGAAACTGCTTTGTGTTTGTATTTACAACCTCATCAGTTATGTGGGAAGTCAATGATCACCTCTCAACTCTGACCAGGATGATGCATGTCCGTCATGCCCCAAAGTCGTGGGTCGATGCTCACACTTTCTACCACTGGTTTGCCTGCTCCCGCGCACAATGTCACGCTTCGCGGGAGTAAATCACGACAGATGAAAGTTGATGAAGAAAACAAATACTTTCATATGTACCTTTAGGTTAATATCGAACACTGAAGGGGCACGGGTGGCCCAGTCGTCTAAGGCGCCGCAATTCGCTGTGCAGAGTTGCGTCCCTTGGGCACGCCAGAAACCTATGATTGTGGGTTCGAATCCCGGTTCGCCCCGATTATGTTTCTAGGTTTGTCAGCACCATGCCCGTGCTCGTGGGTTTCACCGAAGTGGTAAACGTCTGAGACCTGTATCACTTCGGGCTTTCCTCCCACATTAAGCTGACACGCCGTGATATAACTGGAATACTGTTAAAAGCGGCGTTAAACCCAACTCACTCACTCACTCGAACACTGAAGGTAAAAGGTCATTTATATTTCTTCTTACCGAGTAATTAGATTCAGGACGCAATTCGTTACCTGTTCAGTGAGTGAGTATACACCCTGACACAAGGTAGACAACTCTGTTCCCCTTATTTCGAGGAGGGACAGGAAATGTTAGAAACATGATTTCGTTCCCCAAATTTCTTCTTTCTTTTCCTTCAAAATAGCATGACATTTCCCCCGGACTAATATTTGTTCGGGGGAAACATGGAACCATGTTGTTTTCTACATAAATAGAAAATAATATATTAGATGTAATACACTGTGTCGTAATAACGATAAGAATGGTCATAAAATCATTTTATGTGTCCCCAGTCTGTCTGACATAAGTGTGTCCCCAAACTGTCTAACATAAATGTGTTCCCAGTCTGTCCGACATAAGTGTGTCCCCAGTCTGTCTGACATAAGTGTGTCCCCAGTCTGTCCGACATAAGTGTGTCCCCAGTCTGTCTGACATAAGTGTGTACCCAGTCTGTCTGACATAAGTGTGTACCCAGTCTGTCTGACATAAGTGTGTCCCCAGTCTGTCTGACATGAGTGTGTCCCCAGTCTATCTGACATAAGTGTGTTCCAGTCTGTCTGACATAAGTGTGTACCCAGTCTGTCTGACATAAGTGTGTCCCCAGTCTGTCTGACATGAGTGTGTCCCCAGTCTATCTGACATAAGTGTGTTCCAGTCTATCTGACATAAGTGTGTCCCCAGTCTGTCTGACATAAGTGTGTACCCAGTCTGTCTGACATAAATGTGTCCTCAGTCTATCTGACATAAGTGTGTCCCCAGTCTGTTTGACATAAGTGTGTCCCCAGTCTCTCTGACATAAGTGTGTACCCAGTCTGTCCGACATAAATGTGTCCTCAGTCTGTCTGACATAAGTGTGTCCCCAGTTTGTCTGACATAAGTGTGTCCCCAGTCTATCTGACATAAGTGTGTTCCAGTCTATCTGAAACAAGTGTGTCCCCAGTCTATCTGACATAAGTGTGTCCCCAGTCTGTCTGACATAAGTGTGTCCCCAGTCTCTCTGACATAAGTGTGTACCCAGTCTGTCCGACATAAATGTGTCCTCAGTCTGTCTGACATAAGTGTGTCCCCAGTTTGTCTGACATAAGTGTGTCCCCAGTCTATCTGACATAAGTGTGTTCCAGTCTATCTGAAACAAGTGTGTCCCCAGTCTATCTGACATAAGTGTGTCCCCAGTCTGTCTGACATAAGTGTGTCCCAAGTCTATCTGACATAAGTGTGTTCCAGTCTATCTGACATAAGTGTGTCCCCAGTCTGTCTGACATAAGTGTGTCCCCAGTCTGTCTGACATAAGTGTGTACCCAGTCTGTCTGACATGAGTGTGTCCCCAGTCTGTCTGCCATAAGTGTGTCCCCAGTCTGTCTGACATAAGTGTGTCCCCAGTCTGTCTGACATACGTGTGTCCCCAGTCTGTCTGACACAAGTGTGTCCCCAGTATGTCCGACATAAGTGTGTCCCTAGTTTGTCTGACATAAGTGTGTCCCTAGTTTGTCTGACATAAATGTGTCCTCAGTCTATCTGACATAACTGTGTCCCCAGTCTGTCTGACATAAGTGTGTCCCCAGTCTCTCTGACATAAGTGTGTACCCAGTCTGTCCGACATAAATGTGTCCTCAGTCTGTCTGACATAAGTGTGTCCCCAGTTTGTCTGAGATAAGTGTGTCCCCAGTCTATCTGACATAAGTGTGTTCCAGTCTATCTGAAACAAGTGTGTCCCCAGTCTATCTGACATAAGTGTGTCCCCAGTCTGTCTGACATAAGTGTGTCCCAAGTCTATCTGACATAAGTGTGTTCCAGTCTATCTGACACAAGTGTGTCCCCAGTCTATCTGACATAAGTGTATTCCAGTCTATCTGACACAAGTGTGTCCCCAGTCTCTCTGGCATAAGTGTGTCCCCAGTCTATCTGATATACGTGTGTCCCCAGTCTGTTTGTCATTAGTGTGTCCCCAGGCTGTCTGACATAAGTGTGTTCCCTAAGTGAGTCATCATCGCAGGTCACTTTTTTATGATATTGTTTTTTGTTTCATTTTTTCAGTTGTTGGTGTTTATTTATGTGCAGTGGCTTTAAGTAACGTTATTCTGTACCTGAAACAGTTGCTACGTGTTTTACAAAACGGCATTGATAAATCAATCACTTTTAACCTCACATTGAAAGCTGTTGGTTCGTACGAGTAGTATGTATAGATTTTGAACTAAGTACTTCGCTGTCACTACGTGAGCAGTTTACGGCTTGCGGGAAAGTCGCCAGTTAAAGCGGTTCAAATGTTTAGGTATCGCTAAGGACGCTGTGAAAGGTATGAGCGTGCAGTTCAAGTTTCCTAGCAAACATGGATGACAGCCGGGAATTTATAACACGAGTTGACATTGGGTATAGCAGCTTATTCCATGACGAAATCCTGAAGCTACGAAACCACCCGAGGAAATAGGACTGCAGAGCGTATTGTCGCTAGGCTAGGTAGGACGAGTGTTTATTTTAACACCCAGCTTGTCCATGTATATTACACGCTTCGAAACTCAATCATTGTGCAAATGACTGTAGGCTCCTGCTTTATATTGCTAACCTCTGTGTGGTGACCCTAACGGCTTTACAACAACGTTTATTAAAATGTCGTAGCTTAACGGCCTTCTAAGTCCGGGCGGGTGTACTCGCCCACAGCAGGTTGTTGGTTAGGCTGGTACATTGGAGTGCGACAAGGTTGATGTATGTACACCCTGTTCTTTCAAATTCTGTCTTGGAGACGACAGGCACAGGTAATGTTCACTAGGCTGTGTCAGTCTAATCTTTCTGGTCACCGATAAAATCCGTTTCTGTTTACATATGATAACAGCTGCGGTGTTATATGCTTTTAACGCATGCTGTAGTATTCACAATGAAGTACATGGTTGATTATGATTACCAAGATAATCGCCTCTGTACAGAACTATTAAGTCTGTTGTATACAGGTAATTCTAAAGCTATAATCCTTTCATAGATTTCTAATACACATGCAATGTTCACAACGGGAATTCCTCACTGCTGTTCAAAGGTGGAGTGTCAAAGCCCGGATAAGATGCAAAACGTGTTCTTTTCACTGTATTATTTGAGCTGGATCTACCATGTTCCCACATTCTATTCAGGATTAGTGCAGTTGCATTACTTAATCGGTTTAATCGGCGTTTACTGACAGACTGTCCAAGGTAAGAACTAACACAGCCAGCAAATCTGTCTTTTCAAACTCATATCGTGGATAAAATTGACATACTTACAGTCCGGTGTCGGCCAAGAAGACATTGTTAATAAATGCCCCATTATGCTTTTGTATCGGAATAGATCAAGACTGTGATAATCTATTTCAAGAAGGAAAACGAGACATAAATTGCCGGGGAAAAGAAAGCATACACCTATATTTAATGATGGCTTTAAGCAAGAAATGGTTACTTGTATTTGATACGGGTACCATAGTTGTTTTTTGGACCTTAAGTAGTGTTTCAGTGACTGTTTTGATAACGTTTGTATTTTTTTTTGGTCAAATCGAGTTTTCACGTGTATGCTTTCCTTTGCCTGCAGTTAATGTGAACTAACAAACTGTTTGAAATACTGTGTTAACTCATGTCAGATTAAACCGCCTTAAAATTACATTTTAAAAAACCACTGAATTTATTTTTATCTTTTTATAAATCTTTACGGTCAGTGGGTGCGGAGAACAAGTATGTAAATTATCAGGTCAATTATTATAAATGTGTTGTAGACAGTGTGGATATTTTCTAAATTTGTGAAATAATGCCATTGTCGTGGCTAGATTTCAGTGCACTTAGGGTTGAAAGCTCCATGTGAATCTAAGGCAAAAAAACAAACAAACAAACAAATATCAAGCTAATACAGACGTGATCATGTCCAGACAGTGACATTACCACTTTGAAGATTAGATGATAATTATGCCAAGATGGTATTTTTGCTAGACGTAAAAAAAAACGTCTTTAAAAACCCCATATATCTTAAGGATACAATTACTCTTTTATTTATTGGTATAGGCCTGGGTATACCGTATATGTACTCCGGCCGGTATTCATACCAAGAGTGCTACATAATACCAGAAATTGCTTGGGGCAGGGATGAGAGTGAGTGAGTTTGGTTTTACGCCGCTTTTAGCAATATTCCAGCAAAATCACGGCGGGGGACACCAGAAATGGGCTTCACGCATTGTACCCATGTCGGGAATTGCACCCGGGTCTTCGGCGTGACGAGCGAACGCTTTAACCACTTGGCTACCCGACCGCCCCGGGCAGGGATTAGAGGGTGTAAACGACAATGCTGATTAATAGGTGGCACACATGGTTGCCGTTATGATATTGTTCGGCTTGAACGCAGATATATTGCTGCTGATATAACACTGTGTAGTACATGTACCGTTATCCCATTGCGCTCGAACACGGAGATCGGTCATTATTATGTTTCATTCAGTGTACTTTGTTCGGTTCTTCAAGGGGGACTGCTCGATTGACTTCCATTATGCAAATGTCTGTTTCACGTGATGAACAAGCTGATCCAATATAGTAGCAAAACGTGAACTGTGTAGACCCGGACAATTGAACTGTGCGATTATTGAAGCGATAAGTGTGTACTTAAGCCCTGAGCCCGGTTATTCAAAGGCTTGTTAACTGATTGGTACGTTTCAGTCCCTTGTCTTGAACGTATGTATGAAAACACCGTCTGTCTCCAGATCCACGGCATATGATGATGACGGCTAGCCACGACCATGTAGATAACTAGACATGACTAGCCCGTTTGTAGCTCACCTGAACGCCACGACTGTGTGTGTGTGTCACTATTTCTAATTCAACCATGCAGCTGATATTCACTATTTTATCTCCAGAAATATAGACTGAGATTCGGATGGATGGGCACGTTCAGGGCAAAGGCTAGCCAGGACTAGACTGAAGGTAGTTCCCATAAGTGAATGACCTGAACACACATACGTGGAGGACCTGAACACACATAAGTGAATAACCTGAACACACATACGTGGAGGACCTGAAAACACATACGTGGAAGACCTGAACACACATACGTGGATGACCTGAACACACATACGTTGAGGACCTGAACATACATACGTGGAGGATGTGAACACACATACGTGGAGGACCTTAACACACATCCTGAACACACATACGTGGAGGACCTGAACATACACACGTGGAGGATATGAACACACATACGTAGAGGACCTAAACACACATACGTGGAGGACCTGAACACACATACGTGGAGGACCTGAACACACATACGTGGAGAATCTGAACACACATACGTGGAGGACCTGAACACACATACGTGGAAGACCTGAACACACATACATTAATGACCTGAACACACATACGTGGAGAACCTGAACACACATACGTGGAGGACCTGAACACACATACATTAATGACCTAAACACACATACGTGGAGAATCTGAACACACATACGTGGATGACCTGAACACACATACGTGGAAGACCTGAACACACATACATTAATGACCTGAACACACATACGTGGAGAACCTGAACACACATACGTGGAGGACCTGAACACACATACGTGGAGGACCTGAACACACATACGTAGAGAACCTGAACACACATACGTGGAGGAACTGAACACACATACGTAGAGGACCTGAACACACATGCGTGGAGGACCTAAACACACATACGTGGAAGACCTGAACATACATACATGAATGACCTAAACACACATACGTGGAGGACCTGAACACACGTACGTGGAGGACCTGAACACACATACATAAAAGTGCATCTGAAGAGCACACAATGAAGTGAACGCGTGCCTCGAGTGGTTCAATGAAGAATCTGACAATGCTGCAGAGGAAGCCGAGACAAGACCCCGCGGTGCGTGACTTCTTCCAGGCGGTGAGGACGCGGAACCACAAGAAGGTGAGGATGATGCTGAAGAACAAGACCGTGCAGGACCCGGATGTTAGGGACGTGGAGGATCCGCTGCGACCCACGGCGTTGTTGGTGGCTAGTGAGATCGACGACGAGGAGACAGCGTGGCTACTGCTGAAACCCAAGAACAAACCAGCTGACGTTAACGCTGAAACTGTTCGAGGGAGGAGGGCGATCTGGTGAGTTTAGGGACACTGCGTGTTATCTCTGAAACATAGCAGGTTTTGTTTATTTTGTATATCATAGCACATTTTTTTCAGGACATCCTACACTTACAGCGAACATTTATTTCTTGTTGTGTAACACCTGACTCTAAATAAACTATTTTCCAGTATGTTATTCACTGGAACACGTTTCCCTAAAATTTGTAATGATAATACCGTGATTCATAAGTGTTTCAGTAAAATTTCGTTAGTCAAAACAAAACGTCTTCATTTATTCAAACGACAGAAGTCGATTGATTATCCGGACGATATAACTAGGAACAGTACATGGTTTCAATGTGAGTTGATTTGTAGAGATTGTTAACCATCAGAGAAAATTATTTACGAATTTGTCCTTCCGTGGAGGTGGGCGGCCAAACACGGGAGCGAGAAGCTGGCAGAAGCTCTACTCAGGAAGCCTGGGTGTGAGGTGAACGAGTTGGACAAGGAGACAGGTGGGTGTGAGGTGAACGAGTTGGACAAGGAGACAGGTGGGTGTGAGGTGAGTTGGACGAGGAGACAGGTGGGTGTGAGGTGGACGAGTTGGACGAGGAGACAGGTGGGTGTGGTGTGAGTTGGACGAGGAGACTGATAGGTGTGAGTTGGACAAGGAGACAGGTGGGTGTGAGGGGAACGAATTGGACGAGGAGACAGGTGGGTGTGAGGTGGACGAGTTGGACAAGGAGACTGATGGGTGTGAGTTGGACGAGGAGACAGGTGGGTGTGAGGTGGACGAGTTGGACAAGGAGACTGATGGGTGTGAGTTGGACGAGGAGACAGGTGGGTGTGAGGTGGACGAGTTGGACAAGGAGACTGATGGGTGTGAGGTGGACGAGTTGGACGAGGAGACAGGTGGGTGTGAGGTGGAAGAGTTGGACAAGGAGACTGATGGGTGTGAGGTGGACGAGTTGGACGAGGAGACAGGTGGGTGTGAGGTGGACGAGTTGGACAAGGAGACAGGTGGGTGTGGTGTGAGGTGGACGAGTTGGACAAGGACACAGGTGGGTGTGGTGTGAGGTGAACGAGGAGACAGGTGGGTGTGAGGTGAACGAGTTGGACAAGGAGACAGGTGGGTGTGGTGTGAGGTGAACGAGTTGGACGAGGAGACAGGTGGGTGTGAGGTGGACGAGTTGGACAAGGAGACTGATGGGTGTGAGGTGTACGAGTTGGACGAGGAGACAGGTGGGTGTGAGGTGGACGAGTTGGACAAGGAGACTGATGGGTGTGAGGTGGACGAGTTGGACAAGGAGACTGATGGGTGTGAGGTGGACGAGTTGGACGAGGAGACAGGTGGGTGTGAGGTGGACGAGTTGGACGAGGAGACAGGTGGGTGTGGTGTGAGGTGGACGAGTTGGACAAGGACACAGTTGGGTGTGGTGTGAGGTGAACGAGGAGACAGGTGGGTGTGAGGTGAACGAGTTGGACAAGGAGACAGGTGGGTGTGGTGTGAGGTGAACGAGTTGGACGAGGAGACAGGTGGGTGTGAGGTGAACGAGTTGGACAAGGAGACAGGTGGGTGTGAGGTGAACGAGTTGGACAAGGAGACAGGTGGGTGTGAGGTGGACGAGTTGGACGAGGAGACAGGTGGGTGTGGGTGTGAGGTGGACGAGTTGGACAAGGAGACAGGTGGGTGTGAGGTGAACGAGTTGGACAAGGAGACAGGTGCGTGTGGGTGTGAGGTGGACGAGTTGGACAAGGAGACGGGTGGGTGTGAGGTGTACGAGTTAGACAAGGAGACGGGTGGGTGTGGTGTGAGTCGGGCGAGTTGGACAAGGAGACAGGTGGGTGTGAGGTGAACGAGTTGGACAAGGAGACAGGTGGGTGTGAGGTGGACGAGTTGGACGAGGAGACAGGTGGGTGTGGGTGTGAGGTGGACGAGTTGGACAAGGAGACAGGTGGGTGTGAGGTGAACGAGTTGGACAAGGAGACAGGTGCGTGTGGGTGTGAGGTGGACGAGTTGGACAAGGAGACGGGTGGGTGTGAGGTGTACGAGTTAGACAAGGAGACGGGTGCGTGTGAGGTGGACGAGTTGGACGAGGAGACAGGTGCGTGTGAGGTGGAAGAGTTGGACGAGGAGACAGGTGCGTGTGAGGTGGACGAGTTGGACGAGGAGACAGGTGGGTGTGGTGTGAGTCGGGCGAGTTGGACAAGGAGACAGGTGGGTGTGAGGTGAACGAGTTGGACAAGGACAAAGGTGCGTGTGGGCGTGAGGTGGACGAGTTGGACAAGGAGACAGGTGGGTGTGAGGTGGGCGAGTTGGACGAGGAGACAGGTGGGTGTGAGGTGGGCGAGTTGGACAAGGAGACAGGAGCGTGTGAGGTGGACGAGTTGGACGAGGAGACAGGTGGGTGTGAGGTGAACGAGTTGGACAAGGAGACAGGTGGGTGTGAGGTGAACGAGTTGGACAAGGAGACAGGTGGGTGTGAGGTGGGCGAGTTTGACAAGGAGACAGGAGCGTGTGAGGTGGACGAGTTGGACAAGGAGACAGGTGGGTGTGAGGTGAACGAGTTGGACAAGGAGACAGGTGGGTGTGAGGTGAACGAGTTGGACAAGGACAAAGGTGCGTGTGGGCGTGAGGTGGACGAGTTGGACAAGGAGACAGGTGGGTGTGAGGTGGGCGAGTTGGACAAGGACAAAGGTGCGTGTGGGTGTGAGGTGGACGAGTTGGACAAGGAGACAGGTGGGTGTGAGGTGGACGAGTTGGACGAGGAGACAGGTGCGTGTGAGGTGGACGAGTTGGACGAGGAGACTGATGGGTGTGAGGTGAACGAGATGAATGGGTGGGTCACCCCTCATCACCAGATGGACATGGAGAGTGGTATGTGGATCATCTATCAGCATTAGGTTGAGCCAAACGAATATGTATGTCATATGAAAGTGGTTTCATGGATATGTCGGTGTTGCTATGATGTGTCGTGGTGAGTTTGTAACGGGCAAGTAACATTCCTGATGTTGTCGTCAGGTTGTGCGCCACTTTATCGAGCGATCATCAGCAACTCGGACGCTGTGGTCCAGCTTCTCATCCACAATGGAGCAGACGTCAACATGCGCAGACTCGGCTTCGGCGTCGGAGCAGAAACTCCGCTGATCAAGTATGATATGACTTATGACAATATCTATAGGCATTTCAACAGGGAATCAAACATATTAGGGATATGACTTATAACAATATCTATAGGCATTTCAACAGGGAATCAAACATAAGGGATATGACTTATAACAATACCTTTAGGCATTTCAACAGGGAATCAAACATATGGGATATGACTTATAACAATATCTATAGGCATTTCAACAGGGAATCAAACACAAGGGATATGACTTATAACAATAACTTTAGGCATTTCAACAGGGAATCAAACATATGGGATATGACTTATAACAATACCTTTAGGCATTTCAACAGGGAATCAAACATATGGGATATGACTTATAACAATATCTATAGGCATTTCAACAGGGAATCAAACATATGGGATATGACTTATAACAATATCTATAGGCATTTCAACAGGGAATCAAACACAAGGGATATGACTTATAACAATACCTTTAAGCATTTCAACAGGGAATCAAACATATTAGGGATATGACTTATAACAATATCAATAGGCATTTCAACAGGGAATCAAACATAAGGGATATGACTTATAACAATATCTATACGCATTTCAACAGGGAATCAAACATAGGGGATATGACTTATAACAATATCTATAGGCATTTCAACAGGGAATCAAACATAAGGGATATGACTTATAACAATATCTATAGGCATATCAACAGGGAATCAAACATAGGGGATATGACTTTCGGGAAAAAAATGCATGGCATCCAAGTGAATTTTTATTTTGGGCAAAACTGAGGCAATTTTTCCCCAGGATTTTCGATCTGGATTTAAATAAATTTGTCAAAATTCCCATATTCAACATGAATCAGCAAATATATTTTGTCATGTTATAAAAGTAGGGATGTTTTTAAGCTTAAGAATGTAAGGATGCATTTTGTTTAAGTTAAGTTCGTAAATACCACCCCACTCATGCGGGGTCAGCGATTCTTATTCACGAACCTACAGTCCTCGTCTGTTTTCCTTAACGGAATATTGCTAAATTTAACCCCTCTCAACCCTTAAGATACTTCTTTGATGGTTAACCTCTATACTGCAGATACTATCGTCTTCTCATTATTTCCACGGAGTTTAGATTCCATGTCAGGTGGAGATACTTCTTCAATACTTTCATGACTGAAGCCACTCTTTGAAACATTTCAGGGCCGTTCAGTTGAACAACAAAGCAATTTGTGAATGCCTAATCAACTCCCTGTGCAACATCCAGGCAAGAACAGACAACAACATGAACGCCCTCCACTACGCCGTGGCATACCGGCGCTACGACATCTGCGAGGTGCTTTTAGAGAACCAGATCAAGATCCATGCCAAGAGCACCCATGGCGTTACAGCAATGACGATCGCCATCGAACATCACAATGCAGCAATGGTCAAGATACTCATTCAATACGGCTACAAGATTGACAAGAAATACAAATGGAAGGAGACGCCATTAGAGCAGGCAATAAAGCTCCATAGTGAGGCTTGTGCAATTACTCTTGTTCACGCCGGATGTAGCATAGACACTCTGCGTGGGAAGCCATCTTTCTTCTACATGGCACTAAACGAAAAACTATTTTCCTTAGTGAAGCTTTTAGTGGACTTAAGGCCATCCTTCCTCAACGAAAGCTGGATCTGGTCGAGACAATGGCCTGTTGCAATATTTCAGATGCCCGAAGTGTGTGTTTGGTTGACTAACGAGAGCCGCAAGCCAAGGAGTTTGAAGTCAATGTGCAGGGGGAAAATATTCAAAATGCTTGGAAGATATCCTAGTTCCAAATCAGACAAACTGCCAATACCTGACGGACTTAAAGAATTCCTTAAGTATAACCACCATATTAGAGAAGAGTTTTATTGTCAAATTCCGTTGGATATTCAAGAATGCCCATTCGATTGTCCTTCCGGCTGTCCCATCAAGTACTGTCCCCCTCTCGACATCCCATCATCAGACTCAGACGGGATTGATTTCTGAACAGTTTGGGGTTGTTTTCCACTACTTATACAACTTGATGGACAGCTCAAAGTGTAGTCGACCGCCTCTGTGATCTATTGGATAGAGTGACGAGATCAGATATATTTTTTTCAGACACAGCTACAAAACCACATATTTATTTTTATCTAAAATCATGAGCCTTATATTTTTGTGGATTTCGGATTTGTTAACAGTCTGAAGCACATTATTTTTCTCTTCTGAATTTACGGGGACAATTTATTTTTTCGATACAATCCGACAATATTTGGCAAAATGTCCACACAAATCTAATTAAACACAACAACGTCATTGTTCGGGTTAGACTCTCATTCGATGTGTTTCGAGATGCAGTGAAGATGTGATCATCGGTTTTAATCTGACATATGCATGGTACGTTCTGTTTGTTTGTTTGTTTGTTTGTTGTTTAACGCCGCACTCAGCAATGTTCCAGCTATATGACGACAGTCTGTAAATAATCGAGTCTGGACCAGACAATCCAGTGGTTGACATCATGAGCATCTATTCATGCAATTGGGATACGATGACATGCATCAACCATGTCAGCGAGCATAACCACCCGATCCCGCCTCTAACGACAAGCTATTCGCCTTTTACGGGAAGCATGGGTTGCTGAAGACCTATTCTACCTCGCATCATCACGAGTCTGGTACGTTTTGACTACCAGTGGTCAGGTTTTACCAGGAATAAGAGCTGTTAGGACCAAATCGGTTCATCCGTTTTGGCGCTGGTCCGTTTTGACTGGCACCAATTGTAAGAAGCGCCAGGAATATATGTCTTGGAAGTTTGCCAGGAATAGCAGACAGAACTGGATACGTGGCAAGTATGCTGATTTTGTACAATAATACATGCATAGGTCATGCTATCTTGAGGTTCAGATGTGGGACGGAATTACTGTTGTATGAAAATTGCTCCCCAAAAACATTGGGGTATCATTTAAGCTTCATTTCTATGTTTGAACTCAATTGGGATGGTGATCTTTATACATGAATATAAAATTGCAATAAAATGTTTTATGTGCTTAAATAAGGTTGTGTTCTCATCAAGCAGATCAACAGATGAAGTTGTTCGTACAAACGTGTCGATTTTTGTTGTTTATTTTTGTTTGTTGTTTAACGCCGCACTCAGCAATATTCCAGCTATATGACGGCGGGATGTAAATAATCGAGTCTGGACCAGACAATCCAGTGATTAATATCATGAACATCGATCCACGCATTTGGGATTGATGACATGCATCAACCAAGTCAGCGAGCCTGACCACCCGATCCCGTTAGTCGCCTTTTACGGCAAGTATGGGTTGCTGAAGACCTATTCTACCCCGGATCTTCACGGGTCACAAACGTGTGGAAAAGCTGGAATAAATCTTTAAAACATAAAATTTTTAAAAAGTGTGGCCTGAAGAGTGTTAAAACTTAAGGCCCCCTGGAGCAATTTGTGTATTGCAGAGCATACCATACATGCAATGCCAAGCATGTGAATGGAATAAGAGCAATGTCCTGGAAACAAACTCTATGCTCATCTGAAGTTGTTTGTTGTTAACGTTTAACACTACACTCAACAGTATTACAGCTGTATGAGGACTGTGAATAACCATTCTGGACCAGACATACACCCTGATTTAAACTTAACTTCTGACATTGAAAAAGGACACACGAACAGCAGCCATTCCTACATCCTCCGCACAACTCAATGCAGAGGAACCTTGTGTGAGTCACTCAACAAAGACTCGTGTCCTCATCTTAGCAAAATGAGTTAGTGAGTGAGTGAGAATGGTTTAACGACGCTTTTAGCAATATTCCAGCAATATCATGGCGAGGTACACCGGAAAATGGGCTTCACACATTGTACCCATGTGAGCAATCGAACATGGGTCTTCGGCATGACAAGCCAAGGCTTTAAACAACGCGGCTACCCGACCGCCCTTTTGAAGATAGAAGTCCATGCATGAGAGTTATGGCTGTCTCTGTGTGGAACTCCATCCGAATCACGCTTCTGTCTCCAATCTCTGTATGTATTTTGTGCATAAAAATAAACAAACAAACCACTCTTATCACACTTTATTAGAATATTGAGTCAAAAGACCTCAATAGTAAAGAAGTAATTAGAAAAGTAGTCATTATATATGGCACTACATGAATCCAAGCTTAAAAGTGTAAAAAAAGATAACACTGACAGAGATCCAGGTAACCACATTCTCATGGTTCTGTCAATTTTTTTATTTCAATATATTTTCATCTATCCTATAGCTCAAAAATAAAGTAATTGGTCACATGCAATAATTGTTTTGTTTGTTGCTCTAAGAAGATATTTCTTATGATTATTGAAATGTATTTTTGTTGTTTTCATTAAGCTATATTTTGTTTATTTTGCACAACGCTTCACAACATTCCTGCTATATGATGACAACCTGTAAATAATCATACGAAAATAATGGATGACCAAGTACAAAATAGTTGAACCAATTAATAGTTCTCACCTGAAATATTGGTCATTGACGAAAGAAATAATCCTGTTCATCATCAGGCAATTCCACTTCGTCAGACATAAACACGGTATAAAAATGTGGAAGTCGTGGAAGTTACAGGAAACACAGATCACATATATCGACACAAGAACAAATGAGGTAACTATAGTTTAAAGGACATATTATTTATCATACCTTTTGAGCAAGTGATAATAGAAGGGATCAGTGAACACTATGAATTAGGGCTGGGACAAGTCCAAATTTACTACCCGGGGACCCAACCCCCTATTACCCGACCCTACCTAGGTACCGCCTGTAGTTCTCAAGAGATGGGTGGAAAATGTCTGATTGGGACTAGTTTGACCGTAGCTTAACCGAACCTGGGCTGGGGCGAGGTCTTGACATTCCAGTAACAATGTGATACAAAGTGAGCAATGGTTTCAGCCTGATTGCAAGATGAACAAACCTTGTCATAGTGCTTTTTGTGTCCCAAGTCTGAGGCGTGAGATGACGTTTCAACTTTCCTTTCATTTGAGTGTGAGTTTGGCTTTTGTTGGATCTTGGGTTGAATTTTTTACAGCCATCTGCCGATATTACTTGCGTCCCACTGGGCTTGCCATCTTTGGGCTATAGAAGTTTTTATTTTTATTTTTATATCTAGTTTACTAAAGGAATTAGGCTGTATCTCAGCTTTGTCTAGAGCCAGCATCGCCAGTAGGTCTGCTTTTTCATTGCCATGAATATCTATGTGAGAGGGGATCCTAAACAGCTCCACCGGTTGCCCTTGGTCCGATAGTTTTGTATATTCATATAATATTATTGACTGTTTGGCCTGGAGTTTGAGTTTCTGCCGCTGATGGCTTGAAGTGCACTTAGTGAGTCTGTTAGGACGACTGCCTTTGCTTCCGGGAGTTCCGGTATGAGTTTGAGTGCATGATGAATTGCCTCCAGTTCAGCAGTAAATACTGACTGACCATCCATCAGGCAGGCGAAACGAATGTGCTTGGGGATATGTGGATATGGAGACGTAACCAGCACTGTTGTTGATAGGATTCTTGGATCCATCAGTGTATGTATGGGCCCAGCTGTCCCAGGTAGTTTGAATTTTAGTGATAGCTGCTGATCGTAGTAGGGTTGGGTTTAATTTCCTCACTCTAGTTGTTGCATTTTATACACAGAATATCTCCACTTCAGTGGCTATAGCGTAATCACTGTGTTACTATTGTTAATTGAGGGTGTAATGTGAGGACAGGGTGTCAGTAGTTAAGAGTAAATCAGTTGCCTTCAATTGTTTCTTGCGGCTTTGAACAGACGCGCACAACCGAAGATGTTTTGATTGGCAGATTCATGGTGACACCTGAGCAGCTCTTTATATGATAAAATATGCAGCAAATGGCCGGGACCAAAAGAACAGTTTGTTATATCCGTCAGTTCCTTATAAGCCTGTTATAAATGTAGTTTTCTGTATACAGTATGATCATGATGATGTCAAGTGAGAAACATTTCTGTTTTTGTAAACTGGTCCCAGTACTTGCTGGCTTCCCATTGGCTAGAACCAGGCCATCACATGAATCGTTGGTCATGAATAGCATATGTATTCATAGATGATGGAGGAATACTCTTTGTTTGTTCACAATGGCAAACCTTTGGATCATATTGTTTGTATTATTTTTTTGTTCAAAATGGCCATTCCCAGATAAAAAGATTAAATATAATTCTTACACAAGTGAGATGGTGAATATAACTGAATTTCTAATTAGGTCTTCAGATTTTTTGTTTGCAATTGTGTTTCCCCTGGAGATGATTGATCTGTCCTCGGTGATGAGTAGGTAAGACGTGGAGAAATGGCCCAACCCCTCGGCTACTGTGTCTTCAGCCTCTTCACCGTCCCCCGGACTCCGTCCAGGGCCAACATCTCACCTGTGATGAAGCAGAGGACGAGATGCCTCAGGATCAGTCAGTCATACTGTGATACCTCTGACCTTCAGGATCTGACAAACCCCTCATAAGTTGAGATGAACCACAAGCTAATTCCGACCAAATCTTTAAATATGAGTGAGTATGGTTTTACGCTGCTTTTAGCAATATTCCAGCAATATCACGGCAGGGGACACCAGAAATGGGCTTCACACATTGTACCCATGTCAGGAATCGAACCCGGGTCTTCGGGGGTGATGAGCGAACGCTTTAACCACTAGGCTACCCACCGCCCCTCTTTAAATATGAAGCATGGATAAGCCATCAGATGAGCCATTCTAAAGTAAGCTTTCTCAAATATTCTGCTTCACTGTCAAACTAACTTCTTAATGTTATCAACAAAATGTATTTTCAGTTGCAGTTTCTGACTGGTTAATTTCCTAACTGCCTGTCTGATTCTGAAATTTTGGTCTGAACAAAAGCAAACCCACACAAGGAACAAATGTTCCCTTGATAGCTCACCCTTTTCGCTGTTCATGCCATGGCACTTAGAAAAAAAACAGGGTAAAATATATTCCTGACTGTGCTTCCTTTATCATTCTCCATTAGGAACTGCCTGTTTATATCGTGTTTTCGAGATAAACTACTCTGACTCTGAGGTTGTAGATGTCCTCACTTTAACCGACCTAATGTTCACCTGACATGACCTTTTATAGAGGGATTCTCAGATCTTGAAGGAGTGACGTATATAACTGGAGTAAAAATATCAATATTTTTTTTATTCTGAACTAACTAGTTGAGGTGAAATGGGGTTTAACGTCACGTCCAAGATTATTGCACTTACACAGCGACGGGCATGCACGTGTGTGTTTGTGTGGCTGCTTGTACTAGTCCGGAATGATGCCGATTTATAGAGCTAGCTCACTAAGATACCATGCCGCAGTTTAACATGAATACCCCACTCAGACACAGTATACTGACTCCGAGCTGACCAGTCCTTGTTTTAGCCCCTGAAATGCCGGGCGCCAGACAGGGTAACAACAAGGACATCTTTTAACATCTTTTGGTATGACGCGGCCGGGATCGAACCCGGACCTTCCGCTCTCCGGGCGGACGCTCTACCACTAGACCACTGAGGCGGTCCTGAACTAAGTATTAATGCAACATTCTAGGGAAGTTGCAGATGCTCATCGGAATCATTGACCACCTCCATGGTCTAGTGGTAGAGTGTCTGCCTCAAGAATGAGAAAGGTCATTGGTCTATCCCTGGTTGTGCCATACCAAAAGATGTTAAAACATAGTACTTTTTGTTCCCCTGCCTGTAAATCTGGTATATGGCATTAAGGGGATAACCCATCTTCCCGAGACAAGAGAGTTAACTGACTGTTATAAAAGTCCAGTTTCCACCCTTGCCGAACTAGGCTGGTATTATTGAGTTACATTTTGGCTGGACTAACGAGTCTATGCATAGTCCAATCAAAATCAGGCACCAAAATCAAAATCTGGTTCGTAAACTGTCGTGCAGATTTCGATCGATTACAGGAATTGCAAAACATGTGCACCGCCAACTCATTGTCAGCAGATAATTTCCAAATCTTTTCATGTTTTTAATCAAGGTGCTCATGTGATTTGATGCATTTCAAGATGTAAGATCCGTTTTATAACAATATAGATCTTGATTATCGATCAGATCATACTGACTGGGCGCCACCATTTTGTGTGAAGCAAACGCAAGTGATACGAGATGTGGAATCTTGATTGGTCCATAGGAGAGGCTTAGAAGGGACATTACTGGTAACAGCCACTGGTGGCGCTACGATCGAGCCCAGTAATTCCAGCCTAGTTCGGCAACTGAATTTTTAAAGTCAGTTAACTCTCTTGCCTCGGGAAGATGGGGATAACCAAGGACTGGTAAGTTGGCAGTCAGCCTTTCAAACACACACACACTAACATAATAATCGCAAACATGATGTTACACTCAGCAGTTCATTAGCATCAGAAGACCTTTTTAATGACACTGTACTGTCTGCTGATTACAGATATAACTCAAACTCACCTGACTTTATCCTTATAGTTGCATCAGCCACATTCACAACGCAGGGGATGCCATATTCGCGCGCAACCACTGCCCCTGGGACAAACAACGGCAGGTCAGGTTACAATGTCATGGAACTTTATACAACAAACAACAGCTTTGAGTACCCCCCACACTGGGTTGGAATAGCTCCTAGCAGCTTATGCTCGTGGTAAGAGGCGACCGTATGATCAGGTGGTCAGGCTTAGTAACTTGTTTGATGGCGTGTCCAGGTACCCCAATGGCATGGATTGTTGCTCAAAATATCAATCACTGGATTGTCAGACTTGATTATTTACCGGCTGCCATCATGGCAACCCACCCACAGAATACTGGCAACCCACAGAGTACTGGTAACTCACCCACAGAATACTGGCAACCAACAGAGTAGTGGCAACCCAACCACAGAATACTGGCAACCAACAGAGTAGTGGCAACCCACCCACAGAATACTGGCAACCCACAGAGTACTGGCAACCAACCACCAACAGAGCACAGGCAACCCACCGACAGAGTACTGGCAACCCAGCCACAGACGTAGCCCACAATAACTTCTCTCCATACAACACTACCAACCTTTAGATTCCAACCCAAATTGTGGGGCAGTACACCAGATGTTGGGCTTCACGGGTCATCAGTGATTTGCTGGAATACTGTGGTTAAACTAACACAACTGAAGGTGTAATGAATCTGTGTCATGTACATATGCCTGCTGTGTTTACCATGTGAGAGCAGCCCGCCTATTTCTGTGACGAGTCCCGCAATAAGGGGGAAGTAGGGGGACCAGCCCACGTCCGTGCACATCACAACCAGGACATCACCAGCCTGGAACACATACACATTAATATAGGCACTAGACACATAGACATACACTGGGTATCATACAAGACACATCTACATTCTCATCTGTGTGATACACATATACAATCTCACTGATATGATCTCACCTGTATGTTCTCACCTGTATACAACACCCAGGTATGTTCTCACCTGTATACAACACACAGGTATGTTCTCACCTGAATTCAACACCCAGGTATGTTCTCAGCTGTATACAACACACAGGTATGTTCTCACCTGTATACATTACACAGGTATGTTCTCATCTGTATACAACACACAGGTATGTTCTCACCTGAATTCAACACCCAGGTATGTTCTCACCTGTATACAACACACAGGTATGTTCTCATCTGTATACAACACACAGGTATGTTCTCACCTGTATTCAACACACAGGTATGTTCTCACATGTATTCAACACACAGATATGTTCTCACAATACACAGGTATTTCTCACCTGTATACAACACACAGGTATGTTCTCACCTGTATACAACACACAGGTATGTTCTCACCTGTATACAACACACAGGTATGTTCTCACCTGAATTCAACACCCAGGTATGTTCTCAGCTGTATACAACACACAGGTATGTTCTCACCTGTATACATTACACAGGTATGTTCTCATCTGTATACAACACACAGGTATGTTCTCACCTGAATTCAACACCCAGGTATGTTCTCACCTGTATACAACACACAGGTATGTTCTCATCTGTATACAACACACAGGTATGTTCTCACCTGTATTCAACACACAGGTATGTTCTCACATGTATTCAACACACAGATATGTTCTCACAATACACAGGTATTTCTCACCTGTATACAACACACAGGTATGTTCTCACCTGTATACAACACACAGGTATGTTCTCACCTGTATACAACACACAGGTATGTTCTCACCTGTATACAACACCCAGGTATGTTCTCACCTGTATACAACACACAGGTATGTTCTCAGCTGTATTCAACACACAGGTATGTTCTCAGCTGTATACAACACACAGGTATGTTCTCACCTGTATACAACACACAGGTATGTTCTCACCTGTATACAACACACAGGTATGTTCTCACCTGTATACAACACGCAGGTATGTTCTCACCTGTATACAACACACAGGTATGTTCTCACCTGTATACAACACACAGGTCACAGGCACCCAGGTATGTTCTCACCTGTATACAACACACAGGTATGTTCTCACCTGTATACAACACACAGGTATGTTCTCACAACACCCAGGTATGTTCTCACCTGTATACAACACACAGGTATGTTCTCACCTGTATACAACACACAGGTATGTTCTCATCTGTATACAACACACAGGTATGTTCTCATCTGTATACAACACACAGGTATGTTCTCATCTGTATACAACACACAGGTATGTTCTCACCTGAATTCAACACACAGGTATGTTCTCACCTGTATTCAACACACAGATATGTTCTCACAACACACAGGTATGTTCTCACCTGTATACAACACCCAGGTATGTTCTCACCTGTATACAACACCCAGGTATGTTCTCACCTGTATACAACACCAAGGTATGTTCTCACCTGTATACAACACACAGGTATGTTCTCACCTGTATACAACACACATGTATGTTCTCCCCTCTATACAACACACAGGTATGTTCTCACCTGTATACAACACACAGGTATGTTCTCACCTGTATACAACACACAGGTATGTTCTCACAACACCCAGGTATGTTCTCAGCTGTATACAACACACAGGTATGTTCTCAGCTGTATACAACACACAGGTATGTTCTCAGCTGTATACAACACACAGGTATGTTCTCACCTGTATACAACACACAGGTATGTTCTCACCTGTATACAACACACAGGTATGTTCTCACCTGTATACAACACACAGGTATGTTCTCAGCTGTATACAACACACAGGTATGTTCTCACCTGTATACAACACCCAGGTATGTTCTCAGCTGTATACAACACACAGGTATGTTCTCACCTGTATTCAACACACAGGTATGTTCTCACAACACACAGGCATGTTCTCACCTGTATACAACACACAGGTATGTTCTCACCTGTATACAACACACAGGTATGTTCTCACCTGTATACAAAACACAGGTATGTTCTCACCTGTATACAAAACACAGGTATGTTCTCACCTGTATACAACACACAGGTATGTTCTCACCTGTATACTGCCAGCGTCTTCAAGTCTGGTGATGATTCTGGCTGGGCCCTGCACCTCACCCTGGCTGACTGGCATACCTGGACACAGAGATCAGTGTTACCATGGTTACTGCAGGAACACTCATATATATTTTCCCCTGGATACAGCAGTCTCCCTATCCCCAGATGCCTCCCCATTCCGAGGAACCTCTCCACCTCCAGCATCCTCCCTACACCCAGCAATGTTCCCACCCATAGGAACCTCCCTACACCCAGCAATGTTCCCACCCATAGGAACCTCCCTACACCCAGCAATGTTCCCACCCACAGGAACCTCCCTACACCCAGCAATGTTCCCACCCACAGGAACCTCTCCACTTCCAGCATCCTCCCTACACCCAGCAATGTTCCCACCCATAGGAACCTCCCTACACCCAGCAATGTTCCCACCCACAGGAACCTCCCTACACCCAGCAATGTTCCCACCCACAGGAACCTCTCCACTTCCAGCATCCTCCCTACACCCAGCAATGTTCCCACCCACAGGAACCTCCCTACACCCAGCAATGTTCCCACCCACAGGAACCTCCCTACACCCAGCAATGTTCCCACCCACAGGAACCTCCCCACCTCCAGCAATGGTCCCACCCATAGGAACCTCCCAACCACCAGCAATGTTCCCACCCATAGGAACCTCCCAACCACCAGCAATGTTCCCACCCATAGGAACCTCCCACCTCCAGCAATGGTCCCACCCATAGGAACCTCTCCACTTCCAGCAATGGTCCCACCCATAGGAACCTCCCAACCACCAGCAATGTTCCCACCCATAGGAACCTCCCACCTCCCCACCACAAATCTTAAGAATTTTTGTATCCAATATTATACATAACATCATCACCTCTGAGTACATCTGTAGTGTTGATCGAGGAGGCCTCTCTGTTCCTGTCATCGATCTGGTCAAAGAGAGACAACAATATAATGATTACACTGTGACTTTCCACAGGTTTACAGACAAATACCGCACGTTTCCCATGACATCACGGCATGTACTACATATACATAGATAGGTAGTCATTTGTTTGTTTGTAGTTTAAAGCTGCACAATGCAATATTCCAGCTATATGACAGCAGTCAGTAAATAATCGAGTCTGGACCAGACAATCCAGTGATTGATATCATGAGGATTGATCCACACAATTGGGATACAATGATACATGTCAGCGAGCCTAACCGACTGATCCCATTAGTCGCCTGTTACGGTAAGCATGGGACACTGAAGACCTGTTCTTACACGGATCTTCACAGGTCAGTCTTGTTATCAACACAGCTCCCTGTAGAAGGAAAACATTTCAATTACAACATTTGTGAAATTCCAACATAGAGCTAACATAGAGACACTCATATTACAGGGGGTGTAATACCGTATTTGACGTAATAAGGGCACTCTCAAAATTAAAAATAGGGTGCTCTTATTAGAATATTATGTTGGTGATAAAAACAGAGTTGAAAGATAAATTTCGTAGTTTATAGTGACACCCTGAAATGTTTATGTACGACAGATTTTTTTTACCAGAATTTAATTGCCCATAATTAAAGGTGCATGGGAAAATGCACGCAAATAAATAAGTCTTGTGTACATTGATCAATCAGAAGGGGTGCTAATTGGGATTGTTCACTAGCCAATATATCAGCAAATATCGCCGTGGGCGCTTAGTACGTCGTATACGGTAACTTGGCCCCTATTACAACCCCTGCTGGGCTGATATGGCTTATTAAAGTTATCAATGCATTTTGAATGGGCCATTGATATCAGCCCAGGAGGTAAGAAGTTAGAGTTATGTCCCTTTGTGTGTTGTCTGCTCGGCTCACTTTCCCATGACAGTCTTCCAAAGAAGGTCAACATGTTTTTATTGACATACACGGAATTTAGAGATGTTTTATGAATGTACACATTTTGATGTTATGGTATATGATAAAAAGGTTATCATATTATACCCCACATCAACCTGAGACCCTCGGGCTAATATGGGGGGGTCTCGGGCTAATATGCGGGTCTCAGGTTGATGTGGGGGTCTCGGGTTGATATGGGGGTCTCGGGTTGATGTGGGGGTCTCGGGTTGATATGGGGGTCTCGGGTTGATATGGGGGTCACGGGCTGATATGGGGGTCTCGGGTTGATGTGGGGGTCTCGGGTTGATGTGGGGATCTCGGGTTGATGTGGGGGTCTCGGGCTGATGTGGGGGGCTCGGGTTGATATGGGGGTCTCGGGTTGATATGGGGGTCTCGGGTTGATATTGGGGTCTCGGGCTGATATGGGGGTCTCGGGTTGATATGGGGGTCTCAGGTTGATATGGGGGTCTTCGGTTGATATGGGGGTCTCAGGCTGATATGGGGGTCTCGGGCTGATATGGGGGTCTCGGGTTGATATGGGGGTCTCGGGTTGATATGGGGTATGATATGAAAACTGCCATATAAGAACCATATGGTATAAGTTGGTTAGCGCCCCTCGGGTGAATACCCTAAGGAGGCTTTAGTGAGTGAGTGAGTATGTTTTTACGACGCTTTTAGCAATATTCCAGCACATGGGTGTCTTCGGTGTGACGAGCGAACGCTTTAACCACTAGGCTACCTGACCGCCCCTAAGGAGGCACTAACATACACATCTGAAGACATAGGAACTACAAAGCACATTTTGTAAGAAGCTTGACGGATAGAGTTACTCACAGGTATAGGGTAGCCAACGTTGAGTTTGGGGAACCTGAGTGTCATCTGCTTGGAATGTACACGTCTCCTCCTGACAGCCCTGCACAGACAGGACGGATTAAACACTGCCACTGTGGGTTTTAACAGACTTTATAACAATCACTGATGTGATGTGATGTTTGTTGTTTAACGCTGCACTCAGCAATATTCCAGCTATATGACGGCGGTCTGTAAATAATCGAGCCTGGACCAGACAATCCAGTGATTGACATCATGAACATCCATCCACGCAACTGAGATCGATGACATGCATCAATCAAGTCAGCGAGCCTGACCACCTGATCCTGTTAGTCGCCTCTAACGACAAGCATAGTCGCCTCTTAGGGCAAGCATGGGTAGCTGAAGACCTATTCTACCCCGGATCTTCACAGATCAACAATCAGTGAAAACAGATAAACCATCCATGTTATCTTTGGAATGATCCTGGAAACTTTACTGACAATGTTTTGCATGTTTTCTAAGTTCATGAAATACACTGTTACCGACGCCGCTGGTCATATTTGTAAACTGTTACCGACGCCACTGGTCATATTTGTAAACTGTTACCGACGCCACTGGTCATATTTGTAAACTGTTACCGACGCCACTGGTCATATTTGCGCAAACACATAAGGAGATCCCTTTCCTAGAGCCTGCCTACCCTCTACCACAACCCCCCACCACACACACACACACACACACACACACACACACACACACACACACACACACACACACACACACACACACACACACACACACACACACACACACACACACACACACACACACACACAACCACACACACACACATGCCCTGGATGGAGAGTGTCGGCTACGTACTTGATGATGAGGCGAGAGGAGCGCGTGGAGATAAGAGTCCCAATCTCCTGGTGGGTGAGGAAGAACAGGAGATCTTCATCCGGAATACGACCCTGAGAAGAGGATGGCAGATACATTATATTTTTCTTGTTTGTTTTGTTAGTAATCTTGTAATCGTAGTAATCTTGCTTGTCAAAGGTAATCTGATTATTTGGAAAATAAACTTATTTTAACTACCTACTTGTTTGTCTGACACTAATCAAGACAGTCAATCCACATTATGAAGTAGACTTTCAATCCACATTATGAAGTAGAATTTCAATCCACATTATGAAGTAGACTTTCAATCCACATTATGAAGCAGACTTTCCCTCCACATTATGAAGTAGAATTTCAATCCACATTATGAAGTAGACTTTCAATCCACGTTATGAAGTAGACTTTCAATCCACATTATGAAGTAGAATTTCAATCCGCATTATGAAGTAGACTTTCAATCCACATTATGAAGTAGACTTTCAATCCACATTATGAAGTAGACTTTCAATCCACATTATGAAGTAGACTTTCAATCCATGTTATGAAGTAGACTTTCAATCCACATTATGAAGTAGACTTTCAATCCACATTATGAAGTAGACTTTCAATCCACGTTATGAAGTAGACTTTCAATCCACATTATGAAGTAGACTTTCAATCCACGTTATGAAGTAGACTTTCAATCCACATTATGAAGTAGACTTTCAATCCACGTTATGAAGTAGACTTTCAATCCACGTTATGAAGTAGACTTTCAATCCACATTATGAAGTAGACTTTCAATCCACATTATGAAGTAGACTTTCAATCAAAGTTATCAACAGATCTGAACAATATTCATAATTTGTATTTGAAGAAGGTAGAAAAACAAACTGTTAAGAATGGTATATTGCTGGTGCCAAAACTCAAGAATATATATATTTAATTCCTTTGCAATTATTTTCCCCAAAGCATGAATATATCGTCACCTGATGACTGGAATACTTAAAATAATTCAGTGAATTTAACAACAAAATCACCACAAGATATTCAATAACAGCCTATTGTAACGGCGTGATGCACCAAGAACGGGGCAACCATCACTCACCTCGGACACCATGAGGGACGCCAGTCTCCAGTAGGCCTGCTTGAACTTCTCGGACATCACCACCGACGTGGACTGCAACATCACAACCACATTGACTGGCTTATCATGCCGGTGACCATGTCATGAAGCTCTCCTTAGCCTATAAGATGTTGCAACATTAGCATTCTCATAATTTTGTTTGTTTGTTGTTTAATGCCACATGTTTCAGATATATGCCTGTAAAAATAGTCTGGACCAGAGTATCCAGTGATTGATATAGTGAGCAACTATCCACGTCATTGGGGTCAATGACACCCTATCAACCAAGTCACGAGCATGTCCACCTGATCCACAACATCGCCTCTGACCCCCAAGAATCCCGAAGGGGAAGCACTCTTGTGAAATTATTTTTGTTTCATTGAAGTCCTCTAAGATCAGATTACGTTAATTTATACAAAATAAAACGCTTGCTTTTAACTCCAATAACTTTTTGGTCTGTGTGAATGTGTCTCACCGTCTGTATGTCTGTGTGTCGGTGTGGCTGTGTGTTTGTGTGTCTGTGTGTCGGTGTGTTCAGGTCTCAGCGTGTCTGTGTGTCGGTATGGCTGTGTGTTTGTGTGTCTGTGTGTCGGTGTGTTCAGGTCTCAGTGTGTCTGTGTGTCGGTGTGTTCAGGTCTCAGTGTGTCTGTGTGTCGGTATGGCTGTGTGTTTGTGTGTCTGTGTGTCGGTGTGTTCAGGTTTCAGTGTGTCTGTGTGTCGATGTGTTCAGGTCTCAGTGTGTCTGTTCATGTCTCAGTGTGTCTGTATGTCTGTGTGTCGGTATGGCTGTGTGTTTGTGTGTCTGTGTGTCGGTGTGTTCAGGTCTCAGTGTGTCTGTATGTCTGTGTGTCAGTATGGCTGTGTGTTTGTGTGTCTGTGTGTCGGTGTGTTCAGGTCTCAGTGTGTCTGTATGTCTGTGTGTCAGTATGGCTGTGTGTTTGTGTGTCTGTGTGTCGGTGTGTTCAGGTCTCAGTGTGTCTGTATGTCTGTGTGTCAGTATGGCTGTGTGTTTGTGTGTCTGTGTGTCGGTGTGTTCAGGTCTCAGTGTGTCTGTATGTCTGTGTGTCAGTATGGCTGTGTGTTTGTGTGTCTGTGTGTTCATGTTTCAGTGTGTCTGTATGTCTGTGTGTCGGTATGGCTGTGTGTTTGTGTGTCTGTGTGTTCATGTTTCAGTGTGTCTGTATGTCTGTGTGTCGGTATGGCTTTGTGTTTGTGTGTCTGTGTGTTTGTGTGTCAGTATATCTGTGTGTCAGTTTGCTTGTCAGTGTGTCTGTGTGTCAGCATGTCCTTGTGTCAGTATGCATGTCGGTATGTCAGTGTCATTTTGCATGTCCGTGTGTCTGTATGTCATTTTGTCTTTGTTCAGTATGCATGTCAGTATGTCAGTGTGTCTGTCAGTATGCATGTCAGTATGTCAGTGTGTCTGTGTAAGTATGCATGTCAGTATGTCTGTTTGTCAGCATGTCCTTGTGTCAGTGTGCCTGTGTAAGTATGCATGTCTGTGTGTCTGTGTGTCTGTATGTTTGTGTATCACTGCATCATCTGTCACCTTGCCCCACTCCCGCTCCCCTACTGCAGATCTCGCCTTCGGCAGCAGGCCTCTCAGTATCAGTCTGTAATAAACACCATGCTAAATCAGCACTATTAACTACTCAAGTATATCATATGAACATTTAAATTATAAATCAAACTAACTATTCTATCATTTCAGCTGCTTATATCTTGATTATATAAACATAAATTAGAGTTTTTTAAATGTTTATTTTCATTTACTAACAAATATTTCTGGGGGTTTTCACAGTTGGAAGGTTTACACACCAATGGGAATGGGAATTGACAGACTTACTTTTGGAAGAATGTAAGAGGAGTTTTGAGTTTGGCAATGATCTGGGACACTGACTGCGATGGCTTAGGTTTGCTGTCATAGGACTTGGTTTGGAGAATTGTCTGAAAATGAAAAACATTACTAAGTCAGGAATATTATATTAGAATATTATTATAAGTATATTATATCAATGAATATGCCATAAAATAGTTGTATGAATAGATATAACTTAATATTTTTTATAATAAAATCCTAAGCAATAAACATATCTGCAAAACTGAACTGTTTCATGAATTCAAAGACACTTTGTTTTCAGATTATCTCCCAGATTATTTTCCTGAAACACTTAGAACTGTAATGGCAGAGTTCTCTGCCCTTGCTGACCTTGATGACTTTGATGAGTTTCTCAGTCTCAGACTGCCAAGATTTCTCTCGCATCTCAGCCTGAAAACATTAATACGGTGAGTGAGTGAGTATGGTTTTACACCACTTTTAACAATATTCAAACAATATCACAGCGTGACACCAGAAATGGGATTCACACATTGTACCCATATGGGAATCAAACCCAGGCCTTTGGTGCGATTGCAAACACTTTAACCACAAGGCTACCCCACCACCCACATCAATTCAGAGCAATGTACACAAGGTATAGTTCAAGCACCACAACCACTTCATGGTGTACAGTACCAGGATGTGTATACATCACTATCCTCCAACTTAGCAAAGACAAAATCCAGTGAGATGACTCCAACAGATATACTTAGTAGGGCTGGGACGACCCCCTATTACCCGATCCTACCTGAGTACCCGCTGTAGGTCTCAAGGGATAGGTACAAAATGTCCGATTGGGAAACGTTTCACCGTACTCCTCTCAAAATGTATTTAGTTACACATATAAACTGATCTGGTCATGCACACTGAAGTTGACTGAAGTTTTATCTTTATGCAAACATATAAAGTCAGAAGGAATGGCTGCATTGTCAGAAAGATATGTGCACATTTGTCACTTATAGTGTAACCATATAGTTCTAGATAATTTTTGCCAATAAACTATATAATCACGTGACTAACCACGGGTCCTGTGGGTACCCAGGTCCTACTCAGGACCCACCCGACCCGAGTACCCGAGTTACCCCTCCCAGCCCTAATACTGAGGCCAAAGAATTATAGTTGCCATTACATGGATACCATACGTAGTGTTGCTTACTGCTATTTCTTTCTACATCGATGTTTACACAGAAACTGTAAGTGACATAAAGCGTTACACTTGTGGATCCAGAGAGTAGGGCTGGGACGAGTCCAAATTTACTACCTGGTTACCCACCCCTCTATTACCCGACCCTACCCGGGTACCCACTGTAGGTCTCAAGAGTTGGGTACAAAATGTCCGACTGGGAATAGTTTGACCGTAGCCCCGGACAAATTGTATTTAGATACACGTATAAGAAATCTGGGATTGCATACACTGCAGTTGAATGAAGTTTTATATTTATTCAAACATATAAAAGTCAGAGGGAATGGGTGCATAGTCAGAAAGAAATGTGAACATAAGTGACTTGTAGTGTTACCATATAGTTCTTGATCATTTTTGTCATTAAACAATATATCACATGACTAACCACGGGTCCGGGTAGTCCTGCGAGGACCTTGGTGTTTCTCAGTACCCACCTGACCCGAAAACGTTTCACAAAATCAACCAAGACTGGTACACCTTGGTATGAAAGTGATTTACCACTGCCTAGCTGTGTTGACACAAATATGTTTTTTCATCTTTTAAACCAACCCAATGATTGCTTATGTTTTTGTGTAAGGGAGATATTCGAGAATGTTTTTGTTATCTGATCGACTTGGTCTTTGCCTATGGCAGTCGGCATCTTTGTAAATCTATATGAGATAAGAACATGATTGGATATCATGTTTTTACTACAAGGAGCTCAACTCACGATCTACGCGAGGTGGCAACAGGGTCGAGCCAAGAAAAGTGGCTTTGATGTGGCAAGGGTAGAAACTAAGCTTTGATATAGGCTAGTGGACACGCCTGCCTCGGGAAGATGAATTGATATAAGATGTTATGATCTTGCACTTAAACAGAGGCCAGATGGGTAACTGGAATCACATTTCTGTCATATTTCACAGGCTACTGCAAGATCTGCACATGACTGTATCACCTCTCGTATACACCGGTGCCCGTGACGGTCAAGGAAAGCAGAGAACTTCTTCTGTATTTCTGGATGTCTCGCCGACTTCACCAGCTTCACACAGTCCTGCCCAACACATCAATAACGACACCTTCACAGCTACTGACACAACTAATGTACGTAACAACCTACTTGGATCAGAATCTGTCCCAGCAGACCACCTTCCTACACTAAGGGAATAACATTCTATTGGAAAAAAACTTCATAATCTAATAAAATTTCACCTAAGTTCAACCAGTTTATAATCAAATGTATTTAAGTTATTCTGCTGTCACATAAATATCGGACTTCTTCAGTGCTTGGGATGAGTGAGTGAATGAGAATGAGGGTCACTAATAATAATAATAATAATAATAAAAGATTGGTGATGATGATAATAATTTTACCTTATATGGACACTGAATATTAATCATGGTCGTTATTTCTTTGCAAACAGCAAAACAAGGAGGCAATAGCTCACCTGATCTGATAGAGTCAGGAACTCCTCAGCCAGGCCTGACGCAGCTATTTCCTTGGCCAGATTCTGCATAGAAACATCACTTACATCACAAACATCACTTACACTAGAAACATCACTTACACTAAAAGCATGACTCACACTAGAAACATCACTCAGACTAGAAACATCACTCACACCAGAAACATCACTCACACCAGAAACATCACTCACACCAGACACATCACTCACACCAGAAACATCACTCACACCAGAAACATCACGCACACCAGAAACATCACTCACACCAGAAACATCACTCACACCAGAAACATCACTCACACAAGTAGTGGTGTAACGATACGGCGATACAGTATTGTATCCCGATGCACAGCCCACAATATGATGCATCGATTTGGAAAGCATGTATCGCGATACATACGATATTTTCATAACACAGTTTTACTTAATGAGTTTTGATGTTTTCCCCCATGGAAATACCATGTCAACAAATCAATACTGAAGTTCGCAAATTATTCATGTAATTACACTGTCTGGCTATAAAAAGTGTTCTTTGTATATCTGGACTTATGTTTGTAACTTATTTCATTAATTTTATTCAAAATTCCTTTTAATATTGTTTTAATTAATTTCGGCGATATCGTGTGTGAAGCGATCGGAAGATCGCACAACTCACCGTTATTAACAGCAACCACGGTCAGATTACCGCTATTGACGCCTTGAAACGAACTTTAGTTGACAGAGAATGGATACATATATCATAAATGCCTTACTTTGATTCGTTAAAAGTCATATTTGTTTTTGTCGAACGATTCTACGTCAACACGTAATTCTCGCGATCGCGCGCACGGGAGCCTTGACGGTGACTGGTCAGACTGGTTCCATGTAAAAAATAATACCCGGCAATAGCGATCAGCTGCTTCGCTTAGGGTTATTATTATTTTAAATATGTTTAGTAAAAGCTGCATCTAAATTAACAAGATATTGTAATATATTATTCCTGATAAAAAATGTTTCAGATACAACTTTTGCCGATCCTTGCATTAAAATTCTGTAAAGTTATATCATTGGGTGTGTCTTGACCAAATCACCGGTTGATTCCAAGAAAATGTGTGTACAGCTGATTGCTGTGTCCGGCTTAGTTTACGAGAAAATACACAAGGTAATCTTTATCCCTGGATATAAAACAATACCTAGCTGAACAAAAAATACAATTTAAACGGTAAATCAACATGTCTGGTGATTTTTTATCTCAAATTTCGAATTTGTACTGACGAAGTTTCTCATCACCCGTTCGTTTGCCGGACTTCGCTGAAGGGGTACGGGGTATTTTTTTTCTGCGCATAAAATTCAAATTTCTTTTTTTTCTCCAAAATATTGAACCCGCTAGAGGGGGTGCGCATTATACATGGGTGCGCACTATACTTAAGAAAATACGGTACTTTTAAACATGAAATACGTTTAACAATTTCAAAGCCAGTTTGTTGTTTCAGTAAAACATACTGTATTGCTGACAATTTGCTATAACAGTAAATAAACACCTGATATCTTCTTCAACTGTACTTGTCACATCTTTTAGAGAGCAGAAAGACATCAACTTGGCTTAGCTTGTACCAGTAAACACTGTATCGTGATACGTATCGTATCGCGACCCCTGTATCGCGATACGTATCGTATCGCGACCCTCCCGTATCGTTACACCTCTACACACAAGAAACATCACTCACACCAGATACATCACTCACACCAGAAACATCACTCACACCAGTAAATTCACCAAGGCTTCAAAGATAAGCCAGATCAAGTGGTACAGAGAGTATTAAAATAAATTGTATAATTCACCTGATGAAGGTTGCAGTAGTCCGGAAACATTGTGTATACTGAATATGCAGAAGATGACATTTACACATCAGAACATCACTTGTATAAGGTCCAGTCTCACCTGCATGCCTGACGGCACATCGGCACTGTACACATCTGTGCACTGAGACAGCAGCATGGCAATGTCCCCATAGTGCTCCGTCAGCCATTCTGAATATACAACACATATTGGAGATGGCATGAGAGTGAGGTGAAACTGGGTTTAACGTCGCATCCAAGATTATTCTAGAAGTTGCTATTGGGGTCTGTGGAAGTTACTATTGGGGTCTGTAGAAGTTACTATTGGGGTCTGTAGAAGTTACTATTGGGATCTCTAGAAGTTACTATTGGGGTCTCTAGAAGTTACTATAGGGGTCTGTGGAAGTTACTATTGGGGTCTGTAGAAGTTACTATTGGGGTCTGTAGAATGTACTATTGGGGTCTGTAGAAGTTACTATTGGGGTCTGTAGAAGTTACTTTTGGGATCTCTAGAAGTTACTATTGGGGTCTCTAGAAGTTACTATTGGGGTCTGTGGAAGTTACTATTGGGGTCTGTAGAAGTTACTATTGGGGTCTCTAGAAGTTACTATTGGGGTCTATAGAAGTTACTATTGGGGTCTGTGGAAGTTACTATTGGGGTCTGTAGAAGATACTATTGGGGTCTGTAGAAGTTACTATTGGGATCTCTAGAAGTTACTATTGGGGTCTGTAGAAGTTACTATTGGGATCTCTAGACGTTACTATTGGGATCTCTAGAAGTTACTATTGGGATCTCTAGAAGTTACTATTGGGGTCTCTAGAAGTTACTATTGGGATCTCTAGAAGTTACTATTGGGGTCTCTAGAAGTTACTATTGGGATCTCTAGAAGTTACTATTGGGGTCTCTAGAAGTTACTATTGGGATCTCTAGAAGTCACTATTGGGATCTCTAGAAGTTACTATTGGGGTCTCTAGCAGTTACTATTGGGGTCTCTAGAAGTTACTATTGGGGTCTCTAGCAGTTACTATTGGGGTCTCTAGAAGTTACTATTGGGATCTCTAGAAGTTACTATTGGGGTCTCTAGAAGTTACTATTGGGATCTCTAGAAGTTACTATTGGGATCTCTAGAAGTCACTATTGGGATCTCTAGAAGTCACTATTGGGGTCTCTAGAACTTATGTCATCACACAGTGCACATACCTCCCTTGCCCTGAGTGAGCACAGACATGAGGATGGTGGCCCAACTCCCTGAGCGGGAACTGTTGATCAGCGTGTACAACCATACCTAGGGCGACAACATAACACTGTTACAGTACATCAGTGTAGATTGACCTTAATTAGAGACAAGAATGAATAAACAATATCGGTATTTGTTTTTTTCTGAGACAAATATGGAATTTAGTTTTGATATTTTGTGGCGTGCATGCATATGTGTGTGTGGGCATGCATGCGCATGTTTGCCTGTGCGTGCGTGCGTGCATGGAACACATATGTTATGTGAACTTTCTGTAACACTTTATGTATCATAGTGAAGTAAGGTGAGCTAAAAAGGGGATGCATAGCCCCACTTCTGGGCCATATAGCGTTACAACTATTGTAAGTCTATGTCTAAAATATGGAGGTAAGGATAGTCGTCTGGAGTGTTTGTACTGACCTCCCAGTAGTCCTTCAGCTTGCTGTGGATGTCGGCATACAGCGCCTCGGCTCGGCCACATTCCACACCAACACTGTAGGTCTTCAGGCGCTTCTCCCAGACCTTCGTGTACTTGTTACCCTCTGATGACGTCTGGCACAAATAACACTGACCAGTTTCAAGAGTGAGAGAATGGTACAATGCAGTCAGTAATATTATAGTTATATCACAGCAGCCGGTGAGAGCTGAATCTGGATCAGGCCAACCATGGTTAAAAAGCATGAGCATTGATTCACACCATCGCATACCATAACACACAATGTAACCAGCTGGTCCGTACTAATCGACAAGCATGGAGTCACAGTGATCTATTGTGCTGGTTATGGCTCATGGATAAAAAATATCCTCCAAATCAAGGTACTTTTGTTAAATAAAAAACAACATACAGCTAACATCAATGACATCTAGCATACTTTAAGGAGATTGAAGAAGTTGACAATTTTCCCCAAGCCTGATGTGGTCCTGCCAACATAGTCCTTTACTTCCTCAATCCGGAGTTGTGGGAGAGTCATACCAAGAAGAGATAACTCTGCGATCTCCTTCTTGGTCCCTGCTGCTGCCAGAATAAGGGCATCGACATGCTGCAAACAGAACCTGTCACTGGGAAACATGGCCACCATGACAACAGAATCCTACCAAGCAATCTTGAATACATAAACACATTATTGATAGTGTGAGCTTCTTGTTGGTGAGTGTGATGAAACTCAATCATCCACGTCACTTCATTTGGAGGTGAGGTGAGGTGAGGTGAGATGTGGTGAGGTTTGGTGCAGTGAGGTACTGTGAGGTGATGTGAGGTGAGGTGAAATGGGGTTTAACGTCGTGTCCAAGATTATTGCACTTGTGTTTGTGTGGCTGCTTGTACTGGTCCCCCAAAATGATCTGATATAGAGATGCCATCTACCTAATGTGACAGTCCACAAGAAAAGCTCCCTGCAGGCCTTTCTGAATTTTTCTTGTCTCTGAATACATCATGTCAATTTTCAACTGTGTACTGCATTTTACCATACAAGGTGATTTGCCGTTAACTTCTACACCAATTTGTAACTAATCTTTATAAGCGCTCTTGTATATAGACTAAACATTTACATCACAGTGCATATTTTCTTGTGTATATTATACAATTTTACAGGAAAGAGCACCACTTATGGGATATATAATTGCCAAGTGACTATTATCAAATATATGTCAATTTCATCCATGTTTGAAAAGAGTTTGTTAAAACAACGTCCAAATTGCAAACAATTATCAATGTCAAAATGTTGAATCACATTTCCTCCTATTTACCAAGTGGCTCCTGCTTGCATTTAACTAAGTGTTGACTCACATGCATGGCGATAAACAGGTGGTTACAGCAGGAGTATACGGACTTGTTGACAGTGGCGATCCTCTGCCGTGCCCCACAGCCCTGCATGAAACCCTGCAAGAACAGCAGAAGATCCTACACTTTCAATAGTGGAGTACACCAGTAGAGATCCTACACTCTCAATAGTGAAGTACACCAGTGGAGATCCTGCACTTTCAATAGTGGAGTACACCAGTGGAGATCCTACACTTTCAATAGTGAAGTACACCAGTGGAGATCCTACAATTCAATAGTGGAGTACACCAGTGGAGATCCTACACTTTCAATAGTGGAGTACACCAGTGGAGATCCTACACCCTCAACAGTGGAGTACACCAGTGGAGATCCTACACTTCAATAGTGGAGTACACCAGTGGAGATCCTACACCCTCAACAGTGGAGTACACCAGTGGAGATCCTACACTTTCAATAGTGGAGTACACCAGTGGAGATCCTACACCCTCAACAGTGGAGTACACCAGTGGAGATCCTACACTTTCAATAGTGAAGTACACCAGTGGAGATCCTACACTTTCAATAGTGGAGTACACCAGTGGAGATCCTACACTTTCAATAGTGGCGTACACCAGTGGAGATCCTACAATTCAATAGTGGAGTACACCAGTAGAGATCCTACACTTCAATAGTGGAGTACACAAGTGGAGATCCTACACTTTCAATAGTGGAGTACACCAGTGGAGATCCTACACTTTCAATAGTGGAGTACACCAGTGGAGATCCTACACCCTCAACAGTGGAGTACACCAGTGGAGATCCTACACTTCAATAGTGAAGTACACCAGTGGAGATCTACACACTCAATAGTGGACTACACCAGAGGAGATCCTACACTTTCAATAGTGGAGTACACCAGTGGAGATCCTACACTTCAATAGTGGAGTACCCTCTGACACAAGTCAGTACATCGATCTCATCTTGGCACCCTCTGACACAAGTCAGTACATCGATCTCATCTTGGCACCCTCTGAAAAGTTTGGCCTACCTGTAAGCTGTTGTCGATGGCCTGGAAGAAGAGGCTCCAGGTGAGGGGGGTGACAGCGTGGGGCATCATTTCTCTAGGGGGAGGATACAACACCAGTATTAGTACAAAATCTGTTACCAATTGACTCATCTTACATTCTAGCCAGGAGGCTTAAGCCCAATGTAGGGCAAAATTGTGCACTTTGTTATACAAGCATGAAATTTGGCATACAGCTACTATCACCAGTAACTATTTGTTTCAAGACAGACCCCGAACATACTTAACCTTATGGTTGCCATGGCATCTATGCAAATTATAACATCTAACATCTAGCTAAAAATAGAGATAGGAACACAATTTTGGCACCCATACCTATGTTTCAGTGTGAAACATACAAAAATTATGATGTAAAATACATAATTCTTCAGTGAGTAATTCTATTTCAAATTTCAAAACAGTTATGATAAGGGGTTATTGGTTGTTTAACGCTAAACAGTATACCCATGAGGACCATCAATTATTGGTTCAGCATCCCATTCCATCTCAGCACTAGTCAATGCTTAGTCCAAAGATCGTATTTTACAAGGCCAAGGCTTACGTCCAGTTTTGGTTTGTTTGGTTTGTTTGGTTTGTTTGGTTAGTTTGGTTTGTTTGTTGTTTGACGCAATATTCCAGCTATAGGACAGCGGTCTGTAAATAATCAAGTCTGGACCAGACAATCCAGTGATTGACATCATAAGCATCGATCCCCGCAATTGGGATTGATGACATGCATCAAACCAAGTCTGCGAGCCTGACCACCCGATCCCTTTAGTCGCCTTTTACGACAAGCATAGTCACCTGTGTGGGCAAGCATGGGTTGCTGAAGACCTATTCTAACCCAGATCTTCATGGGTAAAATATGCTGTAAGTAAGCTGCCTGTACTAATGAAACTCACCCAATGTTCCCAGTGGTGAGCAGCTCATAGTCAGCTGCCAGAGGGCTGTCAAACTCATGCAGTAGCTCCTCCTCTCTCTCCTGGTCGGCTGCCGTGATTGGCCGAGACTGGAACAAATCAACCAATCAATTGAGCATCTGATATCAATTTCCATCTCCAGGATTTGGATTAAAAAACCAGGTTTATTGTTTTCAGCATCTCAACTCCATCACAGTAGTGAGTTAGTGAGTGAGTTGGGTTTAACCCTGATTTGAACAGTATTCAGTTATATCACACAGTCAACTTGATGTGGGAGAGAAAAACCCTAAATGATCCAGGACTCCAGTTTACATGGATTCAGTCTGTGGCGAGTGAGTGAGTGAGTGAGTGAGTGAGTGAGTGAGTGAGTGAGTGAGTGAGTGAGTGAGTGAGTGAGTGAGTGAGTGAGTGAGTGAGTGAGTTGGGTTTAACCCTGATTTGAACAGAATTCAGTTAAATCACACAGTCAACTTGATGTGGGAGAAAAACCCTAAATGATCCAGGACTCCAGTTAACATGGATTCAGTCTGTGGCCAATGACCCACTAACCCCTACACTCTTGATCTGCTCTCCTCGTGCCACCCATTGTGGACAACCAATCCCCACTCTAGTGGACACCCGTCAGGTGCAGCAGCACCCTATACACCATTATCACAATAGATGGACGGGCTTCTACTGTCTAACAAATAATAATTGAAAGACTGAATTTACCTGAAGAAGGTAGATCTTGTTCTCTGCCATGGCCCATTCTACATCTCGACTGCTGCCAAAATATTTCTCCAACTGTGAAATGGGAATTAGGTCTTCAGCACAATTAATCTTTATTGGACATTTAGAAATTAGAACTTAGTTTCATGTTTTCAGTATAGTTAAAATAATACAATTTCAAGCCATGGGGATAATCTAAGCTGACAACATAAACATGGGATATACATGTACAGTAAACTACGTTTTACGAACTCAATTTGCAACGAATTACTGAAATCACTCATTAATCAGTCTCGTTAATCTGACACAGTGATCAGCGTACTCCGTGCTCATCAGCCTGCGAGTACACAGCCCGTGTTTTGATGCGAGACCAGTCGGCTGGTAGCTGCATATTACAATGGCTGCAGAGATAAACTTGCTTAACAATAAACAATTAATGCTTTAAATAAAGAAAACAGGATTAATCACATGCTAAGATTACCTCAATCTCATTAAAATCAGATACAAGTTTGCGCGACTGCCGAGGACATCCCATTACAAGTCACGCTATTACATGTTTTTATCGTTATCTATCGTGCTGTTGTCTGATTTTCAATCACAAACGTTGATACTACTTAATTTTGTTTATCCGAAATACTCGTTAATCTGACATAATCATATGCAACCAGCAATGTCGGATTAACGGGACTTGACTATATACAGCATATATACAGCAAATGGACAGGATCAAAACAAATTTTGTTATTTCCGTCAATGTTCGTTATAAACGTAGTAGACTGCACTTTAATTATCTCGCTGATATGGGCACGTGATGTGGTTCAACACAACTTTGGACAGTTTTTCAGTTTTATCACAGTGTGTCAGCTTGATATAGGAGGAAGGCCTGAAGTCATGCAGGCATGGAGAACCAGGATTTGAACCCACGATCACAGGTTTCTGTCACAGCTAAGGGACATAACTCTGCACAGCAAATTGCAGCACTTTAGATGACAGGGTCACCTGTATCCACCTCCTTTTATATGAATATACAATACAATGAACATATAGAAACATAAAAAAAACTTTTTTTACATAATTTATGGATAACTTCTTTATTTACTGTAAAGGCGACGTTTTGGTATAGATCCTTATACCATTGTATTTACAGTAAACAAAGAAGTTGTTATCCATAAATTATCTCTATTTTGTCATCTGTCAACTTTTAAGTCAAATAATTCATATAGAAAAATGATCTGAGTACTACAGGAGTAAGCCCTAGGAGCTTAATGGCAAAATAATGTACCGCAGTTATATAGCTGGAAAATTGCTGAGTGCTGCGTTAAACAACAAATACAAAACAAAACAAAAGCAAAATAATATAGTTTCTCAGAGCATTGACAGCAGACAAGTATTTGTATACAAAATATGCTATATAATTTAGTTTTTTTAAACCCCAATTAATGTCAAAATCAAACTTATAAAATTATTCTTTTTCCATCCATCCCCTCACCTGTATTCCAATGTGACACAGACGCAGGACATCATCATCTGAGAGGCTGGACACAGAAGCATCAGCAGCAGTATCCTTCTCCTCAACACCACTGCTCCCTGAACATGCATAGATAGAGGTAGAGCCCTAACCCTGTGTACTATGTACAAACCACCATATTGTTTTCTTAGTAACGTGCCTTCAACACCACACAAAGCCTCAGTAAGTGAAATCCCATAGTTTTCTATGTTTTTTCAGTGTTGAGAACGTAATTCCAACGTCTCTATTTTGTGTTAAGCATTGTCCTTTCATCTAAGCAAACTGTAGGGTCCAGATATCCTACATGTCCATTCTCCAAACATCACAGATACATGCTTTATACTGACTTGTCACAGCAAAACAATTTGCTCAACTGACTCAAGTTTTTGTGGATATACAGTAGAACATGGATATAACGAACAACAAGGGACCGCAGAAATCAATTCATTATATACTTTGTTCGTTGCTCAGAAATGTCCGCCATCTTTGATAAAACAAAACACAATACACGTACTTGCAGCATTGCCTGCCATGATAGCATGTGCTAGTGAAGAGACATTTTGACAGTCTCATGAAATTTGTGTTTGTTTTACAGACAAGAATAGTCCAGTTACAGGAGAGATAAAAAACAAACAAGTTTAACAAGGTTGAATCATCACCGCTGATTGTGTTGATTCACCTCTGATTGTGTGCAGCCAATTGTCAGTGACACTTGACACTGAGTGAGATTTTTAGTTCACCATACACGTCACTATTTAGTGGTATTTGGGCTTGTTGGGGATCATATATTAGTTTGCTATATAACTTAGTACGGTGTAGAGAGTTTGTTTTATGCACACATTTTATATGATGATATAGAGGTTTTGTTGTTTAACGCCGCACTCAGCAATATTCCAGCCATATGACGGCGGTCTGTAAATAATCGAGTCTGGACCAGACAATCCAGTGATTGACATCAAAAGCATCGATCCACACAATAGGGATAAGATGACATCAACCAAGTCAGCAAGCCTGACCACCCGATCTCATCAGTCGATAGAGGAAATAAATCAGGGATTTTGTAACAGTTCTTTGTATCCATTCAATATCTCTATCTGTGTTCATTATATCCGTGTTCTACTGTACCTCTGAGACATTATTTAATGCCCACAACTAAAGAATTCACTGTTACGCAACTCCTTCTTTGCGAGTGTTGCAGCCATAAAATTTCCGAGTCCCGTGATGGGATTCGAACCACGGACCTTCTGATCCGAGGTCGGACGCCTTGTCCACATGACCAAAGAGGTTAACCCCGTCAGCAAGCTGACAAGGTAAGGATGTCATCTGTGGGATGACTCCACACCCTGCCACACGAGGCTCAGAACTTATGAATGAAACCTCGCATATGTCAGGCAACCACGAGTCCCCTGGTGCAGTATTGTGAAGTGACTATTGGATCGGATGGTCAGGGTCTGTGACCAGCTGTACCTCAGCAGAGGGGGACAATATGAACACGATCCTAATGTTGTTGACTGCAGCGTAGGACAAACCTGTCATAACCATCATCGTGCTCTTCCTGCCGAGATGTCTGTCCGTGATGTCCAGCTGGTCCCCCCATCTCCGTCTGACCCTGAAGGTGTCTGGATCAGCCTTCCCCGACACCACCGACTGGGGGGAGGAGAGTATAGTCAGTGATTGCTGTCTTAATAGTGCTGTGACACACAAAGTGCAGTGGTTGGGCGGTGGAGGGTTGGGAGATAAGGTTTAGGGTTTGTGTGTGTGGGTTCGTGGTTCGGGTGTGGAGGTTGAGAAGGTTGGGGGGCTGGGGTTAAGGGTTAAGGGTTAAGGGTTAAGGGTTTGGGTGTGTGGGTTCGTGGGTTCGTGGTTCGGGTGTGGAGATTGAGAAGGTTGGGGGGCTGGGGTTAAGGGTTGAGGGTTGAGGGTTGAGGGTTAAGGGTTTGGGTGTGTGGATTCGTGGTTCTGGTGTGGAGGTTGAGAAGGTTGGGGGGCTGGGGTTGAGGGTTAAGGGTTAAGGGTTGAGGGTTGAGGGTTAAGGGTTAAGGGTTAAGGGTTAAGGGTTAAGGGTTTGGGTGTGTGGGTTCGTGGTTCGGGTGTGGAGATTGAGAAGGTTGGGGGGCTGGGGTTAAGGGTTAAGGGTTAAGGTTTTAGGGTTTAGGGTTTAGGGTTTAGGGCTTGGGTGTGGGTGTTCACTGTTAGAGTGTGGAGGTTGAAAGGGTTGGATGTTGGAGGCTTGGGGTATAGGGATTAGGGTGTGGGTGTGGGTGTGGGTGTGGGTGTGAGTGTGAGTGTGAGTGTGGGTGTGGGTGTAAGTGTGGGTGTGAGTGTGAGTGTGAGTGTGAGTGTGAGTGTGAGTGTGAGTGTGGGTGTGGGTGTGGGTGTGGGTGTAAGGGCGTAGAGGCTGAAGGCCGGAGTTAAGAGGTTGACAGATTTTGGCTCAGTGGTCAGGGTAGGGGTTGAAGAGTAGGTAAGGGGTTCAAGAAAGAGGGGTAAGGTCAAAACTCATTGACAATTGTACTTAAAAGTTCCACATGAAAAAATCCAGAATAATTATAATCCAACATTATCACTTCTGTGCAGTCCAATGACAAAGCTAGCACTATTAGTTATGCCATATCAACCAGTCTTAGTGAGTGAAGATTTGGGATTAACACAGGTTTGAAAGGTATTTCAGTCCAATCATGGCGTGTTGCCTTTTACAGAAGGAAAGCCGAAACTGACATAAGTAAAACCTGACAAGCAAGGTATGGTGATGAAATCCCACGTATCATATCAAGGGTAAATGAATCCAGACACAGATAAGGGAGGCAACTCTGCACAGTATGTTGAATAGCTGAACAGCTGAAGAGGTAACTGGCAACCTGATTTAGATAACAGTTACTAGTGTTATGCTGAAAATGTCTAAAGAATAGTTATCTCACTTACCTCTCCAAGGCCAAAGTTGGCATTAAGGGTGAAACTGCTGGTGCTGCCTGAGATAGGATCTGCCGTGAACAACACACCTGAACACACAGAGAGTAAACAATGTTAACACTCAAACACAAGGGGAGTAATCAGGGTTAACACCTGAACATAAGGGGAGTTAACAGTGTTAACACCCGAACACAAGGAGAGTAAACAATGTTAACACGTGAAGACAAGGAGAGTAAAATGTCAACACCTGAACACACAGAAAGTAAACAATGTCAACACATGAACACAAGGGAAGTAAACAATATTAACACCTGAACACAAGGAGAGTAAACATTGTTAACACCTGAATACACAGAGAGTAAACAATGTTAACACTCGAACACAAGGGGAGCAAACAGTATTAACACCTGAACACAAGGAAAGTCAACACCTGAACACATGGAGAGTAAACAATGTTAACACCTGAACAAAAGGGGAGTAAACAGTGTTAACACCTGAACACAAGGGAGTAAACAATGTTAACACCTGAACACAAGGAGGGTCAACACCTAACACATGGAGAGTAAACAATGTTAACACCTGAACAAAAGGGGAGTAAACAGTGTTAACACCTGAACACAAGGAGAGTAAACAATGTTAACACCTGAACACAAGGAGAGTCAACACCTAACACATGGAGAGTAAACACCTGAACACAAGGGAGTAAACAATGTTAACACCTGAACACAAGGAGAGTAAACACCTGAACACATGGAGAGTAAACATTGTTAACACCTGAACAAAAGGGGAGTAAACATTGTTAACACCTGAACAAAAGGGGTAAACATTGTTAACACCTGAACACAATGGAGTAAACAATGTTAACACCTGAACACAAGGGGAGTCAACACCTGAACACATGGAGAGTAAACAATGTTAACACCTGAACAAAAGGGGAGTAAACAGTGTTAACACCTGAACACATGGAGAATAAACAGTGTTAACACCTGAACAAAAGGGGAGTAAACATTGTTTACACCTGAATACACAGAGAGTAAACAATGTTAACACTCGAACACAAGGGGAGCAAACAGTATTAACACCTGAACACAAGGAAAGTCAACACCTGAACACATGGAGAGTAAACAATGTTAACACCTGAACAAAAGGGGAGTAAACAGTGTTAACACCTGAACACAAGGGAGTAAACAATGTTAACACCTGAACACAAGGAGAGTCAACGCCTGAACACATGGAGAGTAAACAATGTTAACACCTGGTAATACACATCTACCAATGCAAGGTAACATTACATCAGTAGAATGTACACACCTCAGGAAAAGTTCAGTACCAACAAGTTACAATATTGATACTTGACAATGTGTCACGACTTGGCTTCCATACCTTTTACTGAGTCATATGTTAATTGTGTGTGAATGTCATGGAAGCTCCTATCTGTCATGATAAAAACTAATAACACATCCCCCACCACATTATAGCGTTCTTTCACAATAATAACTTGTTCCAGAACCTACAGCTAGTGAACGCGAATTTTACCGCAAGGGAAAGCCATAGTATAGTGAATGAACACGGAACTATAGCGAGGGAATAGTATTGAGAGAGAATGCTATAATCACACTCCGGCGCAGTGGTGACTCAGCATAACACCACTGCCACAGGCTAATTTGCATATCACGTGACCGGACTTTTCTCTTTTTTGTAAACCAACACGCTTTTTCAGAAATCAGTATAGAATGGACTAATGCAAGTATTTGGGGGCGCTTAACATATTGTTTTGCATAATTATATAGATATGTTACTACCACTGCGACAGTGAATTTCATGACAATATATAATTATACATCAAAGTGACAGTATCGCTCGCTCTCCGTTGGGCTTCGAAGACAGCACGTAGAGCCGTACAACCAATGTAAACAAAGGATAACTACGCAAAAACAAATAGATTTTCACGTATTAGGATATTTTCTTAATGAACCATAACCATTCTTTGACATTTGTTTATGAAAATGTGTAGACTTGTCATACATGAAACGGATGAAAAGCATATTCAATATCTTGAATGAACTGCGAAAGGCAGAGGTACTATACTGGCTGGCTGCCGGTCGCATGGAACTCTGGGTTGGAGAGTGTGCTAAAATATGGCAAGAGAACATGCAATATTGTTTGTTTTTACCATGGCAGCTAGGAGCTTCCGTAAAATGGCATGTTGTAATAAGTAACCTTTGTCAGAGCCTTAAACTATCTGTATGAAATTACCTGAGACTTCCGATTGGACCATTTCTTGTATAACCACGCCCACAGCTGTCCTGATTGGCTGGCCATGTTGTCTGGAGAGACAAAGTGAGTTACCAGTACTGACAGTTAATACATGATACCATGTTGATAGAACTGTGAAACCTAGGGGCTGATGTCTATTTTGACCACTGACTGGCAGTTAATCCCAGTTATTAATGTTTGGTTTATTCCGGTTCTTGTTACGTAATAACTATTACATGCCAGTTACAATGCAATTTGGGCCACACTGTGCCTGACTGTATGGTCAGCATGATGCAAGGGGTCATTGTACAGCCCTCACTGTTTACAGTTACTTCTCATAGCTTCATGGTATCCAGCGTTATCTACATTGTAAATAACATTGCAATGAAATTGCATCCCAATGCTTTGCAAACCATTGTGATGTCATTGGTTACCATGACATCACAATCAAATGACGTCACTAATGAGTGCTACTGAAACTGTAAGCAGCACTTTTTACAATTAAGACACTGCTTATTACTGTCTACAAACTGAAAAAGTTGTGTATTTTGATATAAAATATATCAGCACTCGTTTTTTCACTTTTATCAACTCATGTTGATATATTTGATATGAAAAGACACAAAGGTGATATTCTCTATGTGAGGCATAAAATGACTACCAGTATCTATAAGGTGTTATTTTGTTTTTGTGCTAAGGGTCACAGGACTGCTTTCAAAGTGTTTCAGTACACTGAAAGGTAGTTAAAAATGGAAGTACTGTGCTGTCTATTAATAATACAAGCATAAACAAACATGTTGAGAAAAAGGTGATGGCCGTCCTTCAGTTTACACTCACCTGCGGTATTCCATGGCCTGGAATGTATAGGCAGAGGCCCAGCACTTCCGTACTGCATCAAGAACCTACAGCAGACAACCATTCATGTTAAGACTTATGTTACAACAATCATCTCCTCTCATCTCACCACTGCACTCACTCCCATCATGGACCCCCATCACCCACCTCACGGACCCCCATCACCCACCTCACTGACCCCCATCACCCACCTCACTGACTCCCATCACCCACCTCACTGACCCCCATCACCCACCTCACTGACCCCCATCACCCACCTCACTGACCCCCATCACTGACCTCACTGACCCCCATCACCGACCTCACCGACCCCCATCACTGACCCCCATCACCCACCTCACTGACCCCCATCACCCACCTCACTGACCCCCATCACCCACCTCACTGACCCCCATCACCCACCTCACTGACCTCCATCACCCACCTCACTGACCCCCATCACCCACCTCACTGACCTCCATCACCCACCTCACTGACCCCCATCACCCACCTCACTGACCCCCATCACCCACCTCACTGACCCCCATCACCCACCTCACTGACCCCCATCACCCACCTCACTGACCCCCATCACCCACCTCACTGACCCCCATCACCGACCTCACTGACCTCCATCACCCACCTCACCGACCCCCATCACCGACCTCACTGACCTCCATCACCCACCTCACTGACCTCCATCACCCACCTCACCGACCCCCATCACCCACCTCACCGACCCCCATCACCCACCTCACTGACCTCCATCACCCACCTCACCGACCCCCATCACTGACCCCCATCACCCACCTCACTGACCCCCATCACCCACCTCACTGACCCCCATCACCCACCTCACTGACCCCCATCACCAACCTCACTGACCCCCATCACCCACCTCACTGACCTCCATCACCCACCTCACTGACCCCCATCACCCACCTCACTGACCTCCATCACCCACCTCACTGACCTCCATCACCCACCTCACTGACCCCCATCACCCACCTCACTGACCTCCATCACCCACCTCACCGACCCCCATCACCCACCTCACCGACCCCCATCACCCACCTCACTGACCCCATCACCCACCTCACTGACCCCCATCACCCACCTCACTGACCCCCATCACCCACCTCACTGACCCCATCACCCACCTCACTGACCAATACACCGCCCACACTGACCCCATCACCCACCTCACTGACCCCATCACCAACCTCACTGACCCCATCACCCATCTCACTGACCCCATCACCCACCTCACTCACCCCATCACCCACCTCACTGACCCCATCACCCACCTCACTGACCTCCATCACCCACCTCACTGACCTCCATCACCCACCTCACTGACCCCCATCACCCACCTCACTGACCTCCATCACCCACCTCACTGACCTCCATCACCCACCTCACTGACCTCCATCACCAACCTCACTGACCCCCATCACCCACCTCACTGACCTCCATCACCCACCTCACTGACCTCCATCACCCACCTCACTGACCTCCATCACCAACCTCACTGACCTCCATCACCCACCTCACTGACCTCCATCACCCACCTCACTGACCTCCATCACCAACCTCACTGACCTCCATCACCCACCTCACTGACCTCCATCACCCACCTCACTGACCTCCATCACCAACCTCACTGACCTCCATCACCCACCTCACTGACCTCCATCACCCACCTCACTGACTCCATCACCCACCTCACTCACCCCATCACCCACCTCACTCACCCCCATCACCCACCTCACTCACCCCATCACCCACCTCACTGACCTCCATCACCCACCTCACTGACCTCCATCACCCACCTCACTGACCCCCATCACCCACCTCACTGACCTCCATCACCCACCTCACTGACCCCCATCACCCACCTCACTGACCTCCATCACCCACCTCACTGACCCCCATCACCAACCTCACTGACCTCCATCACCCACCTCACTGACCTCCATCACCCACCTCACTGACTCCATCACCCACCTCACTCACCCCATCACCCACCTCACTGACCCCCATCACCCACCTCACTCACCCCATCACCCACCTCACTGACCTCCATCACCAACCTCACTGACCCCCATCACCCACCTCACTGACCTCCATCACCCACCTCACTGACCTCCATCACCCACCTCACTGACCCCCATCACCCACCTCACTCACCCCATCACCAACCTCACTGACTCCATCACCCACCTCACTGACCTCCATCACCAACCTCACTGACCTCCATCACCCACCTCACTGACCTCCATCACCCACCTCACTGACTCCATCACCCACCTCACTCACCCCATCACCCACCTCACTGACCCCCATCACCCACCTCACTCACCCCATCACCCACCTCACTCACCCCATCACCCACCTCACTGACCTCCATCACCCACCTCACTGACCTCCATCACCCACCTCACTGACCCCCATCACCCACCTCACTGACCTCCATCACCCACCTCACTGACCTCCATCACCCACCTCACTGACCTCCATCACCCACCTCACTGACTCCATCACCCACCTCACTGACTCCATCACCCACCTCACTCACCCCATCACCCACCTCACTGACTCCATCACCCACCTCACTCACCCCATCACCCACCTCACTGACTCCATCACCCACCTCACTCACCCCATCACCCACCTCACTCACCCCATCACCCACCTCACTGACCTCCATCACCCACCTCACTGACCTCCATCACCCACCTCACTGACCCCCATCACCAACCTCACTGACTCCATCACCCACCTCACTGACTCCATCACCCACCTCACTGACCCCCATCACCGACCTCACCGACCCCCATCACCCACCTCACTGACCTCCATCACCCACCTCACTCACCCCATCACCCACCTCACTGACCCCCATCACCCACCTCACTGACTCCATCACCCACCTCACTGACTCCATCACCCACCTCACTCACCCCATCACCCACCTCACTCACCCCATCACCCACCTCACTGACCCCATCACCCACCTCACTGACTCCATCACCCACCTCACTGACTCCATCACCCACCTCACTCACCCCATCACCCACCTCACTGACCCCCATCACCCACCTCACTGACCCCCATCACCCACCTCACTGACCAATACACCGCCCACACTGACCCCATCACCCACATCACTGACCTCCATCACCCACCTCACTGACCCCCATCACCCCCCACACTGACCCCATCACCCACCTCACTGACCCCCATGACACCCAGGAATGTCTCCATCTGTCCGGCACTGGATGCTTCACTGCCGTCCTCACCTACAACAGACAGACTCATAGTAGCATGTATGTACACATGTATAACAGTGAAAATACAGTGAAATCATCAGTATTTATCAGAGTTATCAGTCTTGTAGCAGTTTAAGCTTAACAAGTCGTAGCCAAGCAACACCAGTATCGGTTGCAGATATCACCTGGATGGACATCTCACAAGATGATGAGACTGGTTCTCCGCAAAGTAGGAACTCTAGCATCCACTCGTACAGTTCTGCTTCAGCATAACACTACACCTACCTGCAGCAGAGGATCGGATTGCAAATATCTTCGTTTCGTAACTCTCAGTAAACAGAGATTGTAAGCTATCCAAGATGGCCGCCCTCACACTCTTGCAGATGGATGTGGTGGCAAAAAGCTCCACTGTGTCAGAACAGGCACCGGACAAGTTGTCATGGTTACAATGCCTGCAAAAAACCTAATTGTATCAGAGACTTATCTCATGATGCAGAAATATTTCAATATCAAACTCTGCAGTGAATCAGACCAGAGACAATACACAGTGAACAGTAACATACATATATATATATATATATATATATATATATATATATATATATATATATATATATATATATATATATATATATTTATCAAGTTAATTGGGTTTGTGTTAATGAAGCTTCACGGTGATTACTTGTCATGATGACACAAAGGAAAGGCTTTCCTTTACACCAATCAGATTCACACATGGCCAAAGCCTGACACAATCAGGTACAATAAAGATTTATTTTTTTATACACTGAAAGTGAGCAGGAGGTCAGGGTGACTATAAGATTTATGCAAATATTGTAACAGCATAACGAGTGACCCCTGATGTAGCAAAATCTGTGGAAAATTCTCAGCCATGAATGAACCTAATTCAACCTGGACTGATAATAAACCTGATTCAAACCCCGGAATCTTCACGGGTACAAGTGAATAGCGAACTCTGAATACCAAGTATAAGAAACTGATGGTGAAAGAAATCAAGTTAGATAGACCTGATTTGAGTGTTGTTTTTTTAAACTTTTCACAACAAACAAGCATTTTTTATTTTTTTTACAAATGACTCACAAAATTTAATAAGTAATGGCAGAATACCAATATTTGGAAAGAAAACATCAGCAGAATTTAGATAATTTATTAATGTACTCTTTGCACCTTTGATGAATACTTACAAAATACTGCCTCTAATTTTCGTAATAGATACATCCAGACAATCATTTAACTGAAAGAAAACAGACATCACCATGACCAGAGGAAACACATTTCTTTCATTGTTTGGATTTTGAGTGAATGAGTGAGTTGGGTTTAACGCCGTTTTTAACATTATTCCAGTCATATCGCGGAGTCTCAGCTTAATGTGGGAGGAAAGCCTGAAGTGATGCAGGTCTCAGAGTGAGTGAGTGAGTGAGTGAGTGAGTGAGTGAGTGAGTGAGTGAGTGAGTGAGTGAGTGAGTGAGTGAGTGAGTGAGTGAGTGAGTGAGTGAGTGAGTGAGTGAGTGAGTGAGTGAGTGAGTGAGTGAGTGAGTGAGTGAGTGAGTTGGGTTAAACGCCGCTTTTAACAGTATTCCAGTCATATTACGGCGTGTCAGCTTAATGTCGGAGGAAAGCCGAAGTGTTTTAGGTCTCAGATGTTTATCACTTCTGTGAAATACATTTTGGAATTATGGAAACATTTCGAAGGTACATTTGGCAAGTTTATAACATTTAACACATGATAAAAATCGCTATTTAAAAACACCCAATATACCGAGCATTGAAACATGATATCATGGAAAGAATGAACCTTAATTTACCGACATACTGGTAATACCGCACTCCATTAGTATGGACATACCTGGAGCTGTGTGTTGAAGGCCTCTAGCGTGACACAAACACCGCTGGGCACTGTGGCATTCAGCTGAAACACAGGAAGAGCTCGGGGATAGCATTACATCTAGGAGCCCACCATTAGATATCCTGGAATTGCTGGAAAATTGCTGAGTTCATCGTTAAACAACAAACAAACAAATAGACAGACCTATACCAGCAACACAACAGTATTCCTAATTCAAATATTCTTTAAAATCAGATCTTAGTTCTCGCTACCGCTAAACAAATATCTGAGAACATCCCATTACAGGTCACATCAGACCGACCTTGTGCGAACTTTGACCGACCAATGGAATGACCATCTTTCTGAGGCAAGAGAGTTAACTCACTATAAAAGTCCAGTTTCCACCCTTGCCGAACTAGGCTGGTATTATGGAGTGATAATTTGGCTGTACTAACGAGTCTATGCATAGTCCAATCAAAATCGCGCATCGAAAATGAAGACGGGTTCGTAAACTGTCATGCAGTTTTCGGTCATTTGCAGGACATGCTCTGTCTACCGAAAGTGAGGGAAATTGTTTTTTCCATACTTATAAACCGAAAAAAGAAACTTAAAACAACATTAATCAACATTTTTATATTTCGACCAAACTTTCCATGAACCTTAGGAACCGCACGTAAAATATCTGTTGCTGGTGTACGGATCTTGAAAAGGACATTCTGAAAACCAGTGTAGCTTATCAACACCTCTGTAACCTCGTGGTACACTCACTGGGCTACAGATATGAAGGTTGCAAGTTCGATCCTCGGGAATATAAAGAAAACATTTGTCATTTGATTTTACATTTCATTACAGGTTACAATCTGAACGGAAGTTATATTAATAAAATACCCAGGACATTATATAAAATCCCTGGGATATTATAGCAAATATGACTTGAATATCCTAAGAAATCCCTGGGATATTATATAAAATCCCAGGGACATTACAACATCCCTGTTTATGAGATTTAACCTGACTCGAAAGTAAAACCTCACAATAGGTTTTAATGCTTATAGAAAGAAGTCTTTTACTTAATAGCGATCCCAATGAATAGGTTTATAATGAAGGTGCTCATGTGATTTGATGCACTTCATGATGTAAGACCCGTTTTATCACAATATAGATCTTGATTGTCGATCAGATCGTCTTGTTTGGGTGCCACCATTTTGTTCGAAACAAATGCAAGTGATACAAGAGGTGGATTGGTCCATAGGAGAGGTTTAGAAGGGACATAACTCGTAATTACCACTGGTGGCGCTACAATCGAGCCAAGGAATTCCAGCTTAGTTCGGCAAGGGTGGAAACTGGACTTTTAAAGTCAGTTAACTCTCTTGCCTCGGGAAGATGTCTGATGACTGATAAGAAGTTGACATTAGCCAATCAGAAAGCTGCTTTCTCACGCTTTACGGCACTAATTTCAAATTGACGACTACGCTTCGAAACATATTTTGACAAATTCTCGATTAAAAATTTGAAACCTGAACGAAAGAACATTCTGGAATGGCTAATAGATGGTCTAGATTGTATGGATTCAGTCGTTAAGACTGTAACTATAGCTCAGGATGCCCTGTGTTAAAGTTTTCGAGGTTGCATGATAAGAAATCACATTCCAACTGTCACTTTCATGATCTGGTAAGCCACGCTCTGATTGGTCGGATGAAAGGTCACTCTGACGTGACCCCTAATGGGATCTCCTCAGATCTTTGTTAAGCCGTAGCGAGAACTAAGATCTGATTTTAATGATATTGATACCATCGGGGCATAATGACAAAACTACCTGATCCAACTTAATCACCTCTTACTGCCAGCAATGTCGTGCTGGAGACCGAATCTAACCCAGGGACCCATTGGGGCAGGTCTTCATAGAAGGAAGTGACTTCCAGGAACCAATACTTGTTTTGGTTATGTTGTGGTACCAAACCTTTGTTAATGACTAATAACACAGCAAGGAGGACCATTCCTCTATGAGCATATACATGGGACTTCTGGGAACAAGAGGTCTGCAGTAAGAAGTTGTAGGTTCTGAATACTGGGGATCAGGTGATCACAATGTGTGACCTCCCTGGTGTGAAGTGTGTGACTGAATCCCAACAGCAAAGGTCACAATATTAGACATGGCTAAGTGTGGCATCATATCCCAACAGCAAAGGTCACAATGTTAGACATGGCTAAGTGGAGCATCTGTCCCACCGACAAAGGTCACAATATTAGACCTGGCTAAGTGGGGCATTGTATCCCAATGACAAAGGTCACAATATTAGACCTGGCTAAGTGGGGCATTGTATCCCAATGACAAAGATCACAATGTTGACCTGGCTGGTTTAAAGTAGGGCATCATACCCCACCGACAAAGGTCACAGTGTTAGACCTGGTTGATGGTAACAGCAAGGGTTGGTGCTCATGCACTCGACCACTGGTCCATCTGGACCAGACTCATTTATTTACAAACCTGAGTGACACAGCTGGATTGAGAAACATGGACTTATTCTCTCACCTCGGCCTGGACCTGTGACAGGAGAGCCAGCTGGGAGCCCTTGCCTCCCACAAGATGGGAACTAGCACATGCAGGATGGGTGAAAGCCAGAATGAGGCTGTCTTTGTCATGCACAGTCTCCCCACTAGAGGGCTCTGTCAGCATCCTGAGTGATGTCTGCTGGGTGTAGCTCGGACCGTCAGGGTTTCTGTGTGGGCAGAAGTTATGCTGAGTAAAGTGGCAATGCTAAGACAGTGAACTGTTGCTGCAGACATTTGACTTTAACCACATTACAGTTCATCAATAAAAGAATTTCACCAAAAAAAAACATTTTTTACATATTTTCCCTTCAAACAATCACTGTAAAAAGTGGCCCACTGAGTGATCAGGTCATCTAGTTTTGCTTCTAATCTCTACAATGTCATGAACTGATAGAATCAGTAAGTTCTGGGTGTACATGTCATTCAAGTCATTGATGGTGTAGTCCTAACACTGACCTGTAAAAGTACTCGACCAGCCCCCTGCCGTCACGGCCGTTGACCGTGTAGGTACTGAACACCTCCATCACTTTTCCCCCTCGGTCGTCATGGTGATACCACACTGGTGTGATGCCTGTGCGTACCTCGACTGTGTACAGCTGACTGTCTGGACAAAACAAAAGCTACAGATTCATCTGTAGAACATTGTATTCATACATATCTTGATAATGAATGACTGGAGCAGAGTATGATCCAAGGGACATCAAGATATATTCACACATTCTAAATGTCCTTTTATATATCTACGGTCAAGTAATTAGTTGCTTTCAAATGGAACAAAGGCCTTTAAAGAAGTATGGATACCACAACAATTTCAATATGAAATATGAGGAAAGTGAGTCCAAGTAAATATATCGGCCAATTTGTCTATGTTAACAAAACCCACTTGCAGTCCCCCTACACTAACAAGACTCACCTGCAGTTCACCTTCACTAACCAAGACTCACCTGCAGTTCACCTTCACCAACAAGACTCGCCTGCAGTTCACCTACACTAACAAGACTCACCCGCAGTTCACCTACACTAACAAGACTCACCCGCAGTTCACCTTCACTAACAAGACTCACCTGCAGTTCACCTACACATCAAGACTCACATCAAGTTCACCTACACTAACAAGACTCACCTGAAGTTCACCTTCACTAACAAGAATCACCTGAAGCTCACCTTCACTAACAACACTCACCTGAAGTTCACCTACACTAACAAGACTCACTTGCAGTTCACCTACACTAACAAGACTCACCTGCAGTTCACCTACACTAACGGGACTCACCTGCATTTCACCTACACATCAAGACTCACATCAAGTTCACCTACACTAACAAGACTCACTTGCAGTTCACCTACACTAACAAGACTCACCTGCAGTTCACCTACACTAACAAGACTCACCTGCAGTTCACCTACACAACAAGACTCACATCAAATTCACCTACACTAACAAAACCCACTTGCAGTCCCCCTACACTAACAAAACCCACTTGCAGTCCCCCTACACTAACAAGACTCACCTGCAGTCCCCCTACACTAACAAGACTCACCTGCAGTTCACCTACACAACAAGACTCGCCTGCAGTTCACCTACACAACAAGACTCACTTGCAGTTCACCTACACTAACAAGACTCACCTGCAGTTCACCTACACATCAAGACTCACATCAAGTTCACCTACACAACAAGACTCACTTGCAGTTCACCTACACTAACAAGACTCACCCGCAGTTCACCTACACAACAAGACTCACCTGCAGTTCACCTACACAACAAGACTCGCCTGCAGTTCACCTACACAACAAGACTCACCTGCAGTTCACCTACACTAACAAGACTCACTTGCAGTTCACCTACACTAACAAGACTCACCTGCAGTTCACCTACACAACAAGACTCACCTGCAGTTCACCTACACAACAAGACTCGCCTGCAGTTCACCTACACAACAAGACTCACTTGCAGTTCACCTACACTAACAAGACTCACCTGCAGTTCACCTACACAACAAGACTCACTTGCAGTTCACCTACACTAACAAGACTCACCTGCAGTTCACCTACACAACAAGACTCACATCAAATTCACCTACACTAACAAAACCCACTTGCAGTCCCCCTACACTAACAAAACCCACTTGCAGTCCCCCTACACTAACAAAACCCACTTGCAGTCCCCCTACACTAACAAGACTCACCTGCAGTTCACCTACACATCAAGACTCACATCAAGTTCACCTACAGTAACAAGACTCACCTGAAGTTCACCTTCACTAACAAGAATCACCTGAAGCGCACCTTCACTAACAAGACTCTCCTGCAGTTCATCTACACTAACAAGACTCACATCACGTTCACCTACACCAACGGGACTCACCTGAGGTTCATCTATACTAACGAGACTCACCTCAGGTTCACCTACACTAACGAGACTTACTGGCAGTTCACCTACACTAACGAGACTTACTGGCAGTAAAGGTGAAGCGGTACTGTTTGGGGGGGGTTCCGTCCTCTCCTACTTCCCACAGCTTCAGGCTGACCTCACTCACTGACACCAGGTCTCCATTGGGGTAGGCCACATAGCCAATCATCAGGCTGGGGGACACACACACACAACATTACTTCCAATCTCATTAAAATTAGACCTTAGTTCTCACTATCGCTAAACAAAGATCTGAGGACATCCCATTACGGGTCACGTCAGAATGACCTTTCTTCCATCCAATCAAAGCATTGCTTACCAGACACGGGGTATTCTGAACGACACTTACGGCCCGTATGACTGATTCCGTCAAAATTATCGTCTATCTCTCGCTTACGTTGGGATAAACATTTGAACGGAGGAGGCATTGCACAGTACGTGGGAAGCACTGCAATACAATCTCAACCATATATTAGACATTGTGGAATGTTCGTTTGTTCAGTTTTCAAAATCTTAATCAAGAAAGGTGTCAACATATTTTTCAAGCGTAGTCTGAAAAGGAAGTCGCCAGGTTGAAACGAGTGCCGTGAAGCTCGGGAAAGCTGCTTTTTAATTGGCTGATGTCGACTTCTTGTTAGTCATTTCAGTAGTCGGTCAGAGTTCGCAAAAGGTCGTTCTGAAATTACCCGTAATGGGATGTCCTCAGATCTTTGTTTAGCGGCAGTGAAAACTAAGATCTGATTTTAATGAGATTGCATTACTTATGAAGATTATACAAAAAAACACTCAAACCAAGTACTAGAAATAGGTAATACAGTCCTTAATAGTACAAGATAAAAAAGATTCGTGTCATATATAAGGTTTGGCATATTGGTAGCGAAAACATTTCATCTTCATACAATTATTCTTTTACATTGAAGGGCACAAGATATGCTATTTAAAACGCTGAACAAGCCTAATCCTATTCACTAACTGATAACAATCCTTCACAGTTCTGTGTGCACACAGTGACAAATATTTATCTAATAAGAACATTACAAAATGTCCCTACCGGGGGAGACAAGCCTTGGCTACTTGGACCTGTTCTGTCCTGGAATTTCAATGAGGAGACTGGAGGTCTGTTCTTCCTAAGAAATTGGCATGGATGGCTCAGCCGTCTAAAGTGATGCAATTAGCTGCGCCAAGTTGCCTCCCTTGTGCACCAGAAATCAGTGGTTCAAATCCTAGTTATGTTTCTAGGTTTGTCAGCACCATACTCATGCTCGTGGGTTTCACCAAAGTGGTAAGAGTTTGAGATCTGCATCTCTCTGGCCTTTCCTCCCTCATTAAGCTGACACGCCATGTTATAACTGGAATGCTGTTCAAAATGGCGTTCAACCCAACTTACTCACTCTTGCTTAGAATCACCAATTGGAGACAAGCATGGGGTGCTGGAGACCTATCTTCCCCATAATCACCTAGTGGAGATAAGCAATGGGTACTGGAGTACTGTTCCTCCCTGGAATAACCAAGGGGAGATAAGCATGGGGTACTGGAGTCCTGTTCCTCCCTGGAATAACCAAGGGGAGATAAGCATGGAGTACTGGAGACCTGTTCCTCCCTGGAATCACCAAGGGGAGATAAGCATGGGGTACTGGAGTCCTGTTCCTCCCTGGAATAACCAAGGGGAGATAAGCATGGAGTACTGGAGTCCTGTTCCTCCCTGGAATCACCAAGGGGAGATAAGCATGGGGTACTGGAGTCCTGTTCCTCCCCAGAATCACCAAGGGGAGATAAGCATGGGGTACTGGAGACCTGTTCCTCCCTGGAATCACCAAGGGGAGATAAGCATGGGGTACTGGAGTACTGTTCTTCCCCAGAATAACCAAGGGGAGATAAGCATGGGGTACTGGAGTCCTGTTCCTCCCCAGAATCACCAAGGGGAGATAAGCATGGGGTACTGGAGTCCTGTTCCTCCCCAGAATCACCAAGGGGAGATAAGCATGGGGTACTGGAGTCCTGTTCCTCCCCAGAATCACCAAGGGGAGATAAGCATGGGGTACTGGAGTCCTGTTCCTCCCTGGAATTCCAACAAGGGGCCAAGCCACTGAAGTTCCATTACTTCTGTATAGACATGATAGAGGTATGAAGCATAAAGGTTTTGTCCTTACATAAACTGACTCTTCTCCATCCCCATGGAAAAAAAAAGTGATGTCAGGCCTGGTACTCACTGGGACATTGTATCCGGATGGCTGACAATCCCCACCTGGGCAGTCAGGCCAGTCTGAAACACAACCACAGCCACTGTACATTCCCTGCCCGTTACTTTCTTGTGTAACATATACTCCCCAGGGAGCTGAGAACAAACACGAGAACACAATGAATAATGATGCAGAGCTGACACTGTACCAGGTGACAATAACCCACATCACCAGGAAATGATCACATTCAAGTTCAGGTTTACTACTGGAATAAAGGAGTCAGAATGTTCAGTTTCATACTAGATTAAAGGAGTCAGAATGTCCAGTTTACTACTGGAATAAAGGAGTCAGAATGTTCAGTTTACTACTAGAATAAAGGAGTCAGAATGTTCAGTTTACTACTGGAATAAAGGAGTCAGAATGTTCAGTTTACTACTGGAATAAAAAAGTCAGAATGTTCAGTTTACTAATTTGGTAGGATCAGGGGGCTAAGATTGGAGCTATTTTTTATTCATGTCATTTGGGGTCCACATGTGATTTTCAAAGGATATATTTTTTCACACAAAATATTTGTTTGTCAGCACTTCAAAAAGTACAATATCTTTCTCCCAACCATATTACTCCAGAACATCCAGCATGTCCTCTTAACCATTTTTTGTTTGTTTGTAAAACCTGAGGATTTGTTTCAGTATTCTTTCAAAAGCATTCCCAGCCTTCCTCCAACCCCCAAGAATATCACAGGGTCATCCAAATGGTATTGATTTGACAGGACCACTGAGCAATTGTTTCTTGTTTCTAGGTATAACCTGAGAGTTTTTTCCAGTGTACTTGGGAACAGAATTTTGTTCAAAAGAAGTCCTGGCCCCTGACAACCTACCCAACCCCCCACCAAGAATATCACAGGGTCATCCAAATGGTATTGACTTGACAGGTAGTGTTTGGACCACTGAGCAAGTGTTTGTTGTTTCTAGGTATAACCTGAGAGTTTTTTCCAGTGTACTTGGGAACAGAATTTTGTTCAAAAGAAGTCCTGGCCCCTGACAACCTACCCAACCCCCCACCAAGAATATCACAGGGTCATCCAAACGGTACAGTTTTGACTTGACTGGACGTGTTCAGTCAGACCACTGAACGAGTGTCAGCCTCACCTCCACATAGATGAAGTGGATCACATATCGGTAGAAGGTCCTCCAGTCACGCACACCTACAACAGAAACAAACTATTAGGACGGAGATCTGCAAAGATTGAAAAATATCATTGAAATTGAGACAAATAACTGTGTCAACTGACTTAGAGTAAAATATTAATCAATAATTAGTGAGTGATCGGTAATTGTTTTGAATAGTTTTCAATAATATAATGACTCACAACTTAATGTAGGAAGAAAGCTTAAAGAATTGTGTGATACATTTACCACTCTGGCGAAATCCAAGAGCATTCATCTGCTTCTGATAGGAAAAGTGCTGTTGAATCTTGGCTTTTGCATAATTGCAGCACCTTAGCTCATGTGTCACCACTGCCCCCATCAACACAAAACATGCTCCCCACACAGCCTGGTCCACCACTGCCCCCATCAACACAAAACATGCTCACCACACAGGCTGGTCCACTATTGCCCCCATCAACACAAAACACGCTCCCCACACAGCCTGGTCCACCACTGCCCCCATCAACACAAAACACGCTCACCACACAGCCTGGTCCACCACTGCCCCCATCAACACAAAACATGCTCCCCACACAGCCTGGTCCACCATTGCCCCCATCAACACAAAACATGCTCCCCACACAGCCTGGTCCACCACTGCCCCCATCAACACAAAACATGCTCCCCACACAGCCTGGTCCACCATTGCCCCCATCAACACAAAACATGCTCACCACACAGCCTGGTCCACCATTGCCCCCATCAACACAAAACATGCTCCCCACACAGGCTGGTCCACCACTTCCCCCATCAACACAAAACACGCTCCCCACACAGCCTGGTCAGCCATTGCCCCCATCAACACAAAACATGCTCCCCACACAGGCTGGTCCACCACTGGCCCCATCAACACAAAACATGCTCACCACACAGGCTGGTCCACTATTGCCCCCATCAACACAAAACACACTCCCCACACAGGCTGGTCCACCATTGCCCCCATCAACACAAAACATGCTCCGCACACAGCCTGGTCCACCATTGCCCCCATCAACACAAAACATGCTCACCACACAGGCTGGTCCACCATTGCCCCCATCAACACAAAACACACTCCCCACACAGGCTGGTCCACCATTGCCCCCATCAACACAAAACATGCTCCCCACACAGTCTGGTCCACCACTGCCCCCATCAACACAAAACATGCTCCCCACACAGCCTGGTCCACCACTGCCCCCATCAACACAAAACATGCTCCCCACACAGTCTGGTCCACCACTGCCCCCATCAAGATCAAACATGCTCCCCACACAGCCTGGTCCACCACTGGCCCCATCAACACAAAACATGCTCCCCACACAGTCTGGTCCACCACTGGCCCCATCAACACAAAACATGCTCCCCACACAGCCTGGTCCACCACTGCCCCCATCAACACAAAACATGCTCCCCACACAGCCTGGTCCACCACTGCCCCCATCAACACAAAACATGCTCATACCACACAGCCTGGTCCACCACTGCCCCCATCAACACAAAACATGCTCCCCACACAGCCTGGTCCACCACTGCCCCCATCAACACAAAACATGCTCCCCACACAGCCTGGTCCACCATTGCTCCCATCAACACAAAACATGCTCACCACACAGCCTGGTCCACCACTGCCCCCATCAACACAAAACATGCTCCCCACACAGCCTGGTCCACCATTGCCCCCATCAACACAAAACATGCTCCCCACACAGCCTGGTCCACCATTGCCCCCATCAACACAAAACATGCTCCCCACACAGTCTGGTCCACCACTGCCCCCATCAACACAAAACATGCTCCCCACACAGCCTGGTCCACCACTTCCCCCATCAAGATCAAACATGCTTATACCACAGGCTGGTCCACCATTGCCCCATCAAGATCAAACATGGTCACCACACAGCCTGTCAAGCATTGTCCTCATCAAGTACTCACCATAGCTGTGATCCCGCATAGTTTTGAGACTCAGTCTTCTCTCATCAAACCCCTCGACTGCGATTCTCCCCCTCATCTCCCCCCACTGCTCATAGTGGGTCTGATGCTTGCTGAAATATGACACCCCTCATGGTCAACACAGTCAGGTACGTTGACGTCACAAGACAGTCGGACACATTGATGTCACAAGACAGTCGGACACATTGATGTCACAAGACAGTCAGACACATTGATGTCACAAGACAGTCGGACACATTGATGTCACAAGACAGTCGGACACATTGATGTCACAAGACAGTCGGACACATTGATGTCACAAGGCAGTCGGACACATTGATGTCACAAGACAGTCGGACACATTGATGTCACAAGGCAGTCGGACACATTGATGTCACAAGGCAGTCGGACACATTGATGTCACAAGACAGTCGGACACATTGATGTCACAAGACAGTCGGACACATTGATGTCACAAGACAGTCGGACACATTGATGTCACAAGACAGTCGGACACATTGATGTCACAAGGCAGTCAGACACATTGATGTCACAAGACAGTCGGACACATTGATGTCACAAGATAGTCATCTTCCCAAGGCAAGTGAGTTAACTGACTATGAAAGTCCAGTTTCCACCCTTGCCGAACAAGGCTGGTATTATGGAGTTACATTTTGGCTGGAATAACGAGTCTATGCAAAGTCCAATCAAAATCTCGCACCGAAATCGAAATCCGGTTCGTAAAGTGTCGTGCAGATTTCGGTCGACTGCAGGATTTGCAAAGCATGTGCACCGCTAACTCGTTGTCAACAGATATTTTCTAAATCTTTTCACTTCGCGATGTAAGACTCGTTTTATCACAATATAGATCTTGATTATCGATCAGATCGTCTTGACTGGGCGCCACCGTTTTGTTAGAAGCAAATGCAATTGATACGAGAGAATGAATCTGATTGGTCTCACCTCTGGAGTCTGGCCCAGAACTCTTTAGTCCACAGCTCCCTAGCAACACCATCAGCAATGGCCACAGCACTGATGTCCGTGTCAAAGTTGAAGTGATCAGTGAAAGCATCCCAGCTGAGGTTTGAATAACAGAATCAATGAGTTGAGTTCTACGTTGCTTTCACCATTATTTTGATCATATTAAAGCTTGGCAGCAGAGATGAGTTGAGTTCTACATTGCTTTCAACATTATTTTGATCATATTAAAGCTTGGCAGCTGAGATGTGTTGAGTTCTACATTGCTTTCAACATTATTTTGATCATATTAAAGCTTGGCAGCTGAGATGAGTTGGGTTCTACATCGCTTTCAATATTAATTTGATCATATTAAAGCTTGGCAAGGGAGACGAGTTGAGTTCTACATTGCTTTCAACATTATTTTGATCATATTAAAGCTTGGCAGCTGAGATGTGTTGAGTTCTACATTGCTTTCAACATTATTTTGATCATATTAAAGCTTGGCAGCTGAGATGAGTTGGGTTCTACATCGCTTTCAATATTAATTTGATCATATTAAAGCTTGGCAAGGGAGACGAGTTGAGTTCTACATTGCTTTCAACATTAATTTGATCATATTAAAGCTTGGCAGCAGAGATGAGTTGAGTTCTACATTGCTTTCAACATTATTTTGATCATATTAAAGCTTGGCAGTATACCCTCACCTGGGCCTGTAGAAATTTGATTCAAGTCGTTCAAACACCATTTTGTTTACCTCCAAACTACGGCTCTGAACAGTACTGGAGTGGCCAAGGACGGGTTGGGTATAAATGGATTTGAGTATCCAATCAGGGGAGACAACTCACATCTTCATTTCTCTTACATGTTTTGAGGAATGGAACAGAAATGGTACAGTGTCTGGACAAATGTTGACTCAGATGATGCTAAGAGAAACAAAATTGTCTGGCAAATTACCATTGGGTTAAGGTACTAAAGTCTGGGTCAGGTTTTGAGACATGGATCCTCAAGTCATTTTTTTAAACTTGACTCCACTTTGATGGATGGATGGATGGATGGATGGATGGATGGATGGGTTGGTTGGTTGGTTGGTTGGTTGGTTAGTTGATTGATTGATTGATTGGTTTGTGGTGGTTGAAGCCATGTGGGGAAAAGATCCCGGTTGTTCAGCGTGATGTGCGAACGTCTTAACCACTAGGCTACCCAATCGTCCTTTAACTTCTTTTGTATTATTTGTAGAAATAAACCTTTTCATATTGTTTATTAACAATGTTAACAAGAAACTACTTACATGAAGGAAATCTTGGTTTGTACAAACTTGTCAGGTTTTGTATCTATATTATTACACAGTCCCACCCTGAAAGTGAAATCAATACATCTTAATATTTTTTGCTAAATCTTTCAAAATAATGACACCTGAGTATCACAATTAAGAAGATAAAGACATATTTCAAAAGCAGTTTACTCACTGAATTCCCCTGTAACACATACAGACTTATATCTAGGGGTTTTCCACAGGGGAACACCACAGGTGCATGTAACTTTTTTACCGACAGTGACAGAATTAATAACAAACTAAATCTTAAAAGAAGACAACCAAATTAAATCTTCAAATTCATCACATTTTACCAATCCGGAAGATATCAATAACTGTTAATTACAATGAAAATTCAAAATGTAAAAACAAAGTTTAATGTAATGATTTTGAGATGGCCCCTGTACCTCATCAATCCACTGTATGAGATCTTCCATCTTCTCATTGGCTGAAGAAGTTCAAAGGTCAGTCCACCGGCAGAGAAGTTCTTCCCATCTGTGTTATAAACATCCGTATCTGGGTGCACTGGGTGTTGCAGCTGGCCGATACCGGGCAGATCGAGAAACAGCCAGAGCTCGGCACTGCGTCCATGGCGGCGGGCAATGCGGAACACAACCTTGCTACCATCCTCTCCAAACCCAGCATAGTAGGCGGTGTCTATTGCCTGTGGAAGAAACAGTACGGTGAAAGGATGGTATACTGTGCTGATCAATACAAAAAATAAAATTCATGTAAGTATTTATGAAGTTTAACAACACATTTGTGTTACAATGTGACATGAAAAATATAAACTTGCTTTTACAGAATAGACTCCTGTGATCAGTCCACTCATGATAGTGAGTGAGTGAGTGAGTGAGTGAGTGAGTGAGTGAGTGAGTGAGTGAATACTCACATAGGGATCTTCACCCAGGATCTGGGGGCCGTCGATGCTGGCAGGGTCGGTGTTGCCTTTCCCGTACCCCTTCGAGAAGTTGTCAGTTTGGCCTCGTTCTTGACCTTTCTTCTTGTTCTGCCATTTACGGGCACAGATCATCAGATAAAACACAGCCTTTTTCAACCAGTACCATCGACCTGTAACACAAATACATTATTTAAGTGAAACTTACCTATCAAAACTAATTTATTCATGAAAAAAATAAAACAAATCCAGTGTAACCAAGCCAACCCATCATTTTACCTGCAAAAATTCTTTTTTGACACATCAGTGACTAAAGGTGTGTTGCAATGCGCTAATCGCTTGCAAGCGATGTACAGCAGTTTGCCTTACAATGATGCACTTCCAGCCGCTTGCAATCGTACCAATTGCTGACTAAGGTTGCTTCATTCTCAAACCAAAATGGCGGCTGAGTTGGACAGCTGAACAAGAAATTCTTGACTGGATCAAATGGGAAATGAGCAAAGGTAGCTAACACCGCATCATCCTCAGTCTGCTCCACATCTTCAAAGTCATAAATTTCATCAGTTCATCATCGAGCCTCTTTTATAACGTTCTTTCATTGGGGCAAGGCTACCAAGCGGTAGTTACACTGCTGCTTTGGAAGAGTGCGCAAGCACCTCGAACTGTTGCAGACCCTGGGATGAGTGATTAATTTGCTTACTCTAAGCAATTTGTGGCTTGCAATGCACTCTAGTTGTCAGGATACAGTAATGTTTGTTTATCATATCTCTGTCCTGTTCTCACACATCTTCCCGAGGCAAGAGGTTAACTGACTATAAAAGTCCAGTTGACAACAGATATTTTCCAAATCTTCTCATGTTTTTAATCAAGGTGCTCACGTGATTTGATGCATTTCGCGATGTAAGCCCCTTTTTATCACAATATAGATCTTGATTATCGATCAGATTGTTTTGACTGGGCGCCACCATTTTGTGTGAAGCAAACGCAAGTGATACGAGAGGTGGAATCTGATTGGTCCATAGGAGAGGCTTGGAAGTGACATAACTGGTAATAGTCACTGGTGGCGCTACGGTCAAGCCCAGTAATTCCAACCTAGTTCGGCACGGGTGAAAACTTGACTTTTATAGTCAGTTAACTCTCTTGCCTTGGGAAGATGGTTCTCACATATATGTCAGTATTTATAGCATATGCTCATATGTAAAACTTCTACACTTGACAACAATGTTGCAAAATGAACACAAGATAAACTATGGCAATTTATATAGGTTAAAGGTTGTATAAAACTGATATCATCTCACTGCTGACATTGTTCAGTAGACATGTTAGATACAAGTGATACAAGTGTTACAATTTGCCACAATTAAACAAGGCCAGAGGAATGTTTGTTTGTTTGTTGTTTAACGCCGCACTCAGCAATATTCAAGCTATATGACGGCAGTCTGTAAATAATCGAGTCTGGACCAGACAATCCAGTGATTAATATCATGAGCATCGATCCACGCATTTGGGATTGATGACATGCATCAACCAAGTCAGCAAGCCTGACCACCCGATCCCGTTAGTTGCCTCTTATGGCAAGCATGGGCTGCTGAAGACCTATTCTACCCCGGATCTTATGGGGTCGCCAGAGGAATGAGTACCTTGCTAAAACATTATATAATCATGTTGATTATTGCTCTTATTTGTATTACTTTTAAACCTAGTATGCCAGTTACAAAAGTTTACTGGTTTGAAGGGGTTTGAAGCTTAAATCTAAGACTACAAAAATATAGATTTTATTTTGTTTCTATAGGTTTTTTAAATGAAGCAGTCATAGTATTTCACTTTTATAACAGAAGCATGTAAATAATGAAATATGCGCCAGGTAAGCAAGTGGATGATAACATGATCAACATCCCACACCATACAGGTACAGTGACACACAATCAACCATGACACTGACCACCCAATCCCCACTGTACTCAGATCTTGCAGCCAACATGAAGCTTCTTTTTTTGTTTATATGTTTAATGTAGCACTCAGCAATATTCCAGATATATGATGGCAGTCTGTAAATAATCAAGTCTGGACCAGACAACCAGTGATTGACATCATGACGTTGATCTACGCAACAGGGATAGTATGACATGCATCAACCAAGTCAGCGAGCCTGACCACCCGATCCAGTTAGTCACCTCTCACAACACAACAAGCATAGTTGCCTCCTACGGCAAGCATGGGTTGCTGAAGACCTATTCTCTACCCAGATCTTCACGGGATCAAGCATGAAGTGCTGGATTTAATTCCACGGGAAACATATTTCTTACAGAATCTCACAATATGTCAATAGTTACTCTAGTAACTGTGTTCTTCACAATACCAGTGATGCCATCCCCAAATGCAAGGCAATCAGGAAGATCTCGGATACTTGACATCTGAAAATATTGACTGACCATTTTGATAAAAACAAATCATATTTTGTATTGCAGGGCTCGATTTAAATTTAAAAAAGCAGTGCAATCTATTATTGAAAAATGCAACTTAATATTCATATCTACATTCACCAAGTGCATGTATAAAAAATTCAAATTTGTGTCTGGCTAACCCTTACTGTCCACACAACAACCTGGTTTTGTCTGGTGCAAGTTTTCATATTAACATGAACCTGGTGTTTTGTACCAAATTCGTAATTCATTTTATTGTTGATGCTCATGATGTCAATCACCGGATTGTCTAGTCCAGACTCGATTATTTGCAGACCGCCTTCATATAGCTGGAATATTGCTGAGTGCGACATTAAACAACAAACAAATAAACAACAAACAAACAAACAAACAACCAGTCATAATGGTTGCGATCTCTGAAAACTGTCACGTAGGTCAAACAGTCAGGTTCAGCCAAAACCAAGTTTAATATCAGTCAGTCCACAGCAAATGGATAAAGAACACAAAAAATACACTGTTGCATAACTGATTTGTAAAACATGTGATGACTGGCATTGAAATGTATTACCTGGTACTGCATAAATACCATGACGAGGATTGCTTGGTTTTAGGAAGAGCCAGATGAAGACCCCACTAGCAACACCAACTGCCGCAGCAAGCATCATCATGCCCTTGACAATGAACACACCTTGTAAAAAGTTGTAATTATTACAAAATAACTCTTCTCTCTCAGCTAGTCTTCAATAACATAACACATTGGCAGCCACTATATATTGCGTTATTTTCAGAGGGGCTAACAGTACTTTTATTATTTCATGGCATGTAATATATCAGCCTGAAGTGATGACAAGCCAAGGGTCCTAATTCGAAATAGCAGTTCCTGGCACAATCAGGGGAAGTAATTCAACAATGATAAATTGTGGGGAAAAACTTCTGCCAGGGTCTTCAACTCCTTCCTCCTCATACCATGTCCAGGTGCAGTCGGGTAGCCTAGTGGTTCAAGCGTTCGTCGTGTCATGCTGAAGACCCGAGTTCGCTTCCTGACATGGGTACAATGTGTGGACCCCATTTCTGGTGTCCACCGCAGTGATATTGCTGGAATATTGCTAAAAACGGCGGAAAACTATACTCACTCACTAATACCATGTCCAATGTATTGTTGCTCAATCCTTTCAATTATACATATTCTTGTAGCCGGGAGCCCCAATGGAGTCCTGCAGTCAAGACATGACCCTATATCACGGCCGAGAACACCATCTTCATAAATCCTCTTCAGACTGTTTTTGCCGATTATCCTCGTATTTTTCTGAGATTTTTTACAAATATGGGTTTGTGACTGAAAAGTTGATATCGCTGTTATGTCACAGTTATCTTCCCGAGGCAAGAGCGTCCACAAGCCTTTTTATCAAAGTCTTTTTTCCACTAGGCTTTGATATGGGCTTGTCAACACGCTTGCCTCGAGGAATGTACCGCAGTACGCGTCTGGACTGTGGGACCCCATCGCGGCACTCGGCTAATATTCTTGAGGTGGGTGGGTGTGGGTGTGGGGTACGGGCTGAAGTCTTACCCTTGGTACTTCAGTTGAGTCTACCGGTCATATCGATCAAAATGCAACATACAGTATGATACACTGACAAGAAGCGAAACAGCTGATCGCGGACTGAAAATCCCCACCAACTAAACACCATTTTTGTCACCTATTCAGCTTGACAGCTAGTTCCAGCTCCAGTTCTGTATGCCATCTCCCAGTCACACTTTGCCCTATGTGGAGCGTCGCGGCGATAACTAACGCTATCTACTGTCACCAACATATGACCGACTTTCATTTGTTTACTTCTGCAAACCACCAGTGTCGTTGAAGCGCTCGTATTTGTTGGGGAGCAGTTATTATTTCGAGTGTTTATTACTTGAGATTAGTACTGGCACGTTGTCTTTTAATTCAGCTAACTTGCTTATTAAATTCGATTGTCAGGGGGTGGGGGTTGCTAAAACAATAATCAAGCCCCTGTTTCACTCCAACAAATACATATTCTTCGCATTGTAGGAAAAACATTAATGTGCCCTTTTCTTGCAGACTGTCCAAAGAGTACAATTCGTTATATGTTTATTTATTTATTTAGCCGTAATGCTAATGGTATAGTTGCTACATTTGTCGTGCATATGGTGTTCCAGCATTAGATACGAGGAGCGTGGTGATATATATAGTTTGTTTGTTTGTTTGTTGTTTAACGCCGCACTCAGCAATATTCCAGCTATATGACGGCGGTCTGTAAATAATCGAGTCTGGACCAGACAATCCAGTGATTGACATCATGAGTATCGATCCACACAATTGGGATACGATGACATGCATCAACCAAGTCAGTGAGCCTGACCACCCGATCCTGTTAGTCGCCTCTTACGACAAGCATAGTCGCCTCTTACGACAAGCATAGTCGCCTCTTACGACAAGCATAGTCGCCTTTTACGGCAAGCGCGAGTTGCTGAAGACCTATTCTACCCCGGATCTTCACGGTTCGATATAGTGTAGATGTAATAGTATTGCACAAACGAAATTATAGTCACGTTTTGATAGCAACCGGACGTGAGCAGCGGATTCGTTATTCAAAGGATGTACAGTAAACAACTACACAGTGTTGTGGTCAAATATACTGAAACTCATGTCATAAATGACAGCAGATTTGTCTTTAGGTGTACCATCGCCCAAGAGCTGTTTAGTTATTCAGTACTTATCAATAACGAAAAAAAGACAGCGCCAATTATCAGTTTAAGTCCAGCAATTCTTATATAGTCAATTCAAATATAAGATAGTCAAATTGTTTATCGTTATTCAAAAGCACTGAATAAGCTAACAGCTTTTGGACGATGTGAGGCGAACCTGCAGTCATATATTAACTGAGTTTCGGTGTATTTAACCATTTTACTGTAGTTGTTCAATATACAACCTTTGAATAACGAATCCACTGCTGCCTTGTTTTTTTTTTCGTTATTTGAAAAACGAACTTCACATTCGTCACCACTCGCCCTTTTCCGTAACCCGCTATTCGGCTTGTCCCGGAATGACACGAGTTGGACACGAATGCGAACTTCAACCTGCCTGGTTTCATGACATAGAAGACACAAAAGCCGTGGTGTTATAACAAAGGAGATAGATAGTTGTGGTGTTATATCATAAGAGGTAGATCGCTGGGGCGTTATAGCAGAAGAGATGTAGATAGTTGAGGTGTTATAAAATATGAGATAGATAGATGTGGTTTTATAGCACATGAGATGGGTAGCCTTAAAGTTATAGAATGAGCCAGGATAGTCAAGGCGTTATAGTAAACGATAAAAAAGCCGAAATGTCATAGCATTGAGCCAGAATACTCAAGGAGTCAGAAATTAAGAGATAGGTAGTCATGATGTTATAGTAATGAGAGTCGAGGTGTTATGGTACAGGAGATATATTCGTAGTGTTATTGAATATTATATATGGTAGTCGAGATGTTATAAGGTTCTCCACTGCTTCTATGACGTCATCGTTCGAATCCAAATATGTTCCGGCTAGAGTTTTCTTCGTGTTTAGGAACAGATGAAGTCTGATGGAGCCCATCGGGAGAATGAGATGGATGCTGAAGGAGTTCAAGGCCACATTCGTGGATCGTAGCCATGGCAAAGACTGTTTTTTCACTGGCGCATCGTCCTGGTGGAAGAGCACACCTTATCTCAGCTTCTCGCGTCTCGTAGTCATAAGTCCATACCGTAATTGCCTCAAAAGTGCAGCTTAATAAGCTCCGTTTATTGTCTGGCCTTATTTAAGATCGCCGACCGTGATTTCACCCTCAGCATCCCAGAACACGGCGGCCACAATCTTTCCATCTGATGGGATAGACTTTGCCTTCTGTGGGGGTGGTGATGTCAAATGCTTCCCCTGTATTGATTGTTGTTTGGTCTCAGTCTGTAGCTGCATGGGTTCCATTCATAGTCTCAAATGTTTGCAAGAACCTTTCTGGATCAGCTTCAAACAGAGCTAGAGTTTCACAAGACATGTTGTGCCTTGCACTGACAGAAATAGTGTGTAAAGTTGACTAATGTATACTACTCAAAAGAAGTTAAGGATCACCTGATTCTTTCATATTACTAAAGTTAATCTCTCATGTCATGACATTATGAAAGAATCGGGTGATCCTTAATTTCTTTTGAGTAGTATAGTTAGTGAATGTCACTGTCCAGTCACAGGGTATCATGTTAGAAGACCTTACTAATTAGTTAGTTTTTTTTACTGGGTGGCCCAACGACGCGAACTAAAACATGTTAAAGTAGTAATCAGATATACTTTCATTGTCAGCTTCTTGTATAAGACAAATAGTATTAGGCATACAGTAACAACACAGTTATGAACACGTACATTTTATACCTCTGTGGGATTCGAACCTGTAACCTCTTTATCTGTTGTCCGTCACCCAACAACCTGTGCTACGGAGACTCTTGTCGTTATAAGTGTCATTTGTCCTAGTCACTATGGCGTGGATTGATGCTCATGGTGTCAATCACTGGATTGTCTGGTCCAGACTCGATTATTTACAGACCGCCGTCATATAGCTGGAATATTGCTGAGTGCGGTGTTAAACAACCATCCAACCAATACGAGTCGAGTTTGGTTTTGTTGTATATGTTATTCGTTGTAAGTCCTGGTGGTATATGTTTTATGTACGTGCCTGTAAATCTAATTTGCACACCCAATTTCAGTATATATTATAATCTCATCCATAGTTGACTTATAGCCTGATCATAAGCACTTTAAATTCTAAACATGTTTAAAGGTGTTAACAATCTAAACATGTTTATAGGTGTTTACATTCTAAACATGTTTAAAGGTGTTTTTAAATTCTAAACATATTTGAATGTGGTAAAATTCTAAACGTTTGGATTATGGGGATGTTGCGTTTCGGTGGTGTTTAGGCTATGAGGCAATAGCTCCTATCATGTGTTTAGACCCTAAACGTGTTTAGACAGAACACACCAAATGTGCATACCGTGTAGGATTGAAGCACATTCATGAACATGTATAGTATGTGTTTACATTCTTAACACGTTTTACGACCCGTGAAGATTCCGGTAGAAAACAGATAGTGCTGGTGATAATGCAGTCCGTCTCACAGTCCCCGAACTATATATTAAATGAAGCAAGTCTAGATTTCCCTCAGGTTGTATACTCAGTGAGTTGTTAAGAAATACGAACGCACCCTGATGCAGAGTCTGCCTCACGGTCCCCGAACCATATTTCTTTGCCTTTCCCCCAGCCCTTACTGTATTGCTACAGCCCTAAATGAAGCAAGTCTAGATTTCACACAGATTCAAAATCATCCATCTCACTGGGGCTCCATTTCAATTTTAATGTAGTTACCTGTTTCTATCAAAATTATATATTTTCAGAGACTAAGTGTTAGTCTAGTGCTACTGTATATAGGACATATAGTCATGCCTGGTGATAATATAGTCTTGTATGAAATGTTGACTTCTTGTTAATAAAATGACAAAATATAAAAGATCATGATATATACGTATTGGATATTTTTAATATCACAGATATATAATAATAATTCATATCAACTTCAGTCTTTTATTGAATCACGATGTCTCTCGCCACAATCGTAAATCAATCTCATTCCAAAATCCGTTTCTCGTGACTTCCGAGTCCCTTGGGATTCCTTCAGCTCTGATCCTCAGTTTTATAATGACAGAAAACGGTTTGGGGGGATTGCCAAACAGTCTTTTAAAACGTTTTTTGTTGATAATAAGTACCTCCCCAAGCCTGTAGAACCGAATCAGGGGGCTTTTGCACACGGCAACCTCCTCCCAGTCGCTCACCACGTCCGAGCGAGGTGGCATCATCACTTGTAGTCTGTAGATTAACGCAGAGAACAAGTCAGCGTTAGCAGGGACCTCCCAGTTGACATCAGTCTGTGTACAGTTAGACAGAATGTCCAGATTGCCATGTTCAAAGGAGACCTGCAGTGGGTATTCAACCCGGCCTTTGGTGTGCTGTGGTTGATTCGAGGGATCTACAGTTCTTTGATGTGCACGTGGTGAATTAATGTCAGTGGTAGGATGTGTTGGTGTTGCCGAAGTATCCGGTACGCTGCTCGTTCTGGAAGACGTTGGTGACGTCTCCGCAGATGGAGACTGGTTTACGGAGAGCCTTCAACACAAACGTCATACACGTGAACACAGTATATCATGACAAAAAGAGTGAGTTAAGTGAGTGAGTTAAAGCTTTACGTCACATCGTATGACAAAAAGAACTAAATAAAAGTGACAAAAAGAAGTAAATAGTGAACAAAATAGTTTCATACAAGAATTGGTTTCATACATTGGGAATCGAACATGTCTTGGTTGTGAAGACTAAAAGCTTTAACCAGAGAGAGAGAGAGAGAGAGAGAGGGAGAGAGAGAGAGAGAGAGAGAGAGAGGGGGGGGGGGGGGCTACTCCGTCAGTCTTTTTTCCCCAATAGCGCGAGCCTTCCTGACACTCTTGTCACAAATATAGAGACTATTCCTCTGTCTAAATGGTAAAGAGATATCATTTTGTTTTTATATCGGAATTGATAACCACGTGGAAGCTTAAAATCGTCTCATACTGCATCTTCTGGGGTGAGGGTAAATCTACTACATCCAAAAAAAAGAATGTCCGAGTTTCCCATCCTCCGCCTGCCCTGAATTTTTGTTTGGACGTGAAATAATAAAAGGCCTTCGTATCTGAATTTTCCCCGCCGATGTGAGCAATTATGCCCCGATGTGATAAAATAAATACAACTTCCATTGCTCACTCATTAAAAAAATCCAGGTCAGCTTGATCTTTCTATGTTTATTAAAAATTCGCTTCCGAAGCAAACCGACTCGATCCACCTCATAAATTGATTTACAGCCTGGTATCAACTGTATAATCTTTTAAATGTCAAAAGATAACTTACACAATTAGTAAATAACATTGTTTTCATTTTTAATATATCATAAGGATGACCCAATACAGTAACATAATCTTTGCGCAATAGCATCAGATCACATCTCCCTGGGAACAGTAACATATATAGGTATAAGAGACGCATTGTAATTGCTTACAAAAAGTAAACGTTATGTATTGCCCATGAAGTGTACGTGTATATAGAGAATCTCATCCGAGTGTCTTTTTACATCAAATAATCCCGGTTCGCACCGATTATGTTTCTAGGTTTGTCAGCACCATACCCGTGCTCGTGGGTTTCACCGAAGTGGTAAACGTCTGAGACCTGCATCACTTCGGGCTTTCCTCCCACATTAAGCTGACACGCCGCGATATAACTGGAATACTGTTAAAAGCGGCGTTAAACCAAATGCACTCACTCACTCATGTTATATCAAATATATCAACACGAGTTGATAAAAGTCCAGTGGACAGACCCCGAGAAGATCAGGGGTAGAATTGATCTTCAGCAAACCATGCGTGTCGCAAGAGGCGACTAACGGGATCGGGAGGTCAGCTAAGTTCGCTGACTTTATTGATGCATGTCATCGTCTCTCATTGCATAGAGATGGGGCGGTCGGGTAGCCTTGTGGTTTAAGCGTTCGCTCTTCACGCCGAAGACCCGGGTTCGATTCCCGACATGGGTACAATGTGTGAAGCCCATTTCTGGTGTCCCCCGCCGTGATATTGCTGGAATATTGCTAAAAGCGGCGTAAAACCATACTCACTCACTCACTCACTCATTGCATAGATCGATTCAATCAAGTCAATCACTGCGATCCAGTGAAACTGGATCATCTGGTCCAGACGCCATTATTTACAGACCGCCGTCATAGAGCTGAGAGAACAAATACCAACAAACAACAAAACAGATGACAGCTCGGAACATTCGGTAAAGAAGAGCTCTGGGCTCACCCGAAACTGTCGAGTAGCTCGTGTCGTTCCAGCTACGGAAAGAGACGAGTGGTGACGAATGCTACCGACAGGGAGCGGAGACTGTTCATACGCAGTTGTACAACACGGAAATACCAACAGTTGGTCTAATTTCTAAACCACTGTCATGTGAACAATCTAGTAACCCACATTACCCCTAAAGTTGTCTTACCTACCCATGGTTTCCGTCGTCTTCGTGGGGTGGGAATATAGCCACAATATCGGAGTTACCCATAAGAAATTCTGGTCCAAAGTTAGATGCGGTGATCCCATATTTGTGACGGATTTCACGCGTTAGGACCTGCACAGCCTCATTATACGTTGGCGGCTTTTCGTCATCGTCCTCTTCGGCCATTACAATATATGCATCTATTACAACAACAACCCCTATTTATAATAATCTCTGTGTGTATCTGCGGGCTCTCTTTTCAACGGGGAATTAACGACAAAGGTGTTCCCTGCGGTCGCGGCAGTATTTGCCCCTTTCCTGCCAGAAGGAGAAGCGCTTCGTTTATCGAGCGAATGCCTCTTGCAAGGGACACAACTCTTGCCAAGATTGCTTACTATAGACAGTTTTGTTTGTTGTTTAACACCGCACTCAGCAATATTCCAGCTATATGATGGCGGTCTGTAAAATAATCGAGTCTGGACCAGACAATCCAGTGATTTATATCATGAGCATCGATCCACGCATTTGGGATTGATGACATGTATCAACCAAGTCAGCGAGCCTGACCACCCGATCCCGTTAGTCGCCTTTTACGACAGGCAGAGTCGCCTTTTACGGAAAGTATGGGTTGCTGAAGACCTATTCTACCCCGGAATCTTCATAGACAGAGACCATATACCGATATGGTCTCTGCTATAGAACTGCCAGGAAGTCTCTTAGGTGGGTTACGGTCTGTTTTATTGTGGAAGTGTAAACAGTGCGAATGCAGAATCTGTTCCCTGCTGTCGACCAAGGAAATGCTTGGTGGCATCATTTGACGAAAAACGTCACTAAGTGGGTGGAGCAACGTGATGATAATAGCACCCGATAGAATAGCGACCTTCCATGCCTATATAAACTAACATCTAGTCTCTGAAATGAACATATCGTACAGAAAAAAACAACAGTTGTTAAATTAGCTTAATAATAATTTAATAAAAAGTAGCCCAGAGTCTCTCTTCATTTTCAGAGACCCCGATACTCCAGTAATCTAGACTTGCCAAACATTATAAACTTGCATGGGCTGTATTTGATATATTTATATCAGGGGCTGTAAGACAGACTAATGCCTATACACAACGTGAGTAGGTTTTCATTCCTCTAGCCCTCTCCAGGCTTCTCATGTCATTACCTATCACAAGTAAATGGGTCAGTCTAGCCCAGCCATCTAAAGCACAGCTAACTGTGCAGAGTAGGCTCCCTTAGATGCACCAGAATCTTATGATCATGGGTTCAAATCCCAGCTTCACCCTGATTATGTTTCCAGGTTTACCAGTGGATTTCACTAAAGTGGTAAACCATTTTAAACCACTTTAAAAAGTCCGGTTTCCACCCTTGCTGAACTAGACAGGTGTTATGGAGTTATATTTTTGCCGGACTAACAAGTCTATGCATAGTCCAATCCAAATCATGCCACAAAACCAACATCTGATTCGTAAACTGTCCTGCAGATTTCAGTTGCTTGCAGTATTTGCAAAGCATGTGTACCAGCATCAACAGATATTTTCCTAATCTTTTCATGTTTTTAATCAAGGTCCTCACATAATTTGATGCACTTCCTGAAGCAAGACATGTTTTATCACAATATAGATCTTGATTATCAATTAGATGTCTTTACTGGGCGCTGCCATTTTGTTTGAGTTGGGTTTAACACCGCTTTTAACAGTATTCCAGTAATATCACGGCGTGCCACCTTAATGTGGGAGGAAAGCCCGAAGTGATGCAGGTTTCCGACGTTTACCACTTCGGTGTAACCCACGAGCATGGGTATGGTGCTGACAAAACTAGAAACATAGTCGGGGTGAACTGGGATTCGAACCCACAATCATAGGATTCTGGCGTGCCCAAGGGACGCAACTCTGCACAGCGAATCGCGGCGCCTAAGACGACTGGGCCACCTGTGCCACCCGTTTTGTTTGAAGCAAATACAAGTGATATGAGAGGTGGAATCTGATTGGTCAATAGGAGGGCATAGAAGGGACATAACTCGTAATAGTCACTGGTGGCGCTGACATCAAGCTGACATTCCATGATATAACTGGATTACTGTTCATAGCAGCATACAACACAACTCACTCTCGACTACTAAAGACTTAACATCAGCTTTTATCATCCATCTTCCCGAGGCAAGTGAGTTAACTGACTATAAAAGTCCAGTTTCCACCCTTGCCGAACTTGGCTGGTATTATGGAGTTACATTTTGGCTGGACTAACGAGTCCAATCAAATCCGCGCACCGAAATCGAAATCCGGTTCGGAAACTGTCGTGCAGATTTCGGTCGATTGCAGGATTTGAAAAGCATGTGCACTGCCAACTCCTTGTCAACAGATATTTTCCAAATTTTCTCATGTTTTTAATCAAGGTGCTCGCATGATTTGATGCATTTCGCGATGTAAGCCCCTTTTTATCACAATATAGATCTTGATTATCGATCAGATCGTTTTGACTGGGCGCCACCATTTTGTGTGAAGCAAACGCAAGTGATAAGAGAGGTGGAATCTGATCAAGCCCAGTAATTCCAGCCTAGTTCGGCAAGGGTGGAAAATGGACTTTTAAAGTCAGTTAACTCTCTTGCCTTGGGAAGATGTTATCATCAAGGATACAACACAACAAACACATCATGAGATCCAGCTATTTTAATTGATCTTCAACCAAAAAAAGTAAATTCTGTAAAATAAATATGCTGCCTAACAGCAGACATTGACTCACAGATTCTCAATGTTCTGGGCAAGTTTAGCATCACCCAAACTCACATCTCATCTGTACACCCAAACCAAACTACAAGACACTCTGATAACCAATATGTGTAAATGCAAGTGATCTAAGATCAAGAACAGCAATTCACCTTTACAGAGTGATAGATGACAGATGGTAGCCTTAATATATTTTGTTTTGTTGGTTGTTTAACGCCACACTCAGCAATATTCCAGCCATATGACAGCGGCTTGCAAATAATCAAGTCTGGACCAGACAATCCAGTGATCGATATTGTGAGCAACCATCCACGCTGTCAGGTACGACGAAACAATATCAACCAAGCCACCGAGCCTGACCCCCGATATGTGTGGTCACCACTTACAACCAGGTTACTGGGGACCAATTCTAACCTGGAATCCCCAGGGTTCAATAGTGACATAGGTGCGTGTATTTAGCCAGCTAATGAAATAAGTCTGTTGATAACTTGCAGGAGTCAAAATGAGCCCAACTCTGTGTGAATCCTTCCTTTGCTGATACTGAAGCAATGCGTGGAGCCTGCAAGGCTGGGACACATATTACACCATCGATGACAAGAAATATTGCTGTAGTGTACTCTGGATTTCCCTCTCCCAGACATTTTGCAAGGCAAAACGCGTCCAAGTGCCTTTATCAAAGCCTAGTTTCTAACAAACAAGACTTGTAAAAAGGCTAGTGGACGCTCTTGCCTCGGGAAGATGTTTCCCTGGATTGTTGATCCACTGGTTTAAAGTAGGGACTACACGGCAAGTCTGAGGTATGTAGTCAGGGTGATGGAGGATCTAGTGTATACAGACCCAAGAAGTACTGACCATGACAGCAATGAGGCCAGTTGACAGTCAATGATTAATTTGAAAAATCATTATTTCTGGGATTTTTTTTAAAGTTGTTATTCTCTTAAATCCAGATGTACATGTGTTACATAACTGTATACAATAATGCATCTTCCTTTTTATTGGTCCTGAAAAACAAGCCACCTCTGCAAGGCCAAAATATTAACTTTAACTACATTAACATGATATCATGAATAGGGAAATTCTTATTTCCAAGTTGGGAATCTTTACTGACATTCTGCAGACATGGTGCCAGAATCGGCTTCCGAGCAGGTCCAGGTAAATCCCTGGTCTCATCTCTGTGTGATATACTAATCTAGCTCTTAATAATTATCCAAATGGATACCATACTCACACAGTCCACTGACACAGATGTTAAATGTTCTTCTTTGTTACACAAGTGCCAGAGAAAGGAAAACAGAGATTTCAAATATGACATTTACGACTCCCTCCTTGTGCAAAAATACGGAAAAAACAGAGAAATCCCAAAGTGGCTAATAATAGACTCATTAGACCAGAACTAATGACAACAGTCCTTGTCTTCACATAACAAACATGCTGCAGGGCAAACACTGCCACGAACCAGTCTTGTGCAAGACGGAACATCTTGCAGCATGGGATATATTTGCTTGGCTCTCGCTAGACAAGTGTTGTTTAGGGAGTGTGATGGTCAGTCAATACAAAACTGTGATGTCAACATAATATGTGGTACCATTATAGTGAGTGAGTGAGTGAGTGAGTGAGTTGGGTTTACCGCCGCTTTTAACAGTATTCCGGTTATAGGTGAGGTGAAATTGGGTTTAACGTCGTGTCCAAGATTATTGCACTTATATAGCGACGTGCATGTACGTGGGTGTGTTTGTGTGGCTGCTTGTACTAGTCCAGACTGATGCCAAATAATAGTGCTAGCTCACTGAGATACCATGCCGCGGTTTAACATGAATACCCCACTCAGACACAGTATACTGACTCCGAGCCGACCAGTCCTTGTTTTAGCCCCTTAATGCCGAGCGCCAGACATGGTTACAACAAGTACCATCTTTTAATGTATTTTGGTATGACGCGGTCGGGGATCGAACCCCGTCCTTCCGCTCTTCGGGCGGACGCTCTACCACTAGACCACGGAGGAGGCCTATTCCAGTTATATATCACGGTGTGTCAGCTTAATGTGGGAGGAAAGCCTGAAGTGATGCAGGTCTTACACGTTTACCACTTCCGTGAAACCCACAAGCACGGGTATGGTGCTGACAAACCTAGAAACATAATCGGGGCGAACCGGGATTCGAACCCACAAACATAGGTTTCTGGCATGCTCGAGGGGGGCAACTCCGCACAGCGAATCGCGGCGCCTTAGACGACTGGGCCACCTTGTCCCTGGTACACATAATACAACATGGTGGTTGTGAAAAACATGCAGTATACTTTGCATCTGTAATACAAATATACAGAAGCTGTGATAAAAGCTCTCGAATGAGGACTAGGCACCAAAGTAGATAGTAGCACCAACAAGAAGAAATCTCAGTTGTAAGTAATAAACAAAATTTCTCCAGAAACTATCACTCGGTATACTTATACTTCTGTATATCAAGCAAATTTAACAAAAGGTACATCTGAAAATGAGTAAATATTGTTAGACACCTCATTTCCTATTCTGCGACTGTCCCCCCAAAACACAAGGTGTTTCCGGAATTAATAGACGGATGAATTTTTCAGACAGCACTACCAAACTATTTTTTCTCGGAAAGGAGGTGCCAAACAATTATTTTTTGACACACATCAATCTTGTTGGTTCAATTATTTTATTGCCTTTGAACTTCCTTAATGCAGTTGGTTCTGAGTCAGGAATTCACTGGCCATTCTGAACGTGCATTTTGTGCAAGTGAAACTGAGGCTATTGCTAATTATGTGGGTGGAAGCAAAATATCATGCAGTACTGAGAACAATTCCATCCTTCCTTATAATAAATGACCAATCACTTTGATAAAAAATGGTTAATTTGAACATATCGATTAGGGCTGGGACGAGTCCAAATTTAATATCTAGGTACCCACCTACCTATTACCTGACCCTACCCGGGTACCCACTGTAGGTTCACAGGAGATGTCTCAAAATGTCCGATTGGAAACATTTTTAGCATAGCCCTGGCAAAACGTATTTGGATGCATGTATTAAACAATCTGGTTATTCATACACTGAAGTTGTATTAAGTTATATCTTTATTCAACCATATGAAAAATCAGTAGGAATGAGTGCATAGTCAGAAAGAAATGCGAACATTAGTGACTTGTAGTGTTACCATAGAGTTCTAAAATTAAACAATATATCACATGACTAAATACGGGTCCGGGTAGTCCTGTGAGTACCCGGGTCCTACTCAGTACCCGCCCGACCAGGGTACCCAAGTTACCCGTCCCAGCCATAATATCAATCTACGATGACATTCCTACATGAAACCCCAGCTTGAAGACGATCTTGATCTGAACGTCTATATAACCAAGGAACATTACTTACCCCATTATTCCTAAATCCGAAAATTACAACATTCTCTTTTGATCAACAATGTTTAATTGTCAATATATGTTCGACATCGTAGCAGCTAGACAAGTATTACACAAGATCCGGGTTAGAAAAAGTCTTCAGCAACCCATGCTTGCAGTAAAAGGCGACTATGCTTGTCTTAAGAGGCGACTAACGGGATCAGGTGGTCAGGCTCGTTGACATGGTTGATGAATGTCATTGATCCCAATTGTGTGGATCGATGCTCATGATATCAATCACTAGATTGTCTGGCCCAGACTCGATTATTTACAGACCACCGTCATATGGCTGGAATATTGCTGAGTGCGGTGTTAAACAACAAACAAACAAGTATTACACAACCCTTTCTAATGTACCCTGGGGAAGAGTCAATAACAAACTCCAGCTACAATGCACATGATGTGAGTCTTGTGCTGAGTTATCATGCTGCTGATGTTGAATGGATGTGGTGGAATTGATGTCGGGCGTTGTGAGGATGTGTCGTCAGCTCCAGACTCGGATTATTCCCAGACACAGGCCTGCACACGTCAACACCGTACCTGTGAATATAATCATAACTTAGCGCATCTACTTATTATCAACAAAAAAGTGAATCGTGAATATTTTTTGGATATTGTTATGGAATTGTGTTCCCCAAAAATATTCACGATGCAGGTCTCAGACGGTTACCACTTTGGTGAAACCCATGAGCACTGGGATGGTGCTGAAAAACCTAGAAGCATAATCGGGGAGAACCCACAATTGTAGGGTTCTGGCGTGTCCAAGGGACGCAACTCTGCACAGCAAATCGCGGCGCCTTAGACGACTGGGCCACCCGTGTCCCCTCATGAATATCAGTAGGAAAATACATAATACACACATGATAAATAGACCATTCATGTTTTCAGAATAAGATCATGACAACAAGAAAGACTATACATAATTAATAGACCATGTGTCCTCTTGCTACATAACAGTTTATCTCATCTTGTCATGTTATTTGATAGTTTTGCTTGACAACGGTATAAGGATCCATACCGAAATGTCGCCTTTACAGCAATTAAAGAAGTTGTTATCCATAAATTATGTCTACTTTGTCATCTGTCAACTTCAAAGTAATGCCTATCAAACAATTCAGGGATGATATTTGTCATTGCGAGTTTTCATGCAGCTGATGTTGAAGTCATTTACAGAAAGGGTTTGTTGTCAGCTGCAAAGTCAGATACAGAGGTGTCAGCAGATCTTTACACAGTGAGGTATCTATCAGGAGTGTTTTCAAAGCCCAACAAGACAGTAAGGCCGGTGACCCATAAATGTTGCCTGTCCATCTTCAAAGTTACCTGTCCACATTCAGATATAATAGATATTGAAAATTCGCCCAAAAAATGAGACAAGTCATGTCTTGATTCAGTTTACATAATGCATACAACCACTTGAGAATATCAAGAGTCAGCAGAAGATGACAAATCCCCCGGCCCCCACAATAGCAAAAGGGACCACTTCAGTCCCTGGCTAATACATCTACCAAGTTTGGATGAAAAATCTTTCACGGTTTTCAAGTTATGCTCCGGAAACGAAATATGGACGGACGGATAGACAGACCAGATGTTGACTATAAAAAATCTGAATAAAACTGAATATGTAAGTAGTCTTAAAATATCTGCCAGACAGTCGGGCAGGTGGAGGAAATTTCATGCAGCCTGACAGGAAAGTTACTAGCCACGGGCAGGTGGCAGGCATTTATTTTGGAAACTGTTTATCTGAGTAAATATGAGACAGATTTGGGGAGAAAAGAGTGGGATCCTTCAGGACTGATCCAGAGATCCAGGGACCCTGATATACTGGGATAGTGACGTGTACATGCTTGGTACAGGCGTTCCTACCTCCAGCAAACTTCAACACATCGTTCCTGTATATTTCATACTTGGTGAGGAGATGTGCAATCTGTGTCTCTATCTTCTGGTTCAGCTGGGTCAGATTCTTTTGATTTTCTGCATGCTGGAATGTCAACATGATCACCTTGTCATACGAGTTTTATTCTTCAAGCAAAATGCTCGATACACATGACAAAACCCCTGCCTTATACACCTCCAATCTCGCTAAGATCAGATCTTAGTGCTCACTACCGCTACACACAGATCACATTACAGGTTACAGGTCACATCAGAATGACCTATCATCCGACCAATCAGAGTGTCGCTTACCAGACCATTATGATGAAATTTTGAATGTGTTTTCTATTCATGCAACCTCAAATAGGTTAGCCAGGCATTCACACGTGTCACAGCTCCTCCTCACACACAAGCCCCTCCTTCACACATCTCATAGCCCCTCCTCACACACAAGAACCTCCATCAAACATCTCACAGCTCCTCCTCACACACAAGTCCTTCCTTCACCCATCTCACAGCTCCTCCCCACACACAAGCCCTTCCTTCACACATCTCACAGCTCCTCCCCACACACAAGCCCCTCCTTCAACCATCTCACAGCTCCTCCTCACACACAAGCCCTTCCTTCACACATCTCACAGCTCCTCCTCACACACAAGCCCCTACTTCACCCATCTCACAGCTCCTCCCCACACACAAGCCCCTACTTCACCCATCTCACAGCTCCTCCCCACACACAAGCCCCTCCTTCACCCATCTCACAGCTCCTCCCCACACACAAGACTGTCCTCACACACAAGTCCTTCCTTCACACATCTCACAGCTCCTCCTCACAAACAAGCCCCTCCTCACACACAAGTCCTTCCTTCACCCATCTCACAGCTCCTCCTCACACACAAGCCCCTCCTCACACACAAGCCCCTCCTTCATCCATCTCACAGCCCCTCCTCACACACAAGAACCTCCATCACACATCTCCTCACACACAAGCCCCTCCTTCACCCATCTCGCAGCCCCTCCCCACACACAAGTCCTTCCTTCACACATCTCACAGCTCCTCCTCACACACAAGCCCCTCCTCACACACAAGTCCTTCCTTCACACATCTCACAGCTCCTCCTCACACACAAGCCCCTCCTCACACACAAGTCCTTCCTTCACACATCTCACAGCTCCTCCTCACACACAAGCCCCTCCCCACACACAAGTCCTTCCTTCACACACAAGCCCCTCCTCCTCACACACAGGCCCCTCCTCACACACAAGTCCTTCCTTCACACATCTCACAGCTCCTCCTCACACACAAGCCCCTCCTCACACACAAGCCCCTCCTTCACGCATATCACAGCCCCTCTTCACACGTAAGCCCCTCCTACACACATATCACAGCTCCTCCTCACAGGCAAGCCCCTCCTTCACTCACAAATCCCTCCTCACACACAAGCCTGTCCTTCACACACAAGTCCTTCCTTCACACATCTCACAGCTCCTCCTCACACACAAGCCCCTCCCCACACACAAGCACCTCCTTCACACACAAGCCCCTCCTTCACCCATCTCACAGCTCCTCCCCACACACAAGCCCCTCCTTCAACCATCTCACAGCCCCTCCTCACACACAAGAACCTCCATCACACATCTCCTCACACACAAGCCCCTCCTTCACCCATCTCGCAGCTCCTCCCCACACACAAGTCCTTCCTTCACACATCTCACAGCTCCTCCTCACACACAAGTCCTTCCTTCACACATCTCACAGCTCCTCCTCACACACAAGCCCCTCCTCACACACAAGCCCCTCCTCACACACAAGCCCCTCCGTCACACATCTCACAGCTCCTCCTCACACACAAGCCCCTCCTTCACACATCTCACAGCTCCTCCTCACACGTAAGCCCCTCCTTAACACATCTCACAGCTCGTCCTCACACACAAGCCTCTCCTCACACACAAGCCCCTCCTTCACGCATATCACAGCTCCTCCTCACAGGCAAGCCCCCCCTTCACTCACAAATCCCTCCTCACACACAAGCCTGTCCTTCACACACAAGCCCCTCCTTCACGCATATCACAGCCCCTCCTCACACACAAGCCCCTCCACACATCTCACAGCCCCTACTCACACACAAGCCCCTCCACACATCTCACAGCCCCTACTCACACACAAGCCCCTCCACACATCTCACAGCCCCTTCTCACACACAAGCCCCTCCTTTACACATCTTCAAGTCATGTGCATATCAAGTGTATTGATGCCCATTTACAGAAGTACCCTATACTTACTGCCTCCACTGCTCGGCTTCGCTCCAAGTTGATGTCAAGTGTCATCTGACCTTTCAACTTTCCAATCTCATCTCGCAATGAGTCTTTGATTTGACGGATTTCAAATGACTGTTTCTGAATAAGAAGCAAGGAGTGATTCAAATCACTTTCAAATACAAAATTATCAATGGCTTCAAATCAACACAACAGATGGAGATTGTAACTGTGAGGAGGCCACCTTTTCAGACAACCATCTTGGACAACCAATCCACATCTCTGTGATGCTGATACAGCTGATGGGGGTCCATTTCCAAGTCTCACACAGATTATCAGTACTCCCCCGGTTTTATCACGTTCATTAGATTTGGAAATAAATCAAGATAATTGTACCATGTATTCACAAGCTGATGCATTAATGGTGTGATTAACCTCCGTCTGGTTGCGTAGCGAGGAGAACTCACTCTTCGACAATCGGACTCATCTCCGTCTGGTTGCGTAGCGAGGAGAACTCACTCTTCCACAATCGGACTCATCTCCGTCTGGTTGCATAGCAAGGAGAACTCACTCTTCGACAATCGGACTCATCTCCGTCTGGTTGCTTAGCGAGGAGAACTCACTCTTCGACAATCGGACTCATCTCCGTCTGGTTGCGTAGCGAGGAGAACTCACTCTTCGACAATCGGACTCATCTCCGCCTGGTTGCATAGCGAGGAGAACTCACTCTTCGACAATCGGACTCATATCCGTCTGGTTGCGTAGCGAGGAGAACTCACTCTTCGACAATCGGACTCATCTCCGTCTGGTTGCGTAGCGAGGAGAACTCACTCTTCCACAATCGGACTCATCTCCGTCTGGTTGCATAGCAAGGAGAACTCACTCTTCGACAATCGGACTCATCTCCGTCTGGTTGCGTAGCAAGGAGAACTCACTCTTCGACAATCGGACTCATCTCCGTCTGGTTGCATAGCAAGGAGAACTCACTCTTCGACAATCGGACTCATCTCCGTCTGGTTGCGTAGCGAGGAGAACTCACTCTTCGACAATCGGACTCACCTTCGTCTGGTTGCGTAGCGAGGAAAACTCACTCTTTGACAATTGGACTCACCTCCGTCTGGTTGCGTAGCGAGGAGAACTCACTCTTCTGCAGCATGACCATGTCCTTCTTCACTGAGGAGATCTCCGCCATGAGCTGCTGGACGCGAATCTCCTGCTCTGACTTGCTGATCATGTGGTTAGACTGGTGCTTGATGGTAGTGTTCACGATGTCGACAAGACAACCAGTCATCCCCTCCGACTGTTCACGAGTAAATCCTGATACAGAAACAACATTTGACAATCACAACAAATATATTCACTCAACCAGGGAATTCCAAATAAAGTGCCCTCATATCATGGCTCAAGCCTATTTAACAGACCTGGTTCTAAAGTACGACCAAACATCATTATGTTCAGATTAAAATAAAAAATGCTTCAAAGAGGGTTTGGGTGATCCTGGCACAGTCAGGCTGGTTAGGCTCATCATCAGCTCAGGGCCCTTGCCCCCTCTACACGCAGCCAAGACAGCGAATGGGACTTCTCCCAGGAAGCGCTGCCTAGTCATACCCACGAAGAACTTTTCGGAGAATGTGAAAACTCCCCAACACTGCAGCCTATAATTATTATCATTATCATTATTATTATTATTAAAGTGACAGTACACACCCTGCTGTTCCAGCTTCTTGACAAGCTCCAGTGTGTTGAAGAAGTAGATCTCTTTGACTGTGGCAGGGTCCACCTGCCATACATCATAAGCCACTGGAACATGACACAGAATATACTTGACTTTAGCTCAGGAACTACATCCTACTTTCACAATGTTGCAAAAGCATCACAAAACAGCGACTGCTGGGAGATTATCTGTTATTTCCATCATTGCCCAAAGAAAGAAAACATAAAGGCAAACTATAAAAAAATAATTTCTAACACACAAGCAATTGCCATAAATGGGTTTTGAACATGGTTGCCATATTGAAAATTGGATTTGAACCTCAAGAACATATTCAAGTGGCATCGTTGGCGGCAATATGCATACTCCATTTCTACTTCATTGGTCAAATGGTTTCTGAAAAGATGCTTACAAATGCTGACACCAAAGGATGACAGACAATCAAGCCATGAAATACATTCACTTGACTTTTACTGAGGAGAACCAACCTTGGTGACCTTGAGTGCCCTGCCATGTCAAGCTAATTATCAGATATTTTGCCAGGGTTCCAGATACTTTCTTGAGCTATTGAGTATTAACTCACATATTATCATTCTAGTTTGGTATTGATAGGTTTCTTTGAGTATTCAAAATATTTTTACTCCCTTGGGTCTGCGTAATACTAAAGACGTTAAAAGATGGTACTTGTTGTTACCTTGTCTGGCGCTCGGCATTAAGGGGCTAAAACAAGGACTGGTTGGCTTGGAGTCAGGATACTATGTCTGAGTGGGGTATTGCCTATACTACTCAAGTTAAACTGTGGCATGGTATCTCAGTGGGCTAGCACTATAAATTGGCATCAGTCAGGACTGGTACAAGCAGCCACACGCACACACACACACATGCACACGTACACATACGCGCACATATACACACACACGCATGCACGTCGCTATATGAGTGCAATAATCTTCAACACGATGTTACATACAATTTAACCTCACCAATCAGTTGGGTATTTTAACTTATTATGTTAATGAATAGACCTTTCATAAAAAAGTAATTCAGCTTAAAATGTTGGTAACTTGTAACATGGTGGATCCAGAGGGGCGGTCCACGGGTCCATCCAGACCCAATTTTTTTAAAACCAAATGAAGAATGTTGTAGGCAGTAAAATCTTCTACTGAAAGAGGATTTTGATATTTTGGATCCCTTCCTTTTAAAAATGCTGGATCAGCTCTTATCTAATTGGCATCTGTTCATGTATGCCGTCTGTCTTGATGCTGATATGGAAGATACAGATGTTGAATAAAGGTCATAAAAACCCATCCACGATAAAGGACTTTCACTAAAACATTAGTATTCACACAGCACACGGTGCCACAGATGCCATCTGTATTCTAGGTAAACTAACCCACTGATCCATGCATTTACTGGTGTTTTACCAAGCAGCAGCGCATATGCTGGTATATCATGTTTTGATTTAGACAGAAACCTACGTGTCAGGTCAAAATAGCACTGCAACTATCTGCCGTATTTACTCTAATCAATGGTCCATTTCTAACATTAAAATTGTCTGGCGTATATCGAAGACAATGACTCAATTCTTTTACGGCTTAATGAGAATTGACATGTTTCTGGGATCCAGCACAAGGTTTTACATGATGCAGAAATATGTGCCAAGAATAGAATCATGCAGAAAACAAATACCATATTCTACATAATAAGCCCCCAGGGCGCTCTTAAAACTGGAATATTATTTTGGTGAAAGATCGTTAATTTCGAAGTTTATGCTGACAGCCTGAAATGTTTATATACAACAGATATATTTTTCCAGAATTTACCGTATTCAACGTAATAAGTGCCCCGTTCTAACAAGCGCCCACAGCAATATTTGCTAATATATTGGCTAGTGAACAATACCAATTAGCACCCCTTCCGATTGATCAATGTACACAACACTTATTTATTCGTATATAATACGCACTCGTGTGTTATATGCACCCTTAATTATGGGGAATTAAATTCTGGAACAATGTATCTCTCGTATATAAACATTTCAGGCTGTCAACATAAAACACAAAATTTATCATTCAACTCTGTTTTGTTTTTCACCAAAATAATATTCTAATGAGAGCCCCCTATTTCTAATTTTGAGAGCACACTGGATGCTTATTACGTCGAATACGGTAATTGCCAATAATAAAGGGTCCATATAACATGATCGAGTGTGTATTATACATGAATAAATTTAAGTCTTGTGTACATCGATCAATCGGAAGGGGTGCTAATTGGGATTGTTCACTTGCCAATATATTAGAAAATATCGCTGTGGGTGCTTATTAGAGCAGGGCGCTTATTTCGTCGAATACGGTATATTTCATCATGAAGGACACACGATAATATTCATTTCACCCAATGTTTGATAAAAAATGTAATGGTCCTGTTTGCTAACTATGTCATATAATCTTATAATTACAAGCAACACACCGCTCATCCAGTAACATCAGCCGTAGTGACTACTCATACAACAATTAAAGGATATGAAACGCTTGAAACGAAGACATGGGCGATTCACAATGTCAGACACTCGTATTCGATTCAAAACGCATTAATTTCATGATTTACGGTACATATTGCATGCCCCAATAATGAATATAGAACGCGTGTTTATTCATAATTAAATTTCTTAACAATGCTAAACAACTTCATGGTACTAAACTTAACTTTTTTAATGGTATATAAACAACCATACGAGCATGTCTACTCACATAGCAAGATTGCATCATACAGATCTTCGACACAATTTTAAAATCGTCAGATGTTTAAAGGAGTTGATAATGTACCTGTGCTTTCAGGGACCACTTGAGCTTCTGTACTATCGATCTTAGAAGCAGTCGTCATTGTGGGACTGACCTCAACCATGTCTACCGCCGCGACGGCTTTGGGACGATTGAGAAATGGTTCCGACTGTTGCGCTGCTGCTACGGTTGGAGTTTGAGATCCTTTACCGTGAACCCTTCTACACGTGCTGAGTTGCTTATGTGCCTCGTGAAGTAATAACATATGCCTTCTACAAAGCCTCGCCATTGTCATTCCCTTCATAATTCCCTCAGTCTTCTACCTACACTCGTAAATTCGCGAACATTGGTTTCTGTTTTCGTAGCACTTAATTTAGAGTTACCCGTCCCTTTAGTATGACGCGGCAAGCTCCTTCCCAGCGCGTGACACCTTCGTTACACTCTCGGTATAGAGAGCTCGACGAACGGACTATCGCTGTGAGGAGCTTGATGACGCGGAATGTGAAAGAAGTTTCTGTAAAATCTCTCACGTCAGTTTCACTTCCATTCGTCATAGTGCCTCAGGTATGTGACTGAAATTAATGGTATATCAACTGAATGTAATGAAACGGATGTAAATGAAATCAGCAGTTACATGTATAAGATAATATTGCCTGTGTAAATGATGCAGTTGTAACTGTTATGAATAGTCCAGTCATACTGTTGTGAAAGTGCAGCAGGCATCCAGTTTAGGGACTGGGCATCTGTTACAGGGGAGGGGGAAGGGAGGAGGGGGGTACCAATCTTAGAACTGTATCATATTTAGCTGACACCCCTTAAATATTGTTCAAATTTATATATTTAAAAAAATAAATTAATAAATAAAACTATTAAAAAAATTAAAGGACCAGCTCCATTATAGCCAGGTGTACTGTCCCCAGCTCTGGTGTTATGTAATTTCATAACTAAAACGAGTTTGTACCCAAAGTCATTCATAACCCTAAAGAAATCTCTGTTATACTATATTCATATTACTAACAATTCCGGGATATGTGTGCGGAGTATATATATCCATGCCCAGAGACATGTGTTTTAGTGGGGTATATATTCATGCCCTGACTCTGGGGGACATGTGTTCTAGAGGAGTATATATTCATGCCCTGACTCTGGGGGACATGTGTTCTAGTGGAGTATATATTCATGCCCTGACTCTGGGGGACATGCGTTCTAGTGGAAGTATATATTCATGCCCTGACTCTGGGGGACATGTGTTCTAGTGGAGTATATATTCAAGCCCTGACTCTGGGGGACATGTGTTCTAGTGGAGTATATATTCAAGCCCTGACTCTGGGGGACATGTGTTCTAGTGGAGTATATATTCATGCCCTGACTCTGGGGGACATGTGTTCTAGTGGGGTATATATTCATGCCCTGACTCTGGGGGACATGTGTTCTAGTGGAGTATATATTCATGCCCTGACTCTGGGGGACATGTGTTCTAGAGGAGTATATATTCATGCCCTGACTCTGGGGGACATCTGTTCTAGTGGAGTATATATTCATGCCCTGACTCTGGGGGACATGTGTTCTAGTGGAGTATATATTCATGCCCTGACTCTGGGGGACATGTGTTCTAGTGGGGTATATATTCATGCCCTGACTCTGGGGGACATGTGTTCTAGTGGAGTATATATTCATGCTCTGGCTCTGGGGGACATGTGTTCTAGAGGAGTATATATTCATGCCCTGACTCTGGGGGACATGTGTTCTAGTGGAGTATATATTCATGCCCTGACTCTGGGGGACATGCGTTCTAGTGGAGTATATATTCATGCCCTGACTCTGGGGGACATGTGTTCTAGTGGAGTATATATTCATGCCCTGACTCTGGGGGACATGTGTTCTAGTGGAGTATATATTCATGCCCTGACTCTGGGGGACATGTGTTCTAGTGGGGTATATATTCAAGCCCTGACTCTGGGGGACATGTGTTCTAGTGGAGTATATATTCATGCCCTGACTCTGAGGGACATCTGTTCTAGTGGGGTATATATTCATACCCTGGCTCTGGGGGACATCTGTTCTAGTGGAGTATATATTCATGCCCTGACTCTGGGGGACATGTGTTCTAGTGGAGTATATATTCATGCCCTGACTCTGGGGGACATGTGTTCTAGTGGGGTATATATTCATGCCCTGACTCTGGGGGACATGTGTTCTAGTGGAGTATATATTCATGCTCTGGCTCTGGGGGACATGTGTTCTAGTGGAGTATATATTCATGCCCTGACTCTGGGGGACATGTGTTCTAGTGGAGTATATATTCATGCCCTGACTCTGGGGGACATGCGTTCTAGTGGAAGTATATATTCATGCCCTGACTCTGGGGGACATGTGTTCTAGTGGAGTATATATTCATGCCCTGACTCTGGGGGACATGTGTTCTAGTGGAGTATATATTCATGCCCTGACTCTGGGGGACATGTGTTCTAGTGGGGTATATATTCAAGCCCTGACTCTGGGGGACATGTGTTTTAGTGGAGTATATATTCATGCCTTGACTCTGGGGGACACGTGTTCTAGTGGAGTATATATTCATGCCCTCACTCTGGGGGACATGTGTTCTAGTGGAGTATATATTCATGCCCTGGCTCTGGGGGACATGTGTTCTAGTGGAGTATAGCCCAGACTCTGGGGGCACGGGTTCTAGTGGAGTATATATTCATGCCCTGACTCTAGGGGACATGGGTTCAGGTAGAGTATAGCCCAGACTCTGGGGGCACTGGTTCTAGTGGAGTATGTTTTCATGCCTTCACTTCGGGGGCATGTGCCCTAGTATATATATATGCATGTGTAAGTTTTGGGGTAGGGGGAGATGTGTGCTAGTGGATTACTGGATTATCAACCCACACTAATGGTACCTGGGCATGTGTGCCAGTGGAGTATATATCCATGCCGTCATGTGTCCTTGTATTAATCCAGGCTGTTAGTTCTGGGACAAGTGCACAGTGGTTGGCACTGCAGGGAACCCATGGCACAAAACCATCTCCCTCGTCATAAGGATACAGTTGCTGTGGAATTGTGTTCTTGATCATGTACCAAGATCCAATGATAATACTCATTATTGACAATTCTAACATTAATAAATAGGAATTTTCTGAAATACAAAGGCAATTTCCTCAACATCGTCCACACCACGAGTGATCCTGGCAACTCGATCTTGGGAGGAGGGATTGGTGCATAGCTTGCAAACCTTTTGACATCACACTTCTGTGTGAGTAGGATCTGTAACATGTTGCTAAACTGCTCATGTATTCATTGACCAGAAACCCGCCAGTATGTCCCAGATTTAATTTAATTGTACGACCAACATTTTACAGTTGAATTTTATGAACTGGCCTTTTGATATGAATCTTAATGTTCATTTTTGTTTCGTAAAGTTTTCACATTAAAGTTCCATGACATGAATTGAACCTTCAACCTCAAATAACATGTTTAGGTTTTGTAACCCAGTGAACCACCAGGGCATGTGATGAAATGGTGTTCATCCTTACAAGTTTCATGTCATAACTTCAGTTTTGTGCATGCTGCATGTTGTCACCTTTCATTGAATTCCTTTTATACCACAACACACTGTATTGTTTCACTTATTTTCCAAACATGTTATTCTTTCTGTTATTGCTTGCAGTTAGATGGTTCATAAGTTGGATTAACCCCCCAATAATCTCCCTCTGCCCTCGGCACTCCCTAATATCCCTCAAGGCATACATCATCAGCCCAGACCCAGGAGTCTTGCTTTTTTTATCCTTTACACAATAACCACAAAAAATAAATGTTATTTACAATAGTTTATTCCTCAGCTGTTGACAGCAGTGCACATACAAAAGGCTGTCACAAAAACATTGTAATTCACAACGATAAATATAGCAAAACTTGACATATACAAACACAGAAACAGGTCGACGGACCACACCCACGTATGAGTGAGTGATGGAGTGAGTAGGGGTTTGTGCGCTTTTATTGCAACACTCAATTCATATAAGGGCAGGGACAGCAGAAATGGGATTCACATATTTAATCCACGTTGGAAATTGCATGCCTTAACCACTAGGCTATCTCATCACCCATCTTAAACATAAAGATGCAGTGAGCCATTATGCCACGGTTATAGGTGCTAGAGGGACCAGAGATGACATTAGTAATTAGTATTAGAAATAATGTTTCACGGATGTGACAAAAAAGCATGTGATCATATCGTAGATACAATTTTCAAAATTAAGTAAATTGAATTTCAGTTAAATGAAAATGAGTGAGTGAGTTGTGTTAACACTGCTTTTAACAGAATTCCAGTTATATCACGGTGTGTCGGCTTAATGTGGGAGGAAAGCCTGAAGTGATGCAGGTCTTAGGCGTTTACCACTTCCGTGAAATCCATGAGCACGGGTATGGTGCTGACGAACCTAGAAACATAGTCGGGGCAAACCGGGATTCCAACCCACAATCATAGGTTTCTGGACCAAGGGACGCAACTCAGCACAGCGCCTTAGACGACAGGGCCACCTGTGCCCCCTAAATGAAAATGAATATGAGCAAGGACGTTTGAATGTTTTCCAGTAATATGACTGTATACTGGTAAGCATAATGTTGGAGGAAGCTCTAAAGTGATGCATGTTTTATAAGTTTACCACTTTGGTAAAATCCACCCGCATTGTACACCAGTAATATAGCAAGGAAAATATTTAGGATAAATCTTCAAGCTTAAACTTAGCCACTAAGGGATGTAACCCTAACAGTTTCTTCACGGCGTGTCAGCTTCATGTGGGAGGACACCAAAAGTGATGCAGGTCATCGACGTTAACCACTTTGGTGGAACCCAGAAACACGGGAATGGTGCCAACAAACCAAGAATTAAAACTGGGCTAAACATGGGGTTCAACCCACCATCATATGATTCTGACACTCCTCCATAAGCTGTCTCCAACACTCTATGGCTGACGGAGAACTAATTCTGTGTTTGAACATGACAACACATTATGACAAACAATAAATAGTCCATTGATATTGAACACAAGCATCTTATCAACTGACTATCTGTGCAAGTACAGAAGCACCTCTGGTTCGTGAATTTGTATGTACTTTAAGATGCATGGTCACTGAAAATGAGTAATTATGAAGATGTCACAGTTATAAATATTTAGAAAATGTCTTCAGTATATAAAAATGATTTTCACAAATTGGTCAAGATAAAAACATAGCAAAAACAAATACATGCACCAATAAGATGAGCATGTCTTGAATACTTTGAAGCAAACATGCATCTAGCCAAGGTCAAACAATTTTATGTTGCTTAGCAACATGGTGCAACAAGTACCAGTATACAGTGGGGCTTCAAGCACTGTCTTAATAAGAATTCTTTTTATTTTATTCTCTATTTACAAGATATACACCTAGCACTATATTCCTGACTTTTTTTCATAAAATATTAAAATCAACAAACTCTCTTTGCAGCAACATGACACGAAAGAGGAATCTCATTTCACATTTTTTTTAACCAAGAATTTAGCATTAGATGTATATGGAGAAAATATGTAAAATAATAATAATTTTTATAAACAATGCTTCAAGAGCCTAAATCACTACAGCATTGGGTAAACAGATAGTGACACCAGGTGTCCCCTGGAGGACTGTAACAGACTAGTACTGTACAGACAGATAAGGCATGTTGTCAGGCAACATGGACGTGAGAATGTTGTGTGTTGGTGGAACTGTATGCAGTGTGACTGTAAAGAGTGGAATGGGCGGAGGAGAGGCAGAGTGTTGGGCATCTAGAGAAGGTGTCTGGGTCCGCACTAGATGTCATCTTGTCATGAACTCTGCTTGCGACGGACATCCCGGTCATAACTCTCATGCAGGTATTTCTTGTAGGCTGTTTGATTCTGCCACAAATCAGCTGCATTGCTGTTCAGGGGGCTGTCAATGTTTGGTTCTGAAATAAAGAACAGAAGTATTTAGGGACTGTTCGCCAATTCTATTTGGAATGTATTACTACACAAAAGGTTTTACCATTTGTTACACTATTGCGATGCTCATGATATCAGTCACTGGATTGTCGGGTCCAGATTCGATTATTTACAGACCACCGGCATATAGCAGGAATATTGCTGAGTGCGGCGTTTAACAACAAGCAAACCAACCATGAGATGAGTTTATCACCACTTTGAACAGTATTTAAGTTATATAAGAGTGTGTCAGCTTATAGACCGAAATGATGCAATTCGTAGACGTTTACCACTTCGGTCAAACCCACAAGTATGGTGCTGACAAACCTTCCAACCCATGTTCATAGGTTCCTGGCATGCTCAAGGGAAGCAACTTTGCTAATTGAATTACAGCACCTAAGACAACTGGGCCTACTGTGTCATACATTTTCTTATTAAGAAGAAAATAAAGACATGATAAACAGGTACTTTGAGCAGAGGTCAGATGTGTTATCATGATCATAGCTTGGAAAATACCCCAAACAATTGTAACTGATTATATTTGTTGATTGATTCTGTGGAAGAAAACAACTAAACCAAACAAACAACATGATCAATATGCAGTCCTGAATGACGTGCAACATGTGCTACTGACCACCAAGTAGGCTCTGTATGGACAGCAAGATGGTTCGGACATCGTAGAGAGCTGACCACTTTTCCTTGAGGATATCGAGACAGATGTTGCCATGTGTGTCAACGTTCGGATGGTAACAAGGAGTGTCAAACTTGACAGTTGGCGGCTTGTATGGGTACCCACTTGGAAATACCAAGGACAACTTGTACTTCAGTCCATCATATACCTACAGAAACATGGAATAATCAATGCAGTATATTAGTGTATATATATTGTTTCATGCTTATGATGCAGAAAATTTAAACTGGAACTAGTTGCCAAATCTCATTATTAATGCTATTATACAGCGTTGGAAATTGGTACTAGTCCTATAGTCCTTGCCAAACCGTCCAATAGTTTAGGTATCCTGGGTAGTAATAGAAATTTACCTTTTTCAAGGGTTTTGCTATATGTTATTATCATAAAGACTAGTGGATTACTGTTAGTTTCTATAGCTGCTATCATTGCATATATACATCCGGGATCTATCGAGGAAAAAAGTGCAACGGTCAGACAAGGTAACATATATAGTTGGCAAGTTAGGTGAGATAAAATGGGGTTTAAAGTCGTTCAAGATTATTGCACTTATATAGCGACGTACATTCTCGTGTGTGTGTCAGCTTGTACTAGTCCGCAGTTTGACATGAATAACCTACTCAGACACAGCATACTGACTCCCAGCCGACCAGTCTTTGTTTTAGCCCCTTAACATGTTATGCCGAGCGCTAGGCAGGTAACAAGAAGTACCATCTTTAACGTCTTTTGGTTTGATGTGGGCGGGGATCGAACCCCCAACCTTCCGCTCTCCGGACGGACACTCTACCACTAGACCACAGAGGTGGTCCAGTTGGCAAGTATCATATTTGATCAACTTGACACAGTAGGGAGTGATCAACGCTAAATCTAGTGCTTAACTATGTTGTTCGTTCAAAGGAATGTTACATGTTGTTGTTTCTGGCACGTGTAGTGAACCTGACATGAGGACATCACAATAACAAAATAAACTCAAAAACACCAGATTATTTTCATCACTTTATATTATGTGCACACTCACTCACATTTCTAAAACTAATTTCATGATTTACAATATATGAGATGAGTGAGTATGGTTTTACACTGCTTTTAGCAATATTCCAGCAATATCACGGCAGGGGACACCAGAAATTGGCTTCACACAATGCACCAATGTCTTGAATCGAACCCGGGTCTTTGGTGTGACAATCGAACGCTTTAACCACTAGGCTACCTGACCACTCCATATATGAGATGACGAGCTGGTAGCTAGTACTACATGTCAATTAACATGGTGAATGTTGGACACTGACATATCACACTGACTGTGACAAGTAAAACTGTCATCACAGATGAAACTTACCCAGGAGATAAAATAATTAACCTAACTCAATCCCTGTTAGGACTTAGATCTCTTTGTGAAACCAGTCCACCCAAATTTCCTCTCGTCTGGTAACAGCTGATGCTACAGATGTTAAGAATAAAATCAACTAAAATAAAGTCAAAATACAAGTTCTGGCTACTAGACTGAAATAATTTTGGCACAGACTGTAATCATGGTAATTGGGCTTTTGCCATGCCATGTTGAAAGTTTCAGAACTCCCTGCAAAACATGTTTGACAAACTTACTGTTCCAGTGCCACCTTCAATGGTGCCAACCCAACAGAAAAGATTGTCACCATCTGGAAATGCTGACACACCAGGCTCTCCTGATTTCTGAAAGTTGAAAAGGAGGATTATTATCGGGTCATAAGTGTTGTTGACATGGTGCATGGAGTTTAAGAAAGGATAACCTTAATATAGTTTTGATAGTGCACAAAAACACTTTCATGGGATGTTGGTTGGTTTGTTGTTCAACACCGCACTCAGCAATATTCCAGCTATATGACGGCGGTCTGTAAATAATCGAGTCTGGACCAGACAATCCAGTGATCAATATCATGAGCATCGATCCACGCAACTGGGATCGATGACATGCATCAACCAAGTCAGCGAGCCTGACTACTCGATCCCGTTAGTCGCCTTTTACGACAAGCATGCTGTAGACCTATTCTACCCCAGAATCTTCACGGGTCTTTCATGGGATGTATCCTTACAGACAGTCTCTACATGTATTCTTTGTTTGTTGTTTAATACTGCACTCGGCATATTCCAGCTATATGATAAGCATGGGTTTCTGAAGACCGCTTTTAACCCAGAACTTCACAGGGGTACATACTCAGTAGTTATTCCCCAGGTATCTGGTGTAAGATGGCAATTGTATTCATTCCCCCATGTCTATCCCCACATCTTTAAGTTATTTTTCATATTTTAGGTCTGGAAACCTATCTGCCATTCTCAAAACAGATAAGTTTAATGTCTTAGGCATCCAATTTTTTTTAAACTAAACATGCTAAAAGGTTCTGAGTTGATAAGATAGTTGCCATTTTTTCTCACATTTAGGGCATTTAACAAGAGTTATACATACCAACAATGTCATCAGTTCCTGTTGTAACCTGAAAGTAACAAGTTTCCTCTTTATTTTTGGCTGGTAAAGGTTAGGCAGAGAAGGCATGTTTAGGATCTCAAGCATGTCAATCATAACTTTGGTTTCATTTGCACATATGATCACAAGATCAGTGTTTAAAATAATTTTAACACCCAACAAGACAGTGATCGAGGTTACTCATAAGTGTTGCCTGCTATTCTTCAAAATTACCTGTGTATTCAGACATCATAAATATTGAAATATCACGTCTTGATACGGTTGACTTGAGAATTAGAGTCATAAGGCACCACTTCAGCCCCTGGTTAATACATACACAAGTTTGGATGAAAAATGTTTCAAGGTTTTCAAGTTATGCTCCGGAAACGAAATACGGTCGGACAGACAGACAAGATGATGACTATAATAAATCTGAATAAAACTGAATAGATGTGTTTTAAAATTATCTGCCAGACAGGCAGAGGAACATTTCATGCCGCCTGACAGGCAGGCAGTCATTTCAGACACTATACAGGGCAAAGCTTCAAACGTGTTATTAGAGCAATGACAAATCTTCAAAATGGTCCTTACAAAGGTCATAGCATGCATGCCCTGAATTAATCAAAATTACTTGCCAATAATAGTAGGGATATCATCGTATATTGATCTATTGGTAACTGTTTTACGTCAATCCTGAATTTCTGAATACAGACACTAAATTAATAATTCACCCCGACCAAGCCCATAGAACCGTGTATTTTTCTTAGACTAGCATTATGAGATGGACAATGGGAAGGCATGAAATTCATTTTTAAACATCTAAATTCTAAATGGATCATCAAGTTGCAGATAACTTTCATCTTTTCACATACATCTTATTATTAATCATATAGGCTACTGATATATCTCGATACTTAGGGGTCGATATTTCAATATAATCAATGAAACATTAGCCCATAGCTTCGTCAATTTGAAAATTAATGAAATCCTTGGTCCAAATGAGCTTCGCCTGTCCCACTTGTCCGCAGGAAAAGCACTTACTAATGAGAACGTTATTTTACAAAATTAAACCTGTCCACGGCTTCACATAATTCAATCTGATTTGGTGTTGAGAACACGAGCAGAAAGGATGAACACAAAATTGAAAACACTTTCAACACAAATCCTACCTTTTGGTCACTGAGTGGTTATCTTTAGACGTTGGCGTAGAGGTTGTTTTCTCTTTATTTTTGGCACTAGAAGAAACCTGATCAAAAAACATGTTTGCCATCTTTGTCAAAGGAGATATGTTTTTATCAGTACTGTTCAATCAATGTCCTGCGTTAGGTTTGAACTGACCACACTACACTCTCTGGATCAACATCCAATGAAATGCTCCGACAGAGTCATAAGCCAATCAAATAGCACAGTACAAATTCAGTCATTATTTAGGGACCATTCAGTATGTAAGAACTACATCCGGTCAATATTGTCTGAAGTGTTCATAAAATCGCCACCAAACTATCGCTGTTAAAGGATAATAATTGTGACAAATCATAACCGCGCAAACTTATATTAACTTTGAAATGTGACGTCGAAAAAAGCCATTGCATTCCTATAAACAAAATGAATTCAACTAGTCCTCCCTCTTTTAGTTTAAGAGTTATTACATAATTACTATAATAACATATAATTATCTCAACATGTTGGCAACACAACCATTTATTCCACGGCCAATTATATTGAAATAACTGTTGAGTTGGCGATCAGCTAATCAGGCCACAAAAATATTAAAGTCGCTTGAAATGTTTTGAACGACCAGGAATACCTTGTTAAAGTATTAATAAAAGATGTACTTGTTTCCACGGGACCAGTCGTAATTTGTTAGGACCCATATACATGACACGCATGTACATGTTGAAACGTTCATAGAAATAAATATATTGCTTTACTCACAAGCTCAATTTCCGAGTCACAAGTTTGTTTGTTAACGCCGCACACAGCAATATACCACATATATTACAACGGCATGTAAATATTCAAGACCAGTGATTGATATTATGAGCAACGATCAACGCCGCCGAGTTACGATGACGCTATCAACAAAATCATCCAGCCTTACCACCCGATCCATTAAGTGGCTTCGTGCGACCAACACTGTATCATATCTCAGCTTCCATGGTGCTGATTCAAAATGTCCACAGGTCCATATTTTGTTGCTGAATCACGATGTCGCGGGAAGGATGTTGAGGAATCGGAGAAAATGTCTGAAGTAGTCCGACATGATGACGTCATGGCGGATACCAAGGCTGTCATTCTTATATCCTACATCGACAGCAGATGACATAATTTTGTTTGTTGTTTAACGCCGCAGTAGCAATATTCCAGCTATATGAAGGCGGTCTGTAAATAATCTAGTCTGGACCAGACAATCCAGTGATCGACATCATGGGCATCGATCCACGCATCAACCAAGTTAGCGAGCCTGACCACCCGATCCCGTTAGTCGACTCTTACGACAAGCATAGTCACCTTTTACGGCAAGCATGGGTTGCTGAAGACCTATTCTACCCCAGATCTTCCTGTCCTCTTGATCTCAGGGAAATGAATGAAATGTAAATGACTGATTCAAAATTATAAGAGTCAGTAGCAAGGAAATTTTCAACTGGACAGACGGGCAGGTTGGAGAAAAATACACCTATCCCGACAGAAATGTTACTAACCTCTGGATAGAGGGCAGGCAGCTATGAGCTGTGTGGCAAGAATAAGATATTTTTATGTAGGTATCTCCCTCTTAGGAGGCCGCCTCCGTGGTCTAGTGGTAGAACGTCCGCCCGGAGAGCGGAAGGTTCGGGGTTCGATCCCCGGTCGCGCCATACCAAAAGCGTTAAAAGATGGTACAAGGACGTCGCTATATATATAAGTGCAGTAATATTGAACGCGACGTTAAACCCCATTTCACCTCACCCTTCATAAGACCTGTTGTACTGGAACAAGAACATGTTAACATTAATCAGTTTGTAAACAAGCACACCATTACCAATCTGATCCATTTGTGTCTGTGAGCGACTGAGAAGATTATTATATATCCGCCAGTTAGAAATTAACACCAATTATTTAGTGCATTCACTCGTTATCTGGAGCTAGAGGTGTTGAAATTCTTTAGCCCACAACTCTCTCTGCAATTGGCAATCCTCAATTTCTCCACTGATTAACAAGTCGTGTCGGACAGATCAAGAACAGTGCCTTCGAAGATGGTTGCTGCTGACTTCAAAATATTCTGCGTTTTCTGTTGTTTTATCTGTCAACAACAAAAAAGTAATTAAACATATTGGAGGCCATTTGGTCCAAACATATAAAGTTGAAATAAAGGACAAAAGTAAACAATAATAGTAAAATGTTACGAATAAAGAATGAGTGAGTGAGTGAGTTGGGTTTTACGCCGCTTTTAACAGTATTCCAGTTTTATCGCGGCGTGTCAGTTTAATGTGGGAGGAAAGCCCGAAGTGATGCAGGTCTCAGACGTTTAACACTTCTGTGAAACCCACGAGCAATGTTTGGACTACTTTCTCTGCTAGACGACAGATAAATTTGATTAAATAATTCACCCATTTTCAAAATGATGAAAAAGTAAATTTTAATCAGAACTAATTAGGACATCAGTTTTAGTTTAAATACAAAAAAAATAATTTCTTATCAACTCTACCATCATATATTTTTTTGTAAATCTATGATGATTTTCCCTCGTTTCTATTCATTTTTGTTGTACACTAGGCCATAATTATGTAATTTATTTAAAGAAAAGTGAGACGGGAGGCATTTGGTAAAGTGCGCATGCTAATCCTGTTATTACACGATCTGGCTATAAAGAGTGTTTATTTATTTTACTGTTTACTTAATTTCGGCGAAGTCGTGTGTGAACTGATTGGCAGATTCGCACCAACTCACTTTTATTTACAGCAACCACGTAGTCTGCAGGAGAAAATGACCCCATAAATTATATTAGTGAAAAGGCGCCTCGATTCGCTGTGCAGAGTTGCGTCCCTTGTGCACGCCAGAAACAGAAACCTATGATTGTGGGTTCGAATCCCGGTTCGCCCCGATTATGTTTCTAGGTTTGTCAGCACCATACCCGTGCTCGTGGGTTTCACCGAAGTGTTAAACGTCTGAGATCTGCATCACTTTGGACTTTCCTCCCACATTAAGCTGATATAACTGGAATAATGTTAAAAGCGGCGTTAAACCCAACTCACTCACTCACTCACTCACTCACCCACCCACCCACCCACCCACTCACTCACTCACTCACTCACTCACTCACTCACTCACTCACCTTTCCTCTCATCTGTAGGAGTTTGCTTTGCCACCTTATCCCCATATCTCCAGTATGTGTAATTGTCTCCTTCTTCTCTGGCTTTTTAAGTGACAATGCGTGCTACTAATAGTTAAAACACCCCAAACGAAATAACAATTAATAATATCATATGGGAGAGAAGGGTCTCATGTAACAATTGTATCATCTAGATAAGTTATTTTGGGGGCCTTTTTCGGGGCCATTTTTCCAAAATTTGTGGCCTCTACCGTTAATCTTTGGGACTATTTTCTCCAAATTGCCTGGGGCCATCTGGATACCATGTTGGTTTTGATTGTGCTTTCTAGCCTAATACTCGAAATATCAGTGTAAATCTCAAACTTAAGGAATTTAGTCTTTTATCCGACATCGAACTTTTCGACATCAACACGGCACCAAAATCAATGTTATGCGTTGAAAATTGAAATCGGCGAAATCTTTGTGTTCCAAATATGCATTCATATGCTGTGTCACGTGCCCATGCAAGCCGGTCTACGAATCAAGTTCAGCCACATTAAATGTCTCCGTTATTGTAGCAAAATGTCTAACTTAAACGCTAGAATTGAAGGCGTATTATTATTATTATTCACGCCTGCATACGAACATCTCAAAACACATCTGCGCTCCTATAATAACTTGGCATTTGTAGGAATACCAGAGTAAAAGACAAGTTGCGTGGTACATATGCTTGGACCAACCAGACAAGCCAGTGATTAACAGACAGAGCATTGAACCACCGGGTGGTGCATAACCAAATGTGACCGGATGTGCACGTGTTTCTTCACCCCTATTAAAGGACCAGCTATTGGTTGGTTGGTTTGTTGTTTTACGCCGCACTCCGCAATATTCCAGCTATATGACGGCGGTCTGTAAATAATCGAGTCTGGACCAGTCAATCCAGTGATTGATATCATGAACATCGATCCACGAAATTTGGATCGATGACATGCTTCAACCAAGTCAGAGAGTCTGACCACCCGATCCTGTTAGTCGCCTCTTACGACAAGCATGGTCACCTTTTATGGCAAACATGAGTTGCTGAAGATCTATTCTATCCCGGATCTTCACGGGTTAGCTAGTTATTCTGTCCTAATATATCGTAATATATATATATATATATAATAACAAATATATCCAATACAGCAAATGCAAGTCTATAACATTTGGCAAGTCTAGATTACTGCAGTATCAGGTCGGAAAATGAAGAAAGTCTTTGGGCTCCCTTTTATCATTTTGTATATCTTCAAATTAACAACTGTTTTTCTTCTGTAAAATAGTTCATTTCAGAGACCTAACACGCGACTGTGCTTGTCGTAAGAGGCGACTCACGGGATCAGGTGGTCAGTCTCGCTGACTTGGTTGATGCATGTCAGCGTATCCCAATTGCGTAGATCGATGTTCATGATATCAATTGTTAGACTGTCTGGCCCAGAGTCGATTATGTACCCTCCGCCGGTATATAGCTGGAATACTGCCGAGTCCGCGAAAACAAACACATATAGCGCGTGTCTGGGCTCCCTCTAACATTACTATTTTACAATGGGGGCGGCGTGGTTCGGGTTCGATTCCCCGGAATGTGTGAAGCCCATCTGTGGCGCCCCCTGGGCGTGTCATTGCTAGAATATTGCTAAAAGTGGCGCAAAACCCAACTTACTTTACAATGAGACATGAAGCATACATTCAGAGAGGGTGAAGGAAAATATTGTTTACCATTATTGTTATTATAAGTGACTGCAATGTCGTTCCGCACAAAAACAAACACGGGCCTAGCGTTGACCCTAGAACTACGTCAGCTCTTGAAATGTTTACGCCAGGCAAAGCACACACAAGATAAACGTCCTATCGTATAACGCCAGTTACATATCAATAGCGTTATCATGTGTGCTCTTATGGGCTAACGCGTAGAGCAAACGTTATCTTGCAAATATTTGACGGGAAATTATTACTTTAGGTCCAACTTCCTCGTTCAGGGGGGATAAACATGTTTTGTTACGTATCTCTACAGTGCGGCGAGCAACATGCAGCAAATAGCTTCAGACTCGGAGCAGACACGAGTCATCGTGGAGAGGATTGCGTTCACATTGATAAAACTGATGACGTC